TTTTATGAAAGAATAGATGTATGAAGATAATAAATGTATGAACTATAGAAATATCTTCATTGTGTACACCCCTACAACATGGTGGGGATGCTAAATTGGCGACATTAACCTTCTATAAAAGGAATTATTTAGTATTTAATGGTCAAATAACTTGTATTGAATATTTCAAACAGTGATTTTATTTTCATAGATTTAAATTTAACCATGCGTTCGACAAATGATTTAATAGATTTCCAAGAAGACAACACTACTTTCACGACTGATAGCCAGAATCTCCATTTGTTCATGGATGTAACTACACCAGATTTAGTGTCTACATCCCAATCGCCGCAGAAGTCGGGGGGGGGGGGGGTGGATGGCTGAATGGTTAGCGTGCGCGCGCTGTATCATACAGTCTGTCATTGAGTCGACTGGCGTGGTTTCGAATCCCCGGTTGTACGTGGCAAGGAGTAGGGTCGCCTGTCCAACCTCGTGGGTTTTCTCCGGGTCCTCCGGTTTCCTCCCACTGCTAAAGACCCCTACGCGCAAGCGAATTATGTAAATAAAATTAAACCATATGTTAGTCCCGAAATGATCTAGTTTGTGTCGAGTGGACGTTAAACCCCATTTCTCTCTCTCTTTCGCCGCACAAGTCTTCTGTACCAGCTGCGTTTTCTCAAAACAATGATTTGAAATATGCTGCTGAAGGTTGTCCCAGTCGTTGACCACAGTCGACGCCGTTCCTTTTGGACCCACCCTTGACAACATGCGGAATACCACCAGTCTTCCAGACCCATCAGCAACGTCCAAGTTTTAATTTGCATAAAAATGAACACACCAACGACCCTGTAGGCCTATCTATGACAGCCAACTATCAACCATTTGCCACACGATTTAATGGCTTATATTCGAGTGATGTCCATTCATTTTTAGCTGTATTTGACTCGTATACGTCGTTATCTCATGGTATTGATACAGTAGCCAAGAAAAAGGCGGCCTTTCACCTTCAGTTGGATGGTCCTGCAAAAATATGGGATGAACAGTTGACAACTGGCGATCTACAGAAAATGTCCTGGACGCAATTCATTGAATGTTTTAAAAGCCGATTTCATCCGTTACATAATCCAGCGCTTATAGCCGAATTCGCGAAGTTTGACTCTCTAAACTTACAACCACACACATGCCAATTGAATTTTTTCATTGAAGGTGTACATCCCCTACAACACACATTCATTCGTTGAAAGGCTAGAATTATGTTGGTCGATGTCTAAAGATTTTGGTGACGAGTCTCCTATCTACTGAAAATCACATCTAATGTTTTCTTGCGAGTGTTTCCTCCGAGTCTTCCGTTTTAATCCCACTATTAAAGGTCCGTGTGCGCAAGCGAATTACTGAAATAAAATTGAACCATATATTAGTCCGAAATAGCCTAGTTTGTATCGAGTGGACGTTACCTCCTCTCTCACTCTCTCTGAAAAATGACATTCCTGTTGTGTTTACTGTGCCAGGGGAGATAAATCCATTCATTCTCGCTTAATGTCGGATGGAGAAGCGCAACACAAATTTATAAGAATTCTTCCAACGAGAGAAAACGCATCGGGTGAGTATATCCTGCCTCGTGCACTTCACCTTGCAGTAATAGTTGAGACGTGTATTTCAGATGCCAAAAGACGTCATGGTGCTTTTGTTTAACCATAAATGTTAAATGTTAGGTCTTGGCCAATAAATTTTCTAAAAACACTCTCAGTTTTTGTGAAAGCTTAAGTAATTAGACTATCAATGCCGCTATTGTTTGCGTAGGTATAGGGTGCAGGGTTTCCCTTGTGCGTAACTATCACTCACATAAACTAAAAGATAGCTAGCTGTATCGGCTGTCTCTAATATAGGTTTCCATCACACGATTCGTGCTACGATTGAAATCGTGGTTTTAATCGTGGAGTCATGGGCGTCACACATGGGGGGCCGGGGTCCCCCCCAATTGTTTTTTCTAGCAGGAGGGGGGGAGGGGTCTGAATAAACTTGGACCCCCCACCCCCGCCAAAAAATTTTTACATAGTAGGCCCAAACTCCTATTTATTTACAACAATTATTAGGATTAGTTAAAATTCTATCTGTACAAAACAATGTACAAATTAAAACACAAACACTCATGTTTACATTTTGTAATCCCTTTACAATACACAAAATGTACAAAATACTTTAAATATCTATACAACTTTCTTGTAAATGTCAATGTGCATCTTCATAAACTAAAGTTATGTAATCAAGTTTTGTTTCATTTGGATCCTCCTCATAAAAATTCCCCTATTAAACCCTCTTTGTCGTGTTGTTCATAACTCAAGCGTAACATTCAATATGTAAAAGTCTTCAAAAAAATATGAATACGGCAACCCCTTACTTAAACATGATAAACATTGTATTGGTGTGATGTTTTAGTTTAACCCCGTAAAATTTGCCAAAACAGTGTTTACAGAAGACTGAAACTTTAAAAAAAAATTATGGGGGGTGCCCCCCCCCCCCCCCAGTGGGAGGATGACTCTCCCACACTCTCCCTATCGCGCTACATCTGCTGCTGCGCAGCCTCGTGCCTTCAGCGTCACAGATTGTCAACATTTTATATAATTTCATTTGCGCCCCCCCCCCCCCCAATATATATTTCACGGCTACGCGTCTGCGTGGATTATGGTATCAGGTTTTATCGTATACTGAGGTCAGTCGTGGCAATCGTGTCGAAACGTATCCGAATGGATTTGTACGTAGCAGATCGTGGATTCAATAGGGACAATCCTATCGTAACGCATCGCACAACGTTGGGAACCTAGCATTAGTTCATAATGGCGGTTTCCTTACTGCCTTTGGCAAATCTAAATCCCAAGACATCCAAACCCTTGTAAACCAAAATCGAACGGGCAGGGAAGAAGAAAAAATGGATGGGGTGTTGTACATTCCCTTGTGCCAAGAGCTGCTGCTGATACCTAATGTGGGTCAACGTCGATCGTAGTAAGTCGCGATTTCTTACCCAAAACTAATTAGGTTGCGAATTTGTAGATAAACAAAATGGCAGGATTGTTAATTTGTTTTATGTAGTGTATGATTACATAGTGTATGATTACATGCTTTATAATATTAAATTAGTAAAGTTTTAAGTGGTAGTGTTATTTTATTGTTCATAAATATTATTGTTTCCCTATATGTAAGTTATATCAGGAAGAAAACTAACAGAGGACCAACAGGGGGATTGAAATTAATTTACAGAGGGAAAGAAGATATCGTGGGCAACCTAAATTGTTTTGACCAGATGCGTTAGTCAGTGTTGTCTTTCCGTTATTAAGAATAAAATATCAAATTACTTTGAAAACAACAACTCACTTGACCTTAAAAATCATTGCACATATTTGATAATATATTCATACTTCGAACGATTATCACAACAGGCCATTCTCCGAAATTAAGATCATTGAGATCAAGGAGATTGTGGCAATAGACAGAATCGGTTCTTGGCCTTTGTGGACTATAAACAGCCTGTGACATCAACGGGACCTTTTTTGATTTTCTTTTATATCCACGTATAAGATTCTGAAAAATTACCGTTTTTTTATAATTATTTATTTACATCCATGTACGTATTAACATACTCCACATTGTGTAAATACTTTTAAAGGAATCTCAGTGTAGAAAAGTCGGACGTTGAACCCCAGTTCTGTTCATTTCATATTAAAGGAATCTACAATGTCATAGATTTATTCATGGGCGTGAAACAGGGGTGTGTGTTAAGTCGTGTACTATTTAATATATGTATTAACGACCTGCAGTTTTATGTCACTAATGTAAATACACCCCCTCTCTCTACAATATCTTGATACCGCCCACCTGTTCTTTGCAGATGACCTGGCCGTGCTCCCCACTATTTAATCTGGTTTACAAAATAGTCTTGGCCATCTTAACAAATGCTGTGCCGTTTAGCTTATCACCATACCCTAACTAAATAAAAAAAAATCACGATTTTCATAATTGATCAACAGAAAAAAAACCAAAAACAAAACATAAATTGTTTCGGCAATTATGTGTATCTTGGGGTCTGCTTTTCCAACAACTCCGAAAAACAAACATCCAGACCAAACTTGGTTTGTCTGTGTTAATGAAGACGGGCATACGCCATACGTTGTACTATGCGGGGAATTTATTTCGAACTGCAACTATCATGGGTTCTTTTACGTGCACGCCAATTTGTACACGATGAACTCCACAAGGCTTTCCCCATAGTAACCTAATCTGCAAAGCAATACTATTACAACCATCAAAACATTTACATTTTCAAAGAATAATTTGCTAATAATAGAAATTGTCCTGTAAAAGTGATGGATTGTGGTATACTGTAGGTGCACATAAAATGTTAAAATTTGAAGTCATCCACTATTATATACGTTCATCAGGCGCGGATTTAAGCCCCCCCCCCCCCATAACAAAATCAATAACGATCATAATTTGACATGAACTCGATGTCAACTTGAATAAAACTGCTTTCAGTAGAGATAACGATCGGCGAACAGCTGTATTGACAATATGATCTGAATTCTACTGGGATACTTAGTGTTACTTTATGCATTTTATTGCGTATATTACGTATTTTATCTAGGTAATCACCACTGATGTTTTTTTATTAATGCCGAGATTGTACGCACAGGCCCATTTCTATGTTTAATTCTAGATTTTAAAAAATCGGCCCCTAAACTCGTTGTGTAACAAATGACACGTGTGACAACACCATATGATGTTTTTGAGAGAAGCGCTTTGTGGCTTTTTAATCTGTAACACATGTGGCTTAAAACGACAACACCGTGGTCCATTATTATCTCTAATAATCTTGACCTGCGTCTTATATTATAATTTATTCCATCCTGTGCGGCTAACGTTTCTCATATTCGTGATAACTTAAACAGTTCATTGTATTTCTGGCTACACCATATTGTAATACTAAACGGTCTATGTATCACGTGACAGTCGAAGAGGATCTGGTATGAGTACTAGTCAATCTGTGTTGCTCTAATTTCTGAGACACAATCAGCTTGTGCTGGGAGTATGAATGACTGACTTCGGTGTTACAACTTTTACAACTAACTGTTTTAAACTCAGGACAACAGCATGGCTAGAGGTGGAGATGCGTGCACTAGACAATGGTGGTTAGGAGTATTGCAGAACAATCTATTAGTGATTTTAACGGTCCTTGGAGCTACAGTTGGGTTTGCTCTCGGAGTTGGATTAAGGGAAACGGAAATGTCTCAAGATGCAATAATATGGTTAGGTAGGTAGTTGTTGTTTTTCCCTCTTAAATAGAAAGTTAAGAATGGAAGTAGAAACTATAAAATCTCTTAGAGGGATAGGATACATGCCCTCAGACATTAGACCTAAATAAATTGTTTTGTTTGGTTTATTATGGCATAGGTCGTAGGCCTGGGGTTCTTAGCTTGGTTTTATGTCGTGTGGATCGTAGGTCTTTTTATATGTAAAATATGAAAATGTAAATCTCATAGCAGGGATACGCTCAAAAACTTTAGTAAATTTTAACTTTAACTTTCGCTTTTGCTGTTTTTTTGGGTTTTTTTGGGGTTTTTTTTTTCGATTTTTGTTTGGGCATGAAAATGTGTGTGTATGGGGTGGGGGGGGGTATAGTGAAAGAACAAACTCACTTTGGCAAAGGTAGATCTCAAAATGACGACTCTCGATTTTTACGTAAAGGGTCTGGCAAACCTCCTCCTGCAAAAATTTCTGGATCCGCCCCCGTTTTACATTTTAAAAAAAAGCTTGATTTATTACATTTTTTTTTTAAAAAAAAGGGCGTTCGCTCGAAACTCGGTGTTTTCCTGTTCTTTCAGGAATATTGTTTCGCCCATTTTTCAAACACACGTGGTTTAAGTTAAATGAGGCGGTGGCTCACTAAGAAGGAGGTCCGAGGCTCTCTCCCAGTGTTCACATAGTAAGTTGCCCGGGATTTTCCAGAGTGGTTTTCCCTTGTCATGCCCGGGATTTTCAAGTGTGGTTCTCCTTTGTCATTGGTGCAAATGACCTGGTATGAAGAGTATGTAGCGGTTCGGATGGTACGAAAAGCTATCTTTTGTTGAAATATAGAAGCTGCAATAATAGTCATTGCCAATAAAACCACATTTAAGGCTTAATCCTAAAACTGTAAAACGTATAAAGGTCATAAGGTTAACTTATGTATTTATTGCCGATAAGTATCATTAATAAAACGGTCATGTTTACTTCCACAGGTCGTTAAGTAATGATGAAATACTTAATATGACAAATCGTTTAACAGTGCATTTAAACGTTTGGCCCGTTTATGTTAACGACAAAGGCTCAGATCGCAGCATAGACGTAAGCCATTGGTTAAGTTTGGTCTCCTAATATCTGAGGATGTTTCAGAAACTGTTATGTTTTAGGTATACTTCCGGATAACATATTATGCATTTGTTGAGTTTCATTTTCTAATAGCACATTTGGGACATTTTAGACTAAAACTTGTATTTCTATGATTGTCTATATGTTTAACGTCCTACTATTCCGCACCGACTAGGCGAATGAAGACGGACGTACACCACTTAAATGTATACACGAGGCCTCAGTTATCCGTCTAATCCATACACAATATAAGTGGAATTTTGCCCGGACAGCGCAGCGGTGCTACATTCTACTCTTATTTCGAATTCCAGCTGTCAAGTGTTCATTTACGTGCACGCCAATGTGTACACGGGAACTCGGTTTATCACACCGGAAAATCCCGCGGATCTTTCTCGGCCAACACCGGGAGCCAAAAGCCGAGACAGCCTGGTTAGCGAGCTAGCGTCTTACTCATTGAACCACCGCGGCTCCCTTTTACCTCTAAATAGTAAGTGCAGGAGGACGGCACTACACGTAAAACAAAATTCTACAAGATAAACCTGCGGACAGGACAGAAAATAGACATTGCACCAAATATCAAATCAAGTGAATTGATCCGGGAGCCAGCCGTAAGCGTCCACTGCGCTGTACAGTAGTGACACAGACTTCACTCAAATTTGAAAACAACCAGGAATACAAAAGTAACAGTAAAATCTGAAGGACAGTGTAACACGTGTCGTCACTACTGGTTTTAGCAGTAGGGCTATTGAGAGAGAGAGAGCTCAGGTAATCAGTCATGTTTATCTTTGGCTGGCCAGAGTGATTGCTCCATTCCCATTCCCGGTCAAGTTTTTTGAACTCTGGGCAGATAACATTAAACTTTAAAATAAAACACCAAGATATAATACGTGACGACAATATTACTAAGTGTTCAGGGGTGTGTAGTTAGTTCAAACCTCACATTAAACTTACTCTGTCAACAATGAGACACTAAGCTAGTTGACCGACATTTTAATACCTAAATGGACGATTTTAGTCGAAACAACAATTATGTATACTTCGAGAATTTATTGAACTATTTATTCCCCTTTCATTTTATAAAATTGAAAAGGTTTATTTTAGTCTTTTTGTGTATGGTAGACATGAAACGAAGTAGAACCTCATAATTATATACTAATTTTTAAATATGGCGGCCATTTAGGAAGGAAAGAGATACATTCACGAAGTAGATATTTCATGATGTGCCGAATGGTTCAATCCTATGTTTTCAAACGCCCTCAAGTTTCTTCAAATTCATCAGCTTTCACGTAACTTCACTAATGTAAACAATATGAATTTCATACGATATGTGGGTGTGTTTCTGCCATCAATTTTTTTTAAAAAAAATAAACGATGCTTTATTCATAAATGAATTGAGTTGGAGAAAATGCATGGCATATGTAACCCCTCTTCTTTTATTGAGACGAGTGGTGTGGTTTCTATCCCAACATGTCCTGTCCCAGACGTCGTTTCCCCGGGTTTCCCATCCTCTGATTGGGACCAATGCGCCTAAGTATGGTGGCTGATTGGTATCATGTCGTAATGTCGTGATGTCGCCTTTCATAACGCGACAACCCAACTACCCGACAACCCGACATCACGACATTTCTACCCGACATTACGACAACCCGACACCACGACATTTTTACCCGACATCACGACATTTTTACCCGACATTACGACACTAAAAATGTCGTAATGTCGGGTAAAAATGTCGTGATGTCGGGTAAAAATGTCGGGTTGTCGTGATGTCGGGTTGTCGCGTTATATCTTGACCATGTTGTACATAGAGGATATTTGTCGTTTTAGAGTGAATAACATATTTTATTTCATCGAGAAGCAAGAAAACTTATATTTTCACGAATGCGTAGCATGAGTGAAAATATAAACGTTTTCTTGCTTAGAGATAAAATAAAATATGTTATTCACGACAAAACGACAAATGTTCTATTTATTTTATGATTTTACAATCATTTTAGGTAAAAACAACATGGACTACTGCTAGCCAGTGGAATAACACTTTTATTTCACTGATAAATCGCGGTATTCCACTACTGATCATAAAATAAATCTCTATATTCGTTTAAAAAACAACTTAAAACACATTTATTTAATCAGGCTTTTAACTGACTCTGTATACAATCGTTAACATGTTCATAATCTTCTTGTTTATTTATGATTTTCCTAAGGCTAAGCAGAGATAAGCAATTTGATTGGTCGATGTTTTGGGACACAATAACCTCTCATGAGAGAGAGAGAGAGAGAGAGAGAGAGAGAGAGAGGTTTAACGTCCACTCGACACAAACTAGGTCATTTCGGGACTAACATATGGTTCAATTTTATTTCAATAATTCACTCGCGCGTAGGGGTCTTCGGCAGTCGGAGGAAACCGGGGGACCCGGGGAAAACCCACGAGGTTAGACAGACGACCCTACTCTTTGTCATGTACAAGCTTGGGCTGGAAACCACACCACTTGACTCAATGACAGACACACAGACAAGGGCGGCTTCATAATATGTTCATATTATGAAATGAAATGGGGTTTAACGTCCTACTGTTCTGCTCCGACTGAGCTAATGAAGACGGTTCACATTATGAATGTGGACGTATACAAATGGATACGAATGCAACTCAAACTGCACTGTGAGTGTCATAGGCGTCCGTGGCCGAACTTGTTTGGGGGGCCAGCATATTTTCCCGACAAATATATTTCTTTAGAGTCCCTGGGCGCCGGAGGCGCTAAGCGTCCGACGAGGGGTCTGGGGGGCCTCCCCCATAAAATTTTGAAAACCAGACGGCCGTAGACGCGATTTCCAGGCATTTCGAATACTTTCTAGTAATTTGGAGTGGGTAGTAAATTATGTCAGTTGCAGCATAAAAACTGGTAAAAGTCATCTTTAAAATACAAGCTCTATTACTACGAAAACAAAGAACAAGTCGAACGATTTACTTTTGCCACATTTTTCATTTTATGAGACTTCACATTTTTTTATCAGGGAAGGCATAAACAGAGAGTTTATACTGCTTTTCAGATCACTTCTATCACTGGGCTCGTCCGGTGCATGGAGTTGGATGCCAGTATACAGGAACACAGTCAAGAACTGAGAAAGGCCATGTGTACGTGCTAGTTCTATTCAGATGGCGTACGTGTTCATCATTGACTGGACTGCTTTCTTTCCGCTTCCATATTATTAAAAATATTCAAAACCCGACAGACGGCGCGACGCTTCCCGACAAACTGAGCATTCATTCCCGACAAGACCATAGCCTTCCCCGACAAGGCCATACCCCTACCCCCACCCCATTTTCAACAACTCCTCGGCTAATGACCGATCTCACAAGATCTCACAATTCTGAGCTCTTTTCAGATTTCTATTTTTTTTCATGAAAATATTTCGGGGGGGGGGGGGGGGGGCGCTGCCCTCCCGCCCCCCCCCCCCCCCGCCTCGTACGCCTATGGTGAGTGTGAATCTACTTCCACTTGATCAACCATTTTCTTAATTGCCAGTTTTTTGTTATGAATATCATCGTGGCCGCTTATAACATTGATCATGGAAGTCGACAACTCGACATCACGACAACCCGATAACACGACATTTTTACCCGACATCACGACATTTTTAGTGTCGTAATGTCGGGTAAAATGTCGTGATGTCGGGTAGAAATGTCGTGATGTCGGGTTGTCGTGTTGTCGGGTAGAAATGTCGTGATGTCGGGTTGTCGCGTTATGAAAGGCGACATCACGACATTACGACATGATACCAATCAGCCACCATACCCAAGCGAATTACTGAAATAAAAGATATACAAATTTTAATGTTAGTCCCGGACTGATCCAGCTAAACTCCTATACCAATCAATCGTCCGCCGTAGCCTCTCCAGTCGATAGATTTGGTCGACGAATCGACGGGTGAAACTCTGTGTTTAAAATAACTTGATTAGTGATACAAAATAGTTCTATATTTGTTTGCACTAAAATATAAGAACAATTCGTTTGTCTACTGAATAAAGTCTACTGTTATCATTAAAGTAATCTGATATCCACATGTGTATATGAGAACACAAATAACTGGTTTAGTCGGTTAAATCCGTTGAGCGGCGCGGTTCTACTGTCGCCTGGATTGGACGAGAAACCTCAGCAAATGATAAATGTATCCACATATATTTGAAAAAAAAAACCCCAGAAAACATCAATTTCAAGGCATAGAAATTCCTTAGTGATATAAATAAACCTTGTCCTCATAAAGTATAAACAGGAAGGAAATGTATACCGGTTGGTTTAATCTTACAGCCAACACTGGTGCATGTTTCATTTAGAGGCAATCTATCTTTTTTAAAAATGGCCTACATTGAAATTTGAAATGATATAATAAATAACACGTGTTTTATAGCAAAATAATATGGTTGGTATTATTTGTTTCTCCACTGACCTAATACAAATGTTAAAGCGTTATGAATTTTCACAGTGGATATACCCCCGTCAGACCGGATTAGTGTCCTTACTGCTAAGATCGCCATACGCGTGGTAAAAGCATGGTGGAAACGCCAGATATCGTGCTGTGGTATCCATGGTCGCCAATGATCGCCGAGTCACGGCGTTTGTTTTAAGCATATTCAAAGCAAACGCCAAGGTTCTGAAATCTGGCCTGTAAGCTGTGACAACGGGCCTTTTTTCAAGTTTGTAATTCTTTGGGACATTTTCTCGTATTGTCTTCACGTTTGCCGGCGATCATGTGTATTTTTTGGTCGCCTTATGGTCGCAGCAGCGCAGTAAGGACGCCACCCCGGTCTGACGGGGGCGTTATCTAGATAGTTACCTGTAATCACAGGAATACCCAACCAATATCATAACATGAGTATTCCCCAACAGTTGGTCGTTGGGATACTACGAAAAAAAAACAACCCCGTGTACACATTGACGCGAACGTAAAATTACTTTTAACAGTTGGAATTAGACGAAAAGTAGTCGAAAACGCCGCAGCCCAGGGCAAATTCTTCTACCTATCATTGATGTTGTTTCTATGTCACATGTACTATCCCAGAGGTAATAACTGCCGGAGACTCTTGATTCTTGATTATTATGACTATTCTCTCATGAAACTGGCTGGACATACGAGGTTTTGTTCAACATTTGAGAATTTCAGACAAATGAAGTACTCTAAAAAGGCAAAGCCCCACTAACCAACAGATCCGGAGTTCGATCCCGGTGTTAGATGAGAATGTTTCTCGGTCAATGATGTAAGACGGGGGTCCTGGCAAATATAGTGTCTAGTCGTTTGGATAGGACTAAAAAAGCAAGGGTCTACACAGCGTGCTCATAAAAGAACCATTGACAGTTGGCATTAGGCCTCATAGTCGTCTTCATTTTACTACTTTACAGAAATCAGATGTTCTAATTTAATCTAGTACTGATCGCTGACGGTCATGTGATCAAAACAAAACATTAATGTCATCATAGTGGGTCTTACATGCGACGGAAACAGTTATGCTACAGCTGAGCCGACGGATTTTAAAGCAGGGTGGCTGTCATTATAAAGATATCAACAATTATCTGTGAAACATTTATTGGGTTAATTGGTGACCGAGAAAACTACGATACATAACTAGACAATTAATTATATACTCGACGGGAAGCATTGTGTTAAAGGGATAGATATATATTGTCTAAATTCTAAAAATAATTCAGACATATTTACTGTAATTATTGACACCGACAAGGGTGTTGCTGGCAATTAATAAAGTGAGTTCTCAGTTTTAGAAATACAGCATCGAGCGTATACACCATGGCAATTCCGTATTCTAGTTCTTTGGGTGAACACTACAGAAATAGATTTTATTTGCGATGCTTTTACAATCATTTCTAGTTTGTTGCCAGAGTTACATATTTCTAAGACCCAAAGCCTGGCATTCCAGTGACCGAGATTTTTAAATTTAACACTATTTTCACCATGTATCCTCCACTTCTGCTATCACTCTCAAGTACAACATGGACAAATGAAATGAAATGTGGTTTTATGGCACGTCAGCTCCAACCCGGCTATATTGCGACAACATGGACATGGAAATAATGTAATTTTAGTAATCTATAATATATGCAATGTGTTTATAAGCTATGCAAGTTGAAGACGAGAGGGGAAATTTACCGTCAGATGTAGGAGAATAACCTTGCATGCTGGTGTACCGTTTGTAGGTCAATGCCATAAGCTGGTAAATAACGATATCCATTAACATAACAGTACAGCAAGGTCATATAACATATATATTATAATAGGTCATTACATGTGAACCATCTATCCATTTGGTTAAAGCTCCCTTCACACATAGCGAAGACCTCGCTACGCGCTTGCTACACGCAGAATTTCGATAGAGCGCCGTGTGGTCGCGGTGAAATGCAGATAAAACCGCCAAGTCTTACTGTGAAGGCAGCCACGCTATCCGTACGCGCAAAACCTCGGAAATGTTCACTCTTTTCCACGTTCTCAGAAATGTTCACTCTTTGCTACGTTCTCACTAAGCGTATATCACGACCCACACAGATATACAAGCTCGTTGCTTTCTTATCACGCCCCCTCCACAATTACACAGCCTATTACACGTCCTCATTATTGTCGTCTCCCACGCCCGCTCGTCACCCACAAAGGTTAAAGATGTCATCCGAAATTTGTACACAATTTCAAACGACTTCCCGCAAGTACATTCGGAGCTGTGGCCCTTGATTATTTTGCAAAGCCTTATCATCCGATTGACTTGCGATTTACACACAGTGTTTATGTTCATGAGAGAAGACTCCTATTGATTTCTGAATAATTAGTTTTGATAATTACTTCATGGTTTGTTACCCTTGACCAGTTGAAAGTGTCATGTAAATGCCTGGCAACCTTTGTTACAGAAAACTTCCAGAACGGTGTTTATTCCAATCTGTTCAAAAAAAGTTGTTCGTAGAACATTATCCTTGGGTGGTGCCCATTCCTATTAAATAGGTTACTCGGTCTCAAAAGAAAAGATCAAATTTAATGATTATATAAATTTGCTCAGCATGTATCGTGGGATTGTTTTTGTGCTACCGTATCCTTGCAAAATTGGTAAAAAAAAATCTGTTTGTTCCCATCCGTAGGGATATGGACATTTTCTTCAAACTTGAATGTAAAATTGAGAATTTATTAATATATTGATTCGCTTATCATGTATTTGACCACTGGTTAGGATTCAATAGTCAGTACCTGTGTTGGCCAAAAAAGAAATCCTCGTTTTTTTCCTTGGTGGTTTCCCGTTGTCAGTGGTGCATGATGGATGGCCTGGCAAGGTACAACGTCTAGTCGTTGAGATGGGACGAAAATCACGAGGTTCGATGTCCAAATTGGGACCCCTAACAGTTGGAATTTGAAAGAGTAGAGCCGCTGTCCGGGCAAAATTGTCCTTACAGCACACTGCATGGAATATACCCGCCTCCAATGTCTAAAGGTATCCCAGGAGAAATTCATATCTTATATTGTATTTATATTTAAAGGTATCCCAGGTGAGATGTATATGAGAAGTTTAAAGATGATGATTTTACCTTTAATTATTTGTAGTGTTATAGCAGGTATGTAATACAATAAAATTAAGCATTCAATTTTGTAAAAACATATTCGGGTATTTTAGAAACTGCTTTTGATAGCAACGAAGTTTTGATTTTCTTTTTATAAGCTCACATTGAAATGTGGTCGCGTATTATTGTCGCCCCTGTCCATCTATCTCGCATCCATAATTTCTTGTGAAAACTCTACAGACTACATTTATTGTCCGATCCTATAGTTTACATTACTGAGAAGATAAGGCTTACTGAATTTCAACAATTTCCGTTAATTACTTCTAGAGTCGTGTCCCCTGTTCTCCTTGTAAAATCTTGTGAACGCCCTAGCAAAAAATTAATTATCCTATCTACTTTCAATTATTTATGATAATTAGTTTAAGGGTCGTTACTCTTGGTTACGTTTTAGTGCCATGTAAATGGTCCAACTGCCGACAAAAATAATACATATGCTGCATCCTTTACGGACAGCGCGGGCGTATGTTTCGTTGCCTGGCATGAAATCTTGTATACAATACATATGTTATTCTATTCATACAGGAACGGCGTCACTGGATCCCAAGTCAAATGGCAAAATCAGTGTGGTAGCGCTGGTTTACATAATTATTACAAATTGTTTACCGTGTCTGGTTGGCATGGGGATGGCACTAATTATAAGACCAGGTAAATGTACTTTATTACATGTTATTCCTGGAAATCACTGACGTTTCTTATGACGACAATATTGTCTTCTATGCAGTTCATCAGATAAAATGCGTTGTTTTTACATGAAAGACAGTCTTGTTCTTTTGCTGAGTTATGGCAACATTGAATAGCTTGTAGACGCATTCATAGAAATACTGACTGTTTGGGTTAACGACCTCCTTCACAGAGATAATGAATAACACTACTCGTCAAAAAGTTCCGACTGCTTGCTTAGTAACGACTGTCAATTTATAAAGCCGATCCCGTTTTACATTTAAAACCAAAACGGCATATTAAATATCACTGCTTCGGATTCAATCTGATTAAAACCCAGATTCTATTTCGTTTCGCATTTTATAGGTTAAAATTTCGTTTTACTTGTCTTTACTTCATGTAGTAGAGGCCATCGAAAGTATAAAAAAAAACGAAACGAAATATAGATCTGTATTTTAATCAGATTGCTTCGGATTTTATCCTGAACTAATTGTCTCTAGAGACGGACGTTATATTGACTCTAAGCTTGGTAGCGAGTAAGCTACGGTTAATGCATGCTAAGACTAAAGTTCAGTTGACCAACACGGCTAGTATAACTAATTAAAACACGATTCACCACTTAAACCAATAAATTATTGTTTTTATCATAACACAGAATAAAGTTTTAATGATGTATGATTATACAGGTGAAGGCGTGTCTGCATCAAGTAATCAAAGAGAAATAAAGGCACCTGTCATGGAAACAGCTGATATATTCGCAGATTTACTCAGGTTAACAATATAGTTTTGTATCGGTGTTGTTAGAATTTCTGTAAATAGTTATTTTATCACGATTAGTTATTTTGATTTATTTACGTTTCCTAATTTAAAGTGAAATATTAGTATTTCGCTGGAACAGTTGCATGATATTATATGTGAAATGCCATAAGTGTGTCAAATAGCACCGTGTATATTTTCGTGTATATTTTTAAACAGTAATTATTAGAATAAGTATTCTAAAATACTAATTAAAAGGGTTAGAAAGATCAAATATTTCAAGTGGTGAACTAATATCAAGATGATATATCTAACTTTTGAATGAAATGAATATCGTTTGTTAATCATCCACACCGTTCCTTCTTTTGATTAGTAGTCATTAGTGTTGTTTATGTATAATGTATCTTCTACAGGAATGTTTTTCCCGACAATATAGTAGCTGCTTGTTTTCAGCAGGTAATAAAATAACAGGCCTTAGATAAAGGCCTACAAGGCCCTTATCCGCTGTTTACATTACAATAAGTGTGGGTGTGATTGTGTGTGTAAAAAATAGCCTTAAATAGTTCTTTAAAAAATATATAATATTAAAAAGAAACACAAAAACAAACTTGATTTCAGTGAGTTCTTTCAACAAGTGGTTGTATTTTTCATTAATGTGTTTGAATTAGCATTATATTTTTTTAAATTTAAATTAAATCTATTTTGAATATTTGCCTTTCTTTTTATTTATAGTCACAAACAAAGTATGAAATATTAGAGAAACAAGTACTTGAAATGAATACAACAAGTGACCTTGTTAATTCAACTGTAATCACTAAACTCAAGAAAATAGGAATCGCCTACTCTACCAATGTACTTGGTAAGTATAACAAACAGGCTCAATATTTCTAAATGACATTTATTTAATAGAAATATTCCCCTTTTTGGGGTAATAGTAAAACGCAAATTGAATAGAATGGGCCAAGCATAGAACCCCGTGGAACACCACGGGAAATGTGGGTTATACTGCTATATCAGTACATATATATGTATCCAAATATAAATGTCCACAACATGTCTAAAGGTAAGATGAAAGACTAAAAAGAATCGATCCCAATGAAACACCGAAACGATTACCCCCTCCCCCATACCCTACCTCTCGCCCACCCAGTAGATTTAAATCAGAATTATTTATTATTCGTGTGAATTATAGGTTTCTCGCATGCATGCTTTAATGATATGATACGGAATTCGGTGGGTTCTGAAAGTTAAAATGAGCCTTCAGTGAACACGTGTTTCAACCATTTCAGTTAGAAGGGAAACGTGGGGAACTAATCTTAATGGATTCCTTTCATCACAATCGAAATGTTTAGAAAATTCCCCAGCACTCTTTACCTAATTATCTTGTGTTTATCAACAGGTATCGTGGTGTGTTGTTTGTTTTTTGGCATCGCAACAACTTCAGTGGGTGAACTGGGTAAACCCTTCTTCTTGTTCTTCCACTCGGCTAGTGAAATAATTTTAAAGATCCTTAGAACAATGGTCTGGTATGTATATCGCTTGGTCTCAGCCCCTCAATCAAACATTTTACACCATTGAAAACCCTTGAGCTTACGTAGACGTAACTGTATATTTCGATAGTTCAATTGAAATGTGGTCGTATTTTGAAACCCCATATCCGTCCGTCTGTTCGTCGTCTGGCTAAAGTGGTTATGGTCATGAGATGAAAAAGAATTTTGGTTTCAGATAATTAATGTCGCAGTCATTAATGCCCTTGATTACATATTGTGATCCCTCTGGATGGCTAGTGTTCTAATCTGGTGTTCAAGAGATAGAGAGTTTTATTTATTATTTTCGATACCTTCTAACAGCCAAAGTTTTCAATATCTCTGATGATTACTTCATGTGTAGTAGCTTGGTAGCTTTTTGATGTCTTGTAAATGTCCGGTATGTGGACGTATGTTTCGTTGTCTGGCGACCTTTATTTGCGATTTGGATGGTAGAGTTTGGTATTTGAGTGTATGACTAGATGAACATCGCGGAATCTGAACAGATTGTTTAAAGTTCAGTTCTAGTATCTTATAAATGCTCCCATTACCTACTAAAAAAATCTTTGCGGAGTGTTCGAGTCACTGAACCGATGATGTATGTTTCGTTGCTTTCAATAATTGCTTTTGAATTTGGTAGGGGGGGCTGCAACACCCCGAGAAAACTTACGGGGTTAGCTAGGCGACTCTACTCCCTATCCAGTGCAATACATCGATCAAACGCATGACTTGCATAGATAACAATTATTATGATCTGCAGCACACACGTTAACCCCCCCCCCCCCCTTCACTCTTCTTGAATAGTATTTGATTTTTGTTTTAATCTCTTGAGGAATTTATGTACGTGATGTTTATTTCAGGTCGACTCCTATTGGTGTTGCCAGTCTTATAGCTGTAGCTCTAGTTAAATCTAGTGGATTAGAGGACACGTTTAAATCAATGGGGATGTTCACCTTGACTATATTTTGTGGTATTGCTATATATCAACTCCTGATCGTACCATTGTATTATTTTGCTATAATGCGAACTAATCCCTATAAGTTTTTAGCCAGTATGTCCAGGCCATGGATGGTTGCCGTTGCTACAGCTAGCTCGTAAGTGTACTTTACTTTGGATTCGTTACTTTGGAGAGTCCAGAAAATAAAAACAGCTAGTATTAAGACGTAACAATACAGTAATAAGGATATTGACACAAGGATAAAGGAACCCCTAGCAGTTGAAATTATATATAAGAGTAGACCGTAGTGACGCTGTATGGGCAAAAATTCCCTTATAGCACACTGTATGGCGTATGCTATGGGGGCGCAGAACAGTAGGACGTTAAACCCCATTTCATTTCATTTGAGAAATGGAGAGGATAACACATAACCACGCAACAATAATGATTTTAACACACAACCATTGAATAAATAGGCCCATAACCCCCTCATCGTAAGTCATACTTGTTAAACATCTGATGTTTAATTCCCATTGACAAATTATTATAATGTCTGTTTTATGTTAGGTGTTATTTTCTTCTTCAGAGCTGTGGCAATTCCAGAAACATTAAATCGTTTAGAGACGACTAATAAAGTAGATAAAAGAATTTCTAGATTCGTAGTACCTTTAGCTTCAACTATAAATCGTGATGGTAGTTCATTGTATATCACTGCAGCCTGTATATTTATAGCCCAACTTGCAAATCATGATTTAGATGCTGCTAAAATTATGCTTATATGGTGAGTAGTTGTAATTTATCGTGTTTCGTGTCATAGACCAGACCACAGAACATATATTTTTATCGCAACTTAACACTGGCTCAAATTCGTGTATCATGTCATTTACTAAAGCACAAGACCGCAGACCTATTTTTATTGCAACTTAAGAATGACTCAAATTCGTGTATCATCCCATTCAACAGGGCACAGGATGATCGACTTATTTTTATCGCAAATTAAAATGTGCTTAAAATGCAATTTCTTCATCTCATTTTATCTGTGGTGTTAACACCATACGGGATTAAGTCGTTGTCCGCCATCTCTTTTTCTCGTTTGTCGCCATGATAACCGTTTATGACCAGTCTCTGGTTTATGCTCTAGCGACAAAAGTTTTCATCTTATCTGTTTGAAATTTCTTTTTCATTATGGTCTGTGCTTTTTTAGAACATTCTACCGAATATGGTACATGAGTAATTTTCGTGACATCCGTATTCTTACCTTACTCTATCTTTGTGCTTGTGTAGAGTTTATTACATGAAATATACACTATGCAATTGCAAGGTTTTGTTTGCATTGTCTTTGCTTTTGAATTTCAGGATTCTAACAACGGTGATATCACTAGCTGTACCATCAGTACCAAGTGCTGGTGTCATGGCCGTATTAATTAATCTAACAGCTCTAGGTATTCCTGCTGATAACATCGGTCTTCTGTTTGCTATGGAATGGCTACTGTGAGTAAATCATATGTATGATACGCTTTGATATGTAACAGTGTTTCCATTCATTGGGTTGATATTTAATGGACAGTCTCCGAATTTACAGGATATTTTAAATAAAAGAATGTAAACCATCACTATAGAATATGGCGATATAGCTTTTTATACTTTGTCTGAAAATTCCAAATGAAAATATTTGGCCGTTCGGAAATGATCGTTAGATTTGCTTTTAATCGAGTTACTTAAATCATATAAGAAATTCCGTGAGTGACTTAGAACTATATAGACATGGTTGTCAAGGCAATTGCACATACCGAAATTCGTGAAAACTGAAATGGGGTTTAGCGTTCAACTTTTCTGCACCAACGGTGTTCATGAAGACACAGTGAGGTGTGATAGGAGAACATTTGACCCGAGCAGTGGTATCTTGTCAATACAGAGATCTATCGAACTTCTTGGTTGGTTAGTGAATGAGTGTCTTACTCATTGAGAAGCCGAGGCTCCCAGGACTTTTTGCCAAACCCGTATGCAAACTGAAAGTTAGTATCATGAAACTTTAGACAGTTGGTCTAATAGGATAATGATTGGCAAAGGGTCTTCCAACCAATTTTGCCGTCGCCTTCGTCCGTCTGTCGGTCTGTCGGTCCGTCAGTCCGTCCGTCGTCCACAATTTCTTGTGAACACTCTACAGACTACATTTATCATCTGATTGTTTTGAAATTGATATATGTTGTTTGCATTAGTGCGATGAAGAAGCCTATTTAATTTCAATAATTTCGGTTTATTTATTCTGGAGTTATGGCCCTTGTTTCACTTTGTTGCACCTTGTGAACGCTCTAACGACAAAAGTTATCAACCAATCTGTATGAAATTTATATGCATCATTTAGATTAGTAAAACAAAGAAGCCTATTGAATTTCAGCAATTTCCGTTTGTTACATCTAGAGTTATGGCCCTTGTTTCACTTTGTTGAATCTTGTGAACGCTCTAATGACAACAGTTATCATCCGATCTGTTTGAAATTGATATGCATCATTTAAATTAGTGAAACGAAGAAGCCTATTGAATTTCAGCAATTCCCTTTAATTACGCCTTGATTTCTTGCCCTTGTTTCACTTTGTTGTACCTTGTGAATGCTCTAACGACAAAAGTTATTTCCGATCTGTATGAAATTTATATGCATCATTTAAATTAGTAAAACGAACAAGCCTATTGAATTTCAGCAATTTCCGTTAATTAAATCTAGAGTTATGGCCCTTGTTTCACTTTGTTGAATCTTGTGAAGGCTCTAATAACAGCAGTTATCATCCGATCAGTTTGAAATTGATATGCATCATTTAAATTAGTGCAACGAAGAAGCCTATTGAATATCAGCAATTTCCGTTAATTACGCCGTGAGTTCTGGCCCTTGTTTCACTTTGTTGTACCTTGTGAATGCTCTAACGACAAAAGTTATTATCCGATCTGTATGAAATTTATATGTATCGTTTAAATTAGTAAAACGAACAAGCCTATTGAGTTTCAGCAAATTTCCGTTAATTACATCTAGAGTTATGGCCCTTGTTTCACTTTGTTGAATCTTGTGAACGCTTGAACGACAAAAGTTATCACCCAATCTGTATGAAATTCATATGCATCATTTAAATTAGTGAAATGAAGAAGTCTATTGAATGTCAGCAATTTCCGCCAATTACTTCTAGAGTTATGGCCCTTGTTTTACTTTGTTGAACCTTGTGAACGTTCGAATGACAAAAGTTATCATCCGATCTGTATGAAATTTATATGCATTATTTGAATTAGTAAAATGAAAAAGCCTGTCGAATTTCAACAATTTCTGTAGATCACTTCCAGAGTTACGACCCTTCTTTTAGTTTTTAGAACCTTGTGTGAACCCTCAAACGACGAAAATTGTAATGTCATCTGTGTGAAATTGTCTATTGAATACCCCTAATTACCTACAAAAGAATAAATATGCGACAACCCTTGTCGACCGCGCGGACGATTTAGCTGCTGTTGGCGTATGTTTTTTTGCCTGGCAACCAATCTTATTTACTAAAATATATTAGGGTCTACATTTAACTCTGTATTTGCAGTAACATGAATTGATGAATTAGATGTTTTCACGATAATTATACAATAGTTACATGGAATTAAACGATTTATTATTCTAATTTAACTGATTTAAACTAATTTAACCCCACATCTAAATTATTGTATGCGTATTATTGTTTTCATTTGGGTTATCTAAATGCTATGTGCACTATCCAACCTTTATTATTATTACCTTTCTTTCATCGGTTGGTCGGTCACTACGTATTTAATCATTCTCACTTTTAATATGTCAGATTAATTATGGGGAAAAAAATAAGCAGGACCCCTTTGATTTGGCTGAAAATAAATGAAACTTGTTCTGCTACTTTGGAACAGCATCTGTCCTGCAGAGTACAAGGGGTTCAGCCTTTCGATAGGATTCATTTCTATACGTCCACATTGACATATGGTCGTATTTTGTAGTCATTTGTCTGCTTGTGGACGCTCTAGAGACAACCTGAGTGACTCTAAATCTACTAGTTTACACAGTGTTTAAGATCATGCATCGAAGAATCCTATTGCATTTTAACGTATTCCGATTATTACTGCCAGAGTTAAGGGCCTTATTCACTTTTAAAAATCTTGCCGAACTCTAGAAACGAGATTTATCACCCGATTGAATTTAAATTGATACACCGTGTTCATTATCGTGAGATGAAGATTGGACAGATAAATTCGTGATATTACATGGTTATGTGATAAACGTTAACATGGGGGCCAAACAAATATTTAGTGTCAACGAACGAAAAATTTGGGACAACTCTTGTGGATTGTCGGGACGACTTGGCTGCTGTGAGCGTATGTTTCCGAAATGACCCAGTCCCGAAATGACCTAGTTTGTGTCGAGTGGACGTTAAACCCCATTTCTCTCTCTCCCTCTCTCTCTCTCCCATGTTTCGTTGCCTGGCAAACTATCTTTCATAACAACCGTTGGAATTCTAGCATGGTACTCGAGATACCCAGTGGGGAATATCAGTTAAAAGCAAATTAGTGTAGTCGCGAAAATTAGTTTGTGGTATTTCCGATACGCGAGCAGACAAAACATGTTATAATTAAAGGATAATGCTATACAGTTGTCATATATGTATATGTACTAGTATGTAATTATTTAAGTAGATATATATCAAAGGTTATTTATCATAACGGTATCAAAATATGTAATTTCTAACTATTTAATAATTATATGTTAATTTTCAACTAGTTTACTATACATGTATATTAAACTATTGCCATTTCTCTTTCAGTGATCGACTTAGGACTGGATCAAATATGTTAAGTCATGCGTGTTGTACCATGGTTACCTACAAATTATGTAAATCATCCCTTCCGCCATTATCAGAGAAAGGTGATAATATCGAGATTATAGTAGAAAATTCAATAAAACGTCGACTGTCTTCAATGCATAATGCAGAACATGCGCCTTTAAACTATCCAGAAGTAAATGAGAACAATGAACACACGGTACTATAAGTAGAAGACTTTAATGCTACAAACTTAAGGCACCTTTAACGTGTGATCAGAATTGCCTACAGAAATTTGCAGTATTAATATAGAAAACAAGCAGAATCCATCCTATAGTATAGTTAAAATACCTCCAGTGGATAAATTCGGATAACTTTTGTAAGAACAAGTTATTCGCCATTAGCAGCATAGCCTATACATTGACTTCCTAGTGCTTTTAATATCGGTGCTATTATTTGTTTGAAGATTTATGTATGTTTTTATACGCCCACATTGAAATGTGGTCGTATATTGTCGTCGCCCCCGTCCGCCCGTCCGTCCGTCCGTCGGTCCGGCGTCCACAATTGCTTGTGGACGCTCTAGAGACTAAAGTGAATATCCGATTGACTTTAAATTTATATACAGTGTTTAAGACCATGAGACGAAGAAGCCAATTGATTTTCAGCGATTTCCAATAATTACTGCCAGAGTTATGGCCCTTGATCACTTCAAAAAATCTTGTAGACGCTCTAGAGGCCAAAGTTAATATCCGATTGACTTTAAATTTATACACAGTGTTTAAGGTCATGAGACAAAGAAGCCTGTTGATTTTCAGCGATTTCCGATAATTACTGCCAGAGTTATGGCCCTTGATCACTAAAAAAAATCTTGTGGACGCTCTAGAGGCCAAAGTTAATATCCGATTGACTTTAAATTTATACAGTGTTTAAGGTCATGAGACGAAGAAGCCTATTGATTTTCAGCGATTTCCGATAATTACTGCGAGAGTTATGGCCCTTGATCACTTCAAAAAATCTTTTGGCGCTCTAGAGGTCAAAGTTAATATCCGATTGACTTTAAATTTATACACAGTGTTTAAGGTCATGAGACGAAGAAGCCTATTGATTTTCAGCGATTTCTGATAATTACTGCCAGAGTTATGACACTTGATCACTTCAAAAAATCTTGTGGACGCTCTAGAGGCCAAAGTTAATATCCGATTGACTTTAAATTTATACACAGTGTTTAAGGTCATGAGATGAAGAAGCCTATCGATTTTCAGCGATTTCCAATAATTACTTCCAGAGTTATGGCCCTTGATCACTTCAAAAAATCTTGTGGACCTCTAGAGGCGAAAGTTAATATCCGATTGATTTTAAATTTATACACAGTGTTTAAGGTCATGAGACGAAGAAGCCTATTGATTTTCAGCAATTTCTGATAATTACTGCCAGAGTTATGGCTCTTGATCACTTCAAAAAATCTTGTGGACTCTCTAGAGGTCAAAGTTAATATCCTATTGACTTTAAATTTATACACAGTGCTTAAGGTCATGAGACGAAGAATCCTATTGATTTTCAGCAATTTACGATAATTACTGTCAGAGTTATGGCCTTGATCACTTTGAAAAATCTTGTGGACGCTCTAGAGGCCAAAGTTAATATCCGATTGACTTCAGATTGATACACAGAGTTTAAGATCTTGAGACAAACAAGTATATTGATTTTCAATGAATTTTTATGACTTGGAACAGCTAAATCCATGATACAGTATTAAAAGTTTTGTATACAAAACGTTAGCATGGGGCAGAACTTTATAAAAACCAAACAAATTCTAATGGTTTTCTAAGTTATTGCTCTTAATCAGATTTTAGTGTATTATAAATGTTTCATTACCGAAAAAAGTAAAAATATGCGACAACTCTTGTTGACTGCCCGGACGATTTAGCTGCTGTGGGCGTATGTTTCGTTGCCTGGCAACCTATCTTTATGATATTATGATGACGATAATAGTATTATTTGACATAATCCCTAATGGTTCAGAAAATTAGGACGTTAAACCCCATTTTATTTTATTTTTGTTATCTACAAATTATAATGAAATCAGACCTGCACTGTATGAATATGGAATACACTAAAGTGACAAAATCATCATTTAACACCATCAATGAAAACTATTTTTTAATTTTTATTTTATGAAAACAATATGTATATAAAATGTAACACCAATAATATTTGCTCAGATCAAAATACGCCTATGTTGTTATTACATTCAAGGGACATACAATGGCTCGTGGGCGCTCTAGATACCAAAGGTTAGCATGGGGCAGAATTAGAAGCCAAACAAATGCTTATGATAATTACTTAATGGGTTGTTACTCTTAATTAGAGTTTAGTGTCTTTCATTAAAGACGAAAGAAATATTCTGCGTCTGTACCGAGTGAGCTAAAAAGAATTCCCCACGACCATACCAGTAGGAACTTGGATAGTAGATTTAAATTCGAAACACCACTATTACCACAATTACACAACACACCATATAGTTAGGCCTACACCCCTGCTACAAATACATTCAACTATTGATATTGAGCCAAGCAAATCAATTAAATCATACAAATAGGTAATCTTTTAAACAATATACTATGATTCATGCCAATATTATTCCCAAAGTGTGTCTTCGCTAAGGACGTTTTGATTGTGGATACGTGTTCTAAACATTAAAATGGCAATCTGTGTTTTAAAAGAAAACACGATATGGTAAACCCATGCATGGTCTGCGTGTACTGATTTCGGCAAAGAGTCATGGAGTATACAGTACTTTATAAAACCAGATGTCTCACAAGATCTGAGAAAAGTCTTAAACCCATCTAAAGCCCATGAGACTTTTATTTTTCGTCTACATTTTGTTGGACAGTTTTACTGTGGTGTTTGTTATTATTGATCAATCTTAGCTGAAAATCAAACTATGATATGTCATTGTTTAGGAATCTTAGCTAATATTCAAACTATGATATGTTATTGTTTATCAATCTTAGCTAAAATTCAAACTATGATATGTCATTCAATCAGCCTGAATTAAGAATCAAACTACGATATTATATCTTTCAGTCAGTCTGAACTACGAATCATGGTTTTTGGGGTTTTTTTTTCTCATTTTTGTAGTTATCAATCAATCTTATCTGAGAATGAACTTATGATATCTCATTTTTGGTTATTATCCATCAATCTTAACTAATAGTCAAGTGATGATATCGTTTTGTTTGTTATTATTAGTTTGTTTGACATCACATTGTTTTTCCAACTGAATAAAGTTTTTAAAATACATGGTGTTGAAAGTTCAATTTTTCAATGGACAGTTAAGCTTTATAGCTGCAAATCACAATCTAACGCAGATTTAAAATATCATCGTGCTTCTACAGACAATTATTTGAAAATCTAAATGGTACAAGGAACATTGGTTTGTACGATTCGTAACCCAAATTTAGATAACTTAGAAATCTTAGAAATAACCGAACAATTATTATTAGATATGAATAAAATAGAAATGTTACAAAAAGTAGAACGGGTGGAATTATTTCATAAAAATAAAATCCATGTAGTAGGTTTTTCTGATAAGGGGTAGTGGCAACCCACTGGGAAACGGCGGACGCTGGTGTTTTACAGTAAAGAAATGCTCGCTGTGATGACACGGCATTACTGAAAAATAAACCCACAGAAGTAACTAAGCGTTTGTTATACGCTCACATGGAAATGTGGACGTGTATTGCCGTCGCCCCCGTCCGTCCGTCGTCCACAATTTCTTTTGAAGAAGCTCTAACCGCAAAAGTTATTATCCGATTGTTAGTTTGGGTTATTCAAAGTCGAGAAAGTCCGTATGTGCCGGAGCATGACAGATTATTGCAACTCCTCCCACTCCCAGTGCAGGGCTTTAGGGATCACCTCAGGATCTATTAATGGGCCCCTTAGGGTTCATGGGCCCCGGAGCGATGTACTGGTTGCACCCACTCTCCTTTAGCCGGTGAGCTGTTCAATCAACACCGACTCAAACACAAACACAAAAACAATTTATAAAAAATATAACATTTATTTCCTAGTATATTTATCTCATAAATTACACTGTTTAAAAACTGGTATACAAAACAAATATAAGCACTTATAATAAGCAGACAAATTAGATTCTCTTTTTCGGTTGATCAAATTAGCTCTATATTTGTATGACTATCATTAATACATATACAGACCTCCTCTCATTTGGTACCTCACACTAGTGTATTATTAATACATACAGAACTCCTCACATTTAAAATAAACTGACATCACACTATAATGTGTATTATTAATACATACCTCACAACATGATGTGTATTATGAATACATACAGAAATCCTCTCAATTAAATAAACTAAGCTCACACTGTAATATGTATTATTAATACATGCGGAAGACCTCTTATTTAAATAAACTGACCTCACACTATAATGTGTATTATTAATGCATACAGAAGTCCTCTCATTTAAATAAACTGATCTCACAATATAATGTTTATCATTAATACATACTTAAGTTCTCACATTTAAAGATATATTTCCTCCGCCATAAATGGTTCATGTGTTAGATCCTATGAACATATTTGTATCTAATAGAATATTTATAATGAACAGAAAACATCAAATTGACTTAAATTCATAGTTTCTGAAAAGATATGATGCTTTTGGTAACAAATATATTTTTTTTCTGATTAGGCCAAACTAACTTGATTTTCTGTTATTAAATTGTCTTGAAAAATAAATAGACACTTGAATCACATAAAATGATATTTTGTTTAAAATCTGGAAGTAAAAGCCTTTGATCAGTGTAACTAAAGGCTTTTTCTTTGGTCCTTATTCAAAACAAATTTGAACAGGCGTTAACTAAGAACAGAAAATCAAATTGGTGTAGCCTTATAAATGTTATATTTGCAGGCCTGGAAATAATGACTCTAGTTCTAACATTTTGAACTTTATACCAGATATGTGTTACAAATATCAATAAACACACTTATTAAAGACAAATTTCTCCCTGACAAATTCTGAATTTATGTCTGACATTGCCTATGACAGGTGCCTTATTTCCAGCCTTGCATTTGTGAGTTAAGGTCAAAGATACAATAAGCTAAATAAAGTACAATGGGGAAAATAGCTTAGATCCAAACAGAGATAACAATTTCAATATCATATAAATATATTATACTAATATGTAAATACTGGTAACATTGGTAAATTAAAACATAGACTGGGCGTGTCAAGTCCACTATACAATTACCAGCAGCAAAGTTGTCTATGCTAAAAAAGAATAGCTGACAGATTTGACAAAGAAAGTTTTAAATATTCTATTATGAACCCTGCACTAAGCTTTAAAAGTAATAAATATGTGAACAGAAAATCAATTCTGTGAAATTTGTTCACAATTTAAGATCCTACAATTCAGAAATACAATAAGATTCTTCCTTTGCCATGTATTGTGTTTACAATCTTTAATAAGTTTGAATGTAAATTTGTGATTCAAATGATCAGTTTCTGTACAGGTAATGACAATATGTCCTCATTAAATGTGTGTATATACATAAAATAACAGAAAATTACAACAACTATGTTCAAATTAAATATTTTCTTAAAAATTAAAGGTTTTCTTTATTAAGTCACATCTTTGATGCCAAGCAAATCTTGACATAGTAAGCAATAATGTTTTGTAAATAACAAATAGAGAATAAACTGTGATGTTTACCTTACTATTGTCTGTGTGTTGTCAGTGTCACACACGTTCACTTTATTCTTTGATGTGGTCCTCCAGCACTCAATATAAGTTAATAATGCTTCTTTTTTCAGTAAGAATGGTTTATATTAATTTCCTCTGGACAACTGTGCAAGTTTTTACAAAGCCACACAACTTAGAAGATTTTAAAACAAATAATAATAATGACAACCTAATAATAATAATGCAAATACAAGTTCATTCCGCTTTAAACACAAAATGAAAATAAACAAATATATATACTGTACTTTGGATTTCAAAATCAACTTTAATACTTTATTATAATATGTGATACCAAAAACATTCACACAACGTTAGTAACACTATCCTCACTTTAAGTGAAAATGAGCTGTATTCTACCTATCATCCAGCCTTGAAATAAAGATTTTTAATTATACCTGACAAAATGTCAGGCACTATCATGAACTAGCAGTACCTGACCTCTTGAACTTGTATTAAAAATATGAATAAAGAATCCAAACCTGTGCCAGACAAAATGACAAGACACCAGAGAGATTGTACCTTATTTCCAGTCTGGTGTATATTATATAATCATATTCTTGTTCATTCACCTCTGTAAGGCACTTCAACTAATTTATTTTGATTTTTTTTGTGTTGACACTTTGTGCAATCACCGTTTTTTTTTTAATTCTTATTCATATTGTGTTCATGTACTGTTAGTATTGTCTATGTTTCCTTCAGCAGTTGTCTTGACATTCATTGTCTATTATAAGTAAGCCTACATTTGGCTACTGTACAGATATTTCTAGCTTAAGTAAATAAAATTAAAATATAATGGTACTCCTCATAATCTCTACATGCAATTTCAGATTCATATAATTATCCTCCAAATACAGGAGTCAATCTGTATCCTATATCTATGATCATTCACTATTGTCCTGTTATCTTTGTATAAGTTTTATATGTATTTACATGTCAATTGTATTCCATTCCATAGTAGTCGATTTGATTCAATAAAATCTATAAACAATGACTCATGAGGATTCCTTAAAAAAAAAAAAATTAATTATCTATAACATCAGCAGTAGTTCTTACCTTTTTTTAATTTTTGCAATGTAAATTAATCATTTTTTTTTCGTTATACATCAACTAAAATGATTTAATAAGAATCGAGGTGCAAATGACATTATCATTTCATAAAAGATACAAAATAGCACTAACTAACAATAAAACAAACATAGTATATCAATTCAACATAAAAAGAGTAAAAAGTAAATTGGGCAGCAATAGCTTTGGTTGTGCTATATAGGATGGTATATAGTTAATTATGAAATAAATACCAGTTTATATCACGTTTGTATTAAAGTACAAGCAAGGTACACCTAGTGGTCATCAAGACATAAAATACTACCTGAACAAATATGTGGAGGTTTCCTTCTATTTTTTCTAAACCAAATGTCTATTAGTTATAAATAGACTGCATCAGAGTGTCAGATTGAAATAAAGAAAAAACCTAACTGGATAATTTCTTAGATCCATTTATACCTCTTTATAGTCATATATATTAGTTTGCCAACATCGTGATTTTTTAACCTTTAGTGTGGTAACCTCCACGACGTTAGTATGTCACAAAGTCTTGATAACCTAGACTATAGACCTGCCTTGTATAACATAATACAAGAAAACTTAATGAGAAATGAGTGAGATATAGATAATATGATTCTATTCAAGGGTCATTCTGTGTCAATTCACCCAGTGAGGTAAACCATAGTCCCTCGGTACACACGCTTGTTCTGGCTGAAAAAATGAATATTCCATCTTTTACCTTGATTGAACTAACGGTACCTGAAATACAGCCCATGGGTTCCAATCTTCAAATCACCATAGATCAGAGTGAGAGAGAGAGAAATGGGGTTTAACGTCCATTCAACACAAACTAGGCTCAATTTCTATTTCAATAATTCGCTTTCACAAAGTGGTCTGGTAGGAAACCAGAGGACCCACAGAAAAACAACGAGTTTGGACAGGCGACCCTACTTCCCATAGATCAGTAACTAACTGATAAAAAATGAAGGGGATATGGTTTACATTTCCCATTTGTTTACGATGATTTGACATGGAATGACGCCCAATTCTAAATAATTTTGAGTTATAGGTGATAATAATATAAATATTAAAAATAGAAAAAGCAATGGATATGATAAATAAACAGAAATATGTTAATAATATCAAAGAAAATAAATAGATTTGAAAAATTCTGATTGAAGTATTGACTAGTTTATAAAATTAAGTATAAATAAAAGTAAAAACCATTTCATAATGTATCTTTAAAGCAGCTGATCATCATTTGATAGATTTTAAATCCCTTGCAAACTACAATACTGTAAAAGCTTAATCTCTGAAAGGAATATCAGTTCAAAAACTTAAATATGGCGGACCTAGTCTAATCCACTTAATATCTAAGCCATCTGATGTCCTAGAAAGTTAATTATGGGCTTGTCATGTGAATAAATGTCTAAATAATAATTTATCTAACATTTTAAGCCAGAAAAAAGGCTTGCAATAGGCAGAATTAGTTCTGGCATAACGTCTCTTTCAGCTGGCATGAAATATAAGACATTATCGGAAGAATACACAACCAGGATCATCGACTTTAAGCACAGTAAAATATGCTGCATGCAATGATTTTGATTTCACAACTAACTCTGAATGCAGCATTATCTTTGGAATTAAAACATTTCATTTGGGATTTCATTAAATTAGGTTTAAGGAAAATAAAACAACCACTTTTGCGGAAGCAGGCATTAAAGAAACAAGGTACTGCTACATAATTTAAAAATATTTGACATACATCTTAACACAATAATAATAATAATAATAATAATCAGGTTATTGTCTTATCTATTTCATTTACATGGAACTGACTGTGACAGGTTTTGTTTTAAAAAAAATAATAAATGAGGCAATACACAATAAATTCTTCGTTTTTCAAGCAACAACGATTTTAAGGGGCGATGGCGAGACAAATTACAGGGGAAATAACTCTAGTTTTCATAATAATTACATACCACTATCTAATGGACTCGAATGAGGGTTTGGCAGGACAAGAACATTGCTTGAAAATCTAATCAATTTATTTTGTATGGCCTTGTACAAATCTTGGGAAACTCAGTCATGAAAATAAACAGTATAACAAGAAACAAGTGTAGACAAAACATAAAAACAAAAATGAGGATTTATTTTCATGACCAGGTAAATAAAATAAATGCACTCAAATTAATAATAACAACTAAAATATATCAAAGATAAGTAGTTTATGTTATGATACCAATGAGTGGTCATGTATGTGTGTTGCCATGGCAATAGATGAAATGTCTGTGACTAATGTTGATTGGTTGAATTGATCTGATGATGTCATTGGCGGGTCTTCTGGTTCTAACTTTGGAACAAACGGTAATGCACAGTTAACAGTTCCAGCAAGATTCATGGTTGAAAAATGATCGTTTTCAAAACAGTATGGATTGTTAGATGGACTCATTGGTTCCTGAAAGGGAGAAAAATAATTGCCTTTGTATAATTAATATTATAGCAGTCTTCAAGCTTGTTACAAGCAAAGTGTTGTACTACATGAGGGAATCGGCAACACTACCTGAAGATAATCTTTCAGAGGCATTTAGTAACTGGAAAGAGCATAAACTATAACACATACTTATGGAAAAACAGCTGCTATTTTATTAGGGCAAAATCTTGATGAATATTCTCTCAACATTATCAAGATAATACAGTAATACATATCTTGGGAACTGTTGGATCAAAAACTCAAGAGAGAGTAGACTTAAAAACGAAGATATAGCCGCACAAAAACTTTTAAGATAACAAATCCCTTTTAAGAACATCATAAAACAAACCTGTTTTATAGCTATTTCAACTTCTTTCTTCAAAGAGAAAAAACGACCACCATTACCCCGTACTCTTTTCAAAGCATGCTTATGACGAGATTCATGTAAATATTTCTGTAAAAAAAACAAAAAACGACAAATTGTTTTAAATTATGGAAAATGAAATATTTATTTGTATGAAATCTGTGAGGGTAGTAGATAAAAGATGACTTACATTTTATTACCTTGATATTCTAATATTCTGTAGTATACATACTAGTATCTGGGCTACAAATATATGGGAGCCGTGGTGGCTCAGTGAGTAGGTGCTGGCTAGCTAACTTGGAGATCCCAGGTTTGATCCCGGCCGTGTTGGCTGAAAAAGTAACTCAAGATTTTCCGCAGTGGTTTCTCCTTGTCAGTGATGCAGGACGTAGGCTTGACAAGGATAGCGCCTAGTCGGTGGGATGGTGTTGAAAACTAAGGTCCTGTGTGTAAAAGTTGGCGTGCACATAAAAATTCCTTGACATTTGCTCTTCAGACAAATTTTCCTCATAGCACACTGTATGGTGTATGCCTGTTTTCAGTAGGCCGGTAGGTGCAGAAAAATAAGATGTTAAACCACAAAAATATTTGAAAATTCAATTAGTTTTTCAAGGCTATTTGCAGTGATGAGACATTTACTAATATTAATTCAATAAAAAAAACTCATATCCCAAAATAAAATGACATACCTTTCTATATCTTGATATTTTTCCCTCAGCTTCTAGTTTTGCTCTAGCAATACGACGCTTTAATATTCTGTGATATTGTTTGGCATTAACATATAGTGGTTCATCAACAACATCATCACAGTTTGGTATTGGTAAACGATTAACAGTAGTTGTATTAGTAGATCCAGGTACCATCTATAAAAATTTATAAACATATACATTCCTTTGGATATTAAAATGTGGGTCATTTGGAGACTAACATGTGGTTTAACCCCCCGGAAAAAATCTCGACCCACCCAACTGCGCCGACGTAGTAAAGTAATGTAGACACAGATGGATTTTGATGCAAGTTTAAGACAAAATAACCAACATTTAATTTATCATTTTTTATTCACGGTGTTGTTCAACCCACTCACTATCAGATTAAAAACTGAGGACAAAGCTAATCTGTTAAATTTTGAAAACAAAGTAACATAAGGTGGCCTAACACAATCCTGGTATTTCCCTGGCTTCTTATGCAATACCAATGACTAAATACACTTTTCTTGATCAGCATTAAGAATAATGCCCGGGCAGAGCCTCGTTTAACATGGTGATTAGGCGGCGCCGCCACTGCGCACTGGCCAAACTGTGCCGTCTACTGAGCCCAAAAGTTGAAGATTAGGTGGCAACATACATACGTTTTGAAAATCGCTGACAAGGTTTTTCCCATGTGCCAAGCATGCCTGAGGCTGATAATCTGTCATGTCCCTGGCTTGAAACTGTACGTAATACTATATGATGGTTCATAGGTTTACAAAATCGTCTTTCTGATTGTTTTATGGGTCAGCTGCAGCAGTGTTTTGATCTCGATTTTACAGGGTATTAATCAATCCATGGTTTAACAAGATGCCAAAACTAATAGTGTATCAAATCTCCGAAACTATTTTTTAAGTGCTCAGATATCGAGTCTAAGGGAGTCAATTTTCAAAATTTTCTGGGGGAGATCCCCCAAGATGAGGCTCTGTGCCCGGGTGATTCTCATTGTGAGTGTAACGTCCCAAACACAACCCTTTTAAACAACACAAAAACATGACATACCAATAAAACATTGCCATTGTCATTATCTGTAGTTATTGCTGTTGTTTGGTTGTTGTTGTTTATCAGGTTTTGATTGTTTGTATCGGTTGTTGTTATGGCTTGTTGATCATCTGATGATGTGGTTTGTATTAGCTGACCATTTTGATGATAAAATGTACCAGTTGGTGTTTGAACTTGTTGTAAAAACTGATTGTTAATCATCTGATTATTAGCAGGAATAAACTGGTTTAGGTTTTGTGGATACTGAACTTGAAACATATCTAAAATGAACATATAGGTAAAGAGAAATAAAGAAATAAAAAAAAGGTCCCTTGTTTTGTTAAAAGATACACTGTTTAAATTGGAGTGTAGGATCAATTTTTTATCAAATTTAAAATTTGTATCCAAGTATCCATGCTCGTACTTGGGATGCTCGATTGTCCGTCCAGACTGTCTCGAAGTGAGAGAAATTCAATCCTGTCATAGTTCTGTCAGTCCCGACAACAAAGGTCGTATAAGTAGAATCATGACGTAATTAAACGAACATATTTCAGCTGTTCTGATTGGTTGAGATATTTTTCTTATGCAGTCGACGCATGCTTTGTAGCCCAAAATTCCATATTTCACTCGATTATAGCTATTTTATGGATTAAGATAATTAAATTCCGGAACCTTCAATCGAATACCCCCACTGTCTCATTCATAGCAAGGTCAGGCCAATTTAAATTTTAGTTTTTTGGAAATACTTGTTAAAATTTGGCTCCCTATTTCTTGGGAAAAAAATGAAATTTAGAACGGCTCAATGACACAGGCAACTAAAAATTAAATTGATTTGTCCTAATGTCTCATTAACACACAGTACAAATACTCTGTTCATTTTGAGAGTTGATTAATATGGGTAGTTTTAAGGCAAAAAAAACTACTCCTCTCTGATTTCCAACTGGCATTATTTACCAAATACAAGTTTTCAAAACATATCAGGATTGAAAACCCAGATATTCTAATTGTCACAGATGTTGTGTCCGATCCACACAAATACTGTGATGTTTTATTAACACAAAACAAGAAATTTCCAAGAGAAATGGTAAGAACTACATACTTTGTGTCTGTAGTTGTTGTTGATTATTATCTCCTGTTATTGGTTGTTGCCATATTATCTGACCATTAGCCGTCTGTAGAAATGAATTCATCAACTGATTCTGTCCATTAGGTTGTTGAAAAATAATCTATTAAAATAGAAGCAAAACATTAATTCTATGCTGTTAATATGTGAAATACAGTAAAATAACCATTAAATATTTATGATATTGTATTTGTGATGATAGCAGTGGTGTGAATCGATTTAAAATAGTGGTGAAATGCATTGGCAAATTAATCTTGTTCTGTGGGAAGTGCCGGATTTAACTTGAAAGATCCCTGGGGCCTCAAGATCTAAGGTGCCTCCGTTCAAGGTGTAAAATATTTTGGACGCTGTCATAAGTCTTTCTTACATGCCCTGTAATCTTAAACATCTTTCATCATTCCTCTAGTCATGGGGGTGGCGTATTCGGAGGGACCAGGGCCTACCTTCATCTAAATCTGGCACTGTCTGTGGGAATGTCCAAAAGTGTGGGGATTAGGGGCGGAAATGTCCCCCTACTGATCAATGCCCCTCAATATGTACATGTAAAAGTAGAGAGTCATGTACAAGAGGACATGCATAGTAAAATGAGTTTACATTTAAAGCCGCTGAACATAAAAGTTGAATCTCTAATAAGAATAGCAGTGCTAAAATGGTTCATTTCTGTTCAGTATTTATAAAAACATCATGAATTACGAGAGATAGAAATGGGGTTTAACATCCACTCGACACAAACTAGGTCATTTTGGGACTAACATATGGTTCAATTTTATTTCAATAATTCGGTTGCATGAAGGGGTCTTTTAACAGTGGGAGGAAACCTGAGAAACAACCACGAGATTGGACAGGCAACCTTACTCCTTGTCACGTACAACCAGGGAATCGAAACCACGCCAGTTAACTCAATGACAGACCTTATGATACAGCACGCATGTGCTAACCATTCGGCCAGCCATCCCCCCCGCCCCCATAATGAATTACAACATGAATTATTCTCTGCAGACAATATAACCAAGCCTGTATAATCAGTAGATTTCAAGTCTCTGATTTAAGCTATATATGTAGGAATCGCTTGCAAACTAAAATATTGTAAAAGTTTAATCTCTTAATAGGAATACCAGTCCAAAAATGGTTCTGTTCCATTCAATATTGACAAAAATATGACGAACAGAAATTCCATCGATCCATGCTGATCCATATGTAAATGGCACACTCTACTTCTTAGATATTTTGACAGAATCTGTCAACAACATGGTCGACATTTCTTTGAATTTAAAGTTTTTTCGCAATTTTGCAACGTATGCTAATCACCAGTTACCAGTCCTATATTGTAGGATAACGTCATATTCCAAATATTAGAGTCCTACTCCCCTCTTTATGTTTTGTGAATCTAATTGATAGCTCTGTTTTGAATCACAGCCAGGAGATTTTTTAGCATTGACATTTTGATGTTGTTTTCTTAATTAAAAAAATCAATCTGAGTACATAATAGCGAGGGGTAAATACACGAGAAATTTAATATTTTTTATTTGAAAAATGCAAATCACACACAGTTACTTTAAGTGGGTTTTATAGATAGATGATGACTTACCTGTTGTGGTATTGCTTGACCTTGAAATGATTGATTAGTTATAAAAGGTAACTGAAAATAAATATATAAATTATTATCTTTCTAATTCATTTTATTTCAGATTATGTTATGCCTGTTATGGGGGAAGAGTGACCAATTAATATTCTGTTTGATAACACATATTGCATAAAAGAATTGTTCTGCAAACAGTGGAGTTTTTTTTTTCTTTTCATTCTAATAGCATAACAGATATCAGAGGCCAGTGGTGGATGCATCCACTCTTTCCTATTTCAGTAAGATAATCTCATTACCAGTAGCAGAGACCAGTGGTGGGCACATCCACTTTTTCCTACTTCAATAAGATAATCTTAGGCGTTTTTGTGAGTCGATTAGATTAGGTTTTGATTTGCTAGTACGATTTGGTATGATTTCGATTTGATTAGCTATGGTCCACAAATGTGAAATTTTATAATTACAATTTGGTAAGATGGCTGCCACCACGGACACCGATCAGAAAAAAAATTGTCTCTGCTAACAAGACGAGGGGGGCGTGTGTTTCACGTGTAGTCCAAGTTACCTACAGATTACAGTGACACTGCTGGCACCCAGAGGGCCTAAAATTGCTTAGAGCCAGAGGTGATCTAACATTCTTGTGGACTATAAAGTTAACATTAAAGGAGCTAAATCGCTAACATTTGGGACCTAGAAATTGACAAAAGTGGGTCGCAATGCATATAATACTGTAATATGAATGTATATAAACTGATTTACATTCAATGGTTTCCGTTTTTACTCCAATTTCAAATCCTTTATGTTCGGCGAAATAAGCCAGCAGTCTCAAGCGAGTGCAAATTTCTAGCGTCTGGTTATTCCAGTTTACATACGCCGTTTGATTTGGTGCAATGTGTCTAGCCTCGTCCCTCGAGTCTCTTGATACAACTAGGGCTGAAGCGCATTATGGTACACGATTCGTGTACCAATGGTAAAATGTTTATTTTGTCTTAAATATTGGATATCAAAAGCCCATCTTTTCCCGTTAAGATCACAACATGAATGTTGATATAATTTGACAAATAAATCGTGTTTTCAATGTTGAAGATTTTGGATGATATTGAGTTAGAGACTTAGCTACTTTAAACACATCAAATGCGTTTTAAAAAAACATTTTTTATGGCGAAAAACAACAATAAGCATTAAAAATTACTTACGATGTCGAACATTCCGCCATTTTGAAAACGTCAAATCTAATCGCCTAAACACCTCCTGGGACGATTAGGTCGATTTGCCTAATCAGTTGAGTTAAATCGTCTCACAAATGTAACGATTAGCATAATCAACTTGGTTCACAAATGCGTATAATAGCTAATCGGTCTAATCTAATCGGTTCACAAAAACGCCTCTTATTACCAGTAGCAGAGACTAGTGGTAGGTGCATCCACTCTTTCATACTTCAGTAAGATAATCCCATTACCAGTAGCAGAGACCAGTGGTGGATGCATCAAATTTTTTCCATTTCCAGATTATCTTAATTTTATGAGGGAAAACACACATGTGATCAGTCAATAAAACACCTGAGACTAATCCGGGGTGACAAGTTGTGAGTGTTCATCCATATAATTTGCATGTTAGGTAAAACTAGCAAATATAACAGGAAATGAGAGCTATGGTTGAGAGACTTATACATCTTAAATGAAATGAAATGAGGTTCAACATCCTACATTTCTGCACCAACTGCTCTAATGACGACAGGAATACACCATGCAGTGGGCTATGAGGGAAATTTTACATGGAGAGTAATGTTTACATTTATGTTGAAATTCCAAATGCCAAGGGTTCTTTTCATGTGCACCCCAACATGTACGTAGAATCTTGCTTTTCTATCCCATCCGAAGGATTAGACACTCTTCCTTGCTATCAGAGGCGTAGCCGTGAAATATATATTGGGGGGGTCCGCAACCCTAACCACTAACCCTAACCCTATTTTAAAACCTCTAAAAAATATAAACAAACACCATGTGGCCATGCTGTCTACACAACTCGTTTGCTGATTGGCCCACTGTGTGCAAAGTATTATGGTTACGTGGCTGGCTGAGCGGGCGATAAATATTTGGTTTAGGCGATAATGTTTTTGGGTACCTACATGCGATTCACTCTGATAAGTGGCAGAAAAAAATTAACTAGACACAATCTAATGGAACACAGTTACTTTTCATTTCACACATGTTTCAAGGATGATTCTCTCTGTGTTTTATTTTAGCAATGTAAACCATATTGGGATATGTACAGGATTTATACAGATAGAATCTTATCTTAACTAACCCTAATAATTGTTGTAAATAAATAGGAGTTAGGGTCTACTATATAAAAAAAATCTTTTTGGGGGGGGGGGGGGGTACAAGTATATTCAGACCCCCCAAGAAAAAAAATTGGGGGGGGGGGGGTCGGACCCCCCCATGTGTGACACCCATGTTTGCTATCCTGTACTACTTGAATCCTATGGAACTTTCTCTGTGTACGTTCATAAATATTGTTTTTACCTGCTGAATTTGACCATTTTGTGTCTGTATTTGAAATGTTTGACCATTCTGACCCTGTATTTGGACCTGTTGACCTGTCTGACCAGATATAGGTATTGCCTGATTCTGTATCTGTTGTAACATAATAGGCTGACCCTGTAATACTTGATTCTGACCTAACTGGAACACCTGCAAAAGTAATTTATATATAATGATTACAATCATAAAATATTTTGGACAGGAATGGGGTTTAATGTCTCAGGTCAAACCAATTAAATTTTATGTTTTTCAGGGTCCTGATCAATAAATTACCCAGTCAATTCTTGTGTACGATGGGTTTTTTTTAAATTTCAAAACTTATTTATTTGCAATTAAAGCTTTTCGGAAGAGCAACTAAGAACATTTTATTATACACAAGCCTGACGTTTCGATAAGTATTCTCTTATCGTTATCAAGCACAATGAATACTTATCGAAACGTTGTGCTTGTGTATAATAAACCAGTGATTGTTGTCCCATATAACTGTGTCAGTTTTGTTTGTTTCCAATTGCTAAAGGATTATAAGTACATTTTGTTTTAAAATAAGTTTTTTTCCTTAAGAAATTGGAGGCAGAAGTTTTAATATGTGTTCCCAAAGAACAGAAATTCAAATTGGTATGGCCTTATCAACACAGTACTTTAGTTATTTTCAGGCACATATTTTTAAAAGTGCTTCTAAGGTTCACAAAATAATAAAAAAATACTCAAATCAATAACAATCATAATATGACATGAACTTTATGTCAACTTGAATAAAACTGCTTTCCAGCAATGATAACTATTGGCGAACAACTAAATAGGCAATACGATCTACTGGGTAGTGGTATTTTATGCATTTTATTACCTATTTTGTTGACATGTATTGTGGGGTGGAATTGTCGTTGGCACCCTCTTATTCACAGTTTCTAGATCCGCTATTGGTCATTTTGAATTTTTATTTCTATGGCTGTCTTGAGAGCTAAAGAACAATGAACAAATTGCCTTCCCTATGAGCTTCTTGGACCACTTTAAACAATTAACTACACCAAACAAGTGTTGTGTGACTTTGCATAATGAGTGATATATCACCAAATACTTTCATATCAAATATAATTATCTTACCCTTTGAACTGTTAGCGGAAATATGTTGGTAAATTATGTCATATAATCGATCAATGTTTTTAAAATCTCAAATTCTTTTGGATTTAACCCATTAGCATAATTTTATGCTTTTATAAACAGAACAATTTTGAAGATTGCGAGTAAATTCTTAACAAATCTGTCAGGCAGTGAACGCCAGTTTCAATAGCTTTCTCATTGTAAACAAAAGATTCAATTGAGAATTATTGAAATAAAATTGAACCATTGAAATAACCTAGCTTGTGTTGTGTGGACTTTAAACCCCATCTCTCTTTCTTTTAAGTCACATATCAATAGATGTACAGTATAATAGACCTACCTGTTGCTGTCCACCTGCAGTTTGTAAAGGAACTTGAACAGATTGTAACTGGGACTGAAGTAAGTTCAGGTAACTCTGTGGATCAAATATTTGTTGATTTTGTAGATTCTGAATATCAACTCCAGCATTTTGAAGACTCTGAAGGTCTACAGGTTGTAACGTCTGGTTTGATTGTAAATTTTGTAGAGTCTGAAGGTCAACAGTTTGTAAGTTCGAGATGTTTTGAACATCTAGATTTTGTGTATTTTGCACTTCTTGTTCCTGTAGCTCCATTATCCAGTATCAAATAACATCTATACCTATATATGAACTCATTTATATTATTTACCTGGAATAAAGACCAGATTACATATTAACAATCACTGGCTTGTCATCTTAAAATCTCATTCATCATTTTAGCACAATAGGAATCCATTGCAAACTACGACACTGTGAAAGGTGAATCTCTGATAGGAGTATCAGTCCGAACATGGTTCAATTTCATTGATCTATTCTGCTCGCTATATAATAAGCCTGCTACCATTTTTTTTGTCCGCAAATAATTATTGGTGGGCCTATTTCAAATCTGATTGAATCCACGCCGGGACATTCTGTAGTGTTGGTACTGATTTTATTTCTTAATTAAATGTTAAACAATCAATTCAAGTACATATTAGCATGAATTGTGAAAAATTTGATATTTTAGTGAAAACTGCAAAAACCCTTTTGAAACCTTTCACAAAACGTGAATGGACATATAAAATACAATTACACATTTATGATTGTAATCAAAACTAATACTCAATAAACAGAGGTCTGATAAACTATTGATAAACGTGAACGGACATATAAAATACAATTACACATTTATGATTGCAATCAAAACTAATATTGTATAAACAAAGGTCTGATAAACTATTGATTGATTACTACGTTTATATCATCTACAGCCCAGAGGATACATGTATATAACTTGACAAAATATTGATATTTTCACTATAGCTACACTATAAAATGTATATACATAATCAAGCTTCCACCTTTTTTTATTATGTTTTCTAATTAAAGCTGCTCATTGTCATTTTGAATCCTTTTCAAACAATATTGTGAAAGTTAAATATCAGGCCAAAAATAGTATGTCTGATCAAATGGGAATTTCACAACATTCTACATCCTCTGCAGAGTATAGGCTATATAAAGGAGCAAGCTCAGGGCTGTAACTAGCTCAGAGCAACGAGGGGGGTGGTAAGTGTTCTCAGGGGGTGGTAAGTGTTCTCAGGGGGGAATGTAATATTGATGGACAATGTATATCTATTTTTTTTATGGTCGAAAATGTTTTCACAGGGGGGGGGGGGGGCAAAACTTTTTGCAGGGGGGTCTTTGCCACCCCTGCCCCCCCCCCTTAGTTACGGGCCTGAGCAAGCTTCTTTTGATGGGCCTTTCTTTAATTCAATTCAAGTCTGGAAATTACCTATAGTTGATATTTTGTTGTTTTGTTTTCTTTAATGCACTTCAACACGAATTAAGCAGTGAATAAACAAGACATTGCAGACGACAATCTTCACATTTAAGATATATTTCCTTAAACAGGTATTATCCAAGAGCCATATCTACCTATTGCAGGTTTTTCTTTAGGCCTTAAATGTTCTATAAATTATTAATTAGACATTTATTAATAAGACAATTAACTCTTGGTACCATCGGATTCCTCCGATTTTAAGCAGATTAGATCCTTTCGACTATTTAATGATTTAATTTAAAAATGGATAAGCAAGGCCAAGACTCGAATGACCAGTGTGGTGGTTACAATCAATGCACACATTTTGTCAAAACTACAACCATTGATAACTTTGCTAAAAATAAAGTAATTTGAATGAAATTTTCAATACAGTCATTTTGCATTATCTTTTTTTGAAATATTATAGCGAGATCGGCCAGCTCTATATCTAAATCTTACATAATGCCCCTTTAACATTTGAGATCCTACATAAATAACCATTAACCATAAATTATATTTTAACTACCTGGGAAAATATATTTGCAGCTAAAAATATATGTTAAGAGATATTTAAAACAGACGGAAAAATTTTAATACAGCAGCCAGTGTGGAAGAAGATCATTGATGTGTGCTACTAATATTGCCATGAAACACTCACTGAGATAACAAGGGTCAAAACACTGGTTGAAAACATGTATTTTTTTTAATAAATTGATTAATTTATTGTGGGCTTAATATGTAGTTTTAGTCTATAAACCAATTTTCCTGATCATAAGAAATTCCATGTTTTTAGATAAAAATAAGTTCTATTGGAAGGAAAAATAGGTGATCTAATTATTCTAGAGGGAACATAACTTTAAAATGTGAAATGGCAAAAATAAGTTGGCATGACTTTACAAATTCCTTTATAAAACAGCTCTATTGCTGAATGTCAGAAGATATAGCTAATATTCACGCTTCCAGTAGTGAATATATCATTGATATACAAGTAGTATATTGCAAATTGCACAGTAAAAATAGAACAAATTCATGGGGTAAATAATACCCATTACAGTATTTACATAACATTATTTTTATGCATTCTCTAAAAAAAAAAAAAGATTCCCAGACGTGTGTATAGGTTGCGTTACTCTCAGTGGTAATAATACCATGGTTAACCTAGAAAAATAACGAGGCCAGACAAGGAAATTAGCAGACCGAGGAATTGTTCCATGAAATGGCGAAATGTTATTGACATCATGATTTTGGAAACTTTGAGGAATCGAAGATGCGTTATTCTATAAATATATATAGGATACCTTAATTAAAGGTTTTAAAAATGAAATAATTTAATAAAATCACGATTAGCCCTATATACATTGCCAGGGAATTAATCAGAATCTCAAGCAATTCATGTACGCTGAACCAGTCTCAAAAAACAAAAACAGATTTGCATGGAGACGGCTATGAATATGTTGTAATTGTTTCTAGAAGTAAACAAGATAAAATCTCACACGAAAGGAATTATTGAACTTTTGAAAAAAAGAATTTATTCGAAGTTTGGTAGAAAAAGTACTGAAGTCAAGAACTGTCAATTTTTACAAACAAAGCATATCATTTTGCGAGCATCCCCCGCGTGCTGGTTAAACATGTACAATGCAACAAAGAAAATGACCTATATTTTTCCGTTATGTTTGGGTGAGTTTTCTTAAGTAATTTGCTGTTTATTTGTTGTCTAATCATATCAAACGGGAGGGGCGATTCTCACCACCAATGCGTTAACCGTATACAAAATGTTTAGTCAAGTACAATGAATAAGAAGATAATTTGCTAACTTACATTTGGGCCGGTACATGCGCTCTTCAGGTATTGGCTGCAGAAATCTAGAGGCTATGGACAACGAATCATGAGATGGTCGTGTTGGGGTAGCTAAGACTCCATTGGTCGGGTTAAACAAAGGAGTTGTATCTCGCCTAATATCATGAATAACCCGAGCTTCACTACATATGGTCCATCAATCGTAACCACCCATGCATTCCTTATTATAATGTACAGTTTACCGTTAGATTTTGACAAAAATGTTATCTAGAAACGCTTTATTAAATACCGAACAAATTACTAGACAGTTGATTCACGGAGGGTGTGCGACTGATAAATGGATCGGCAAAGCGTGGTCGAGAAACTGTCAATAATTAAATACACGTGAGACTCATGTGAAGATGAAAATGACCACAACGAAAGATAGTTGTGCTTCTAAAACGCCCACTGACCAACCCAACAAGATCCTTTGCTGGGTAAGTTTCGACTGAAACTTAAAAAAACAACATTTAAGTTAATGACAGTCGATCGATACGAGAGACAAATTTAATCGATAAATTAGGTCATGTGACATACTGACATGAGTATATTGTTGACAAACATCAAACTACACGTGGTCCAGATGAGGGTCGATTTTGGCGCCATAACGGTGAAGCAGGCTTTTCGAATAACACTATCTTTAATAGCGATAGATACTCCCGTAGCCTATAACTAAACAAGCCTACATGCTTTGGCCCTTTTAAAACAGTCATTATTATCATAGACATTATTATGTAAATATATACAGCATGGGTCTCTAGAAAATGAACCCCGAATTGATGAAATGACTATTTGAAGTAGGCCTAAACACCACATTTTCTCATTTCACGTTGGGTAGCCTATTAGATTCAGGCTATATTATAGTTATAGTACAGAAAATAGAAACATTTGGTAGGCCTATTAAAGACCGAGTTTAAATATAGGCCTATTTTTTTTTATTCAACTCGTTTGTGAGACATTCCCAATAGAGCATAGTTCAGGTTTTCAAAATGTCTATGTAATGGAGCCTTTATAGATGAAACAAACAATTTTTTTTTTTTATTCAAATGGTATTTTACTGTTTCTGTTTATAGCTTACCGTTATCTGAAATTAAAAGTATTAAATTCTTCATTAAATACATAAAAAGTAACCATCCACTATGCTAGTCCAACTGTACAAACAACAAATTGAAATTTTATTGTTATTACAGGGAGCTAATAGTTATGGTCAGTTAAGTCTGGGTAATAAAGATGATCAGTTAGAACCAATACCAATAGCAAATTTACAAGACACAAATATTTTATATATAACTGGTGGGGGTGGACATTCTTTAGCAATTACAGGTGAGCTTTAGATATCAGGACCAATGTTTTGGGAGTTGGGTGGTCTATAAAGAATGGTTTAATGCATTCGTTTTACATAATCATAAGGTTTGTCGATGAGTCTAGTAGCATGCTTTCAATCCCACATTTGTATGTGACAATAGTACCGGTAGTATCTCCTGCCTAAACTTGTGGGTTTTCAATGAGTCCTCCAGTTTCCTCTGACTCCTAAGGACCCCTACGTTCAAGCAAATTATTGAAATAAAATTATACCATATGTTAGTCCCTAATTGACCTAGTTTGTGTTGAGTGGACATTAAACCCCATTTCTCTCTCTCTTATTTTATTTGGAGAGAAAAATGTGCAGCACCCTATACAATTTCTACAAGAAATAAACATTAACTACCCTAACCCTGCTTAAAAGCACTTGCAAATTGGTACATTTAAATATTGATACCCCGGTTCCTGGAAGAAAATTAGAGATAAGCAATATATGTCATAGTGGTACTACTACTATTCCTTAGACCGCCTCATACCACCTGAATAATTTGAATAGCTAGTAGGGGTATATATATTATATACTAGCCCAAAAGAGCATTATTGTATAAAACAAATATACCACTGGTTTGTTAAGGTTGACAGTAGTTAAGTGGTTGTGGCATTAGAGTCTCGACTAGTTCCATATCCTAGACTGAAATTTTAGATTGAAAGTCGTTCGGATAGAATAAAAAAAATTTTGTTGTTTTTTAGATGAGAATAAATTATTAGTTTGTGGAAGTAATAGTAGAGGACAACTTGGATTAGGTCATACAGAAGATATAACTGTATTAACTTCTCTACCAGAATTTCATAATAAACCTATAAATCAAGTTGTTGGTGGATGGGATTTTACTCTTGCTGTATCTGGTCAGCCTCAAGGTTTGTATTGAATGAATTCATCAACTATAAAGTCGACATGGGGCTGGGTGGTCGAATAGTTTATCATGTACACATTAGGTCATAAGGTACACCATTGAGTCGAGTGGCATGGTTTTGATTCCCTGCTTGTACTGGTATGTGACAAGGAGTAGGGTTGTCTGTCCAACCTTGTGGGTTTTCTCGCACAGAACCCTACCCGCAAGTGAGTTTTTGAAATAAATTGAACCATATGTTAGACCTGAAAAGACCTAGTTTCACTTAAAGATACATTATGGGAGATTAGATAATGAGTTGGCAGTTCTCACTATAATAGTTAAAAACTAGATAATGTAAAGGCAATTTGCTGAAAATTTCAGTCAAATTGATCCACTATGAACCGAGAAATAAGCGATCGAAAGTTCCGCATAACCTCGGTCATCATTACTAAAGTCGGTACGAAAAAATCATAGCCTAGATTATCCATTTAATCATTAAATAGAGAAGGAAAGTTGTGCAGCAAATCGGATCATAATCCAACAATTATCGCATGCTAGCGTTGACATCGAGAGTTGATTATGGTCTGGATACGTTAATTAATGTCTAATTAATAGTTTATACATTTCATGCCTAAAGAAAGACCTACAATAGGCAGATTTAGCTCTTGCATAATGTATGTTTAAATGAACTTTAAACCCCATTTTTCTCCCTCTCTATCAAAATTGTTAAGTGTTGCATGGCATAGAGCTTTTAGGGAGTAAACCATACTATCCTATGTAATGTTTCAGGAGATGTTTTATATAGTTGGGGTTCTAATAGTTTTAATCAACTTGGTAGATCTTCTCAACCTAACAACTTCAGTCCTATACCAGTAAGTCTCTACCTTTTGCTTTATATGGGGGGTTTGATGGCCGAATGGTTAGTGCGTGCGCGCTGTATCATAAAATCTGTCATTGAGTCAACTGGCATGGTTTCGATTCCCCGGTTGTACATGACAAGGAGTAGCGTCACCTGTCCAAACTCGTGGGTTTTCTCTGGTTCTCCCATGTCTAAAGACCCCTACACGCAAGCGAATTATTGAAATATAATTGAACTATATGTTAGTCCCGAAATGACTTAGTTTGTGTTGAGTGGACGTTAAACCCCATTTCTCTCTCTCTCTCTTTTCTTTATATATAATATGATCAGTTCTTAAACAAGTACAACTTATATTAAATTTGACACAAATCTTTTATATCTCACCAGTGCACCTTATGTTCAGGGGCGGATTGGGCAATCGGGTGATCGCCCGAAGGGCCGGTCGGAAATGAAAAAAATAATTTTGTCCAATTCGTCTAAAAAAAACTTTTCTGCTGAACATTATATGAGAGGAGGAGGGGGGGGGGTATTGGACCGGTCATGGAGTGATGATGATCATGTTGTATGTGATCGGTGACCACGCCATCACTGGAGCCTGGAATGGGCTGGAATGGACTTTCTGGGCTGGGTGTGCTGGGTGTTGTGGGCCGGAATTCGGAACCCTGCAATGGGGATTCCGAATTATATCCGAAAATTTCATCGGATTCACCCGACACTGTCGTGGTAGCTATATTTTGCGTCCAAGATCAAATTTTATTTTTATTTTTATTTCCGCCCGCCGCTCCTGACAAAAATGTCGAGGGTAACGCAATTCTCATAATTAAATTTGTGTGGCCTTATACTCGAATATTCATTATCTGAACTAATGCTATGTTCATTAATCAATATGTAGTGTGTCAAATGTTCAAGTTCGGGGTCAAGGTAAAATAATTTACCTGGAACAACAAATCCAAAATTCAAAAAAGCAGCTTTCATGAATTTCACTTTCGTCACTAGGTACCAATGTGTCTCGTGGCCTTCCATCACAGGAGGAATCAACTAGCGCTCCCGGCAACAAACATGGGACATTTTTCAATGAAAATATTCCTAGTTATTCAATATTCCTAACTGGTTAATCAAATGGTCAAAATTTTCTCAACTAGTCCCATCTTTTAACCAGTTAAATTCTCTTGACTCTTGACGATACAATGATAATACGTTAATTAATAATATGACGATATGATAATTTCACAGGTTGATGGTTGTAAATAACTTGCAGGTCGTGGTTTGGCCTAAATTAATCGATTTATGAGATATATTATTTAATCAGATATGCCACCAAATCGCATATTTGAGGTTCATTTTTCAAAATTTTCCGCGGTCAGTAAAAGGGGCCGCTCCGACACGGGAGCCCAGGCCGGTTCCCGACCCCAATCTGCCCCTGCTTATGTTTTATAAAAAAAACAACAGGTCAAGGAGGTGATTTTTGATAGCTTAAAAACATGAAAAATTAGGGGTGGAATAGCTTTGTCTTATTCCTGTGATGATTTGTAATGCTTCTGATCAGCAGTTGCTAAATTAACATTGTGATTTTTCCAATTTCTACTTCTAGGGTATTATTAGTTTACCAAGTGGCACTAAGAATGTAAAAATAAAAAATGTAACAGCTGGTCTTCGTCACTGTATGGTATTAACAGGTATTATGTAATGATACAATATTTTAACTCTCTATTTCCAGATTATTTCTTAATCATTTGCATTTAAGAATTCTTGGTAGAATTTTAAATTTATTCTATGCAAAGAGTCCAGTATACTTCAAAACCCAAAATACCCCCACCCCTTTTCCTAAATATGCCTCGGTTAACATTATTTTTATTTAGTGTTTTATTTTATTTTAACAGACCTTTATATTTTTAGGAAAGTCTGTGTACCTCTCAAGTTCCCTTTCCAATAAACTGTTTATTCTAGAAATTCTTGCTTGATAAAGCTTAGGAAGAACAAACTAGTGTTTAAAAAGAGTTACTTCCCCTTGCTGTAAAATCCAGCACACATAAAAACTGAGATGAATAATTGTTTTTTTGCACACATATGTGATTTTTAGTTATATTATCTTTAATAATTTATTTGATTTAGAGCAAGGGTGTGTGTTTACATGGGGACACGGTAAAAAAGGTCAACTTGGCTACTTATTGCCAGATAAATCAGCTCCTAAATCTGTACAACAACCAACAAAAGGTAGGATTGTAGCTAAAATATATCCATGTCTAGGGTGACCCGTGCACCCAAAATTTTTCGTACAGAAAGTTGGACTCGACACGGCGAATGTGCATGCTTCAATAGCTTGTCTCAAACTGATTTCTCGCTTACTACGCAGTATGATAATAGTCAGCGGTAGAGTTTATGAGACTATAAATAGCCATTGCACGTGCAATTCTCTTCACATCTATCAACTATTACAGCTGTAAAAAATCTATTGTTGACGATTCTGAATAGCAGTAATATTAAGCTTATTGGTTATTACAGCAGCTTTAGAAATTATGTTCTTTTTTTTTTTTTTTTAAATTGCTTTATCATTAACTGTACCGTTAGGAGTGGCATCTTTTGTTTTTTTACAAATAATATCTCTGAAATACTTGCGTTGGGCAAGAACATGATACTAGCAGTAGTTTCATTTTACTTTTACAAGGTTCTTAAAACAATTGTTGAGTTGCCCAGCGTGCATGTTTCTAAATTCAATTTCTTGTTCCAGCTTTCTGTTATGTTTCGTAAAAAAGTAGTCTTGATTATTCCGGCCTATCAATCAAACGTAGAATGGTCGGTAGACTGGTTAAGCGAGACTACTTTCAAAGCAAGGGCATGAACCTATTTTTTACTCACATGTGCCCGGATGTTATGGCCGACACTCGTACCCATCTTTCAGTGTATTATTTATGGATGATTAAATGGTCATAGCTTATTAAGCACAACATGACCATTTATTTAGTGACAATGATTGAAGCTGATTTAAGGCTTGGTGTATATATAAATGTTGTGGTGTAATTGTCGAGATATTTGGAGATATTTATTTATGGTGGGGCACTTTGCTGCAAAAGGAATCTTAAAATGTCTTTCAAAGATTGGGAAAGGGAATGGGGGAACCAAGCACAAAATTCTCAAAAAATCCCATCATTATTTTAAGAAAGCTTCAACATCCTTCACTCATTAAATTTACCAGTCAGACTATTTTGTGAACACATACAGACTGTAACAGATTTATTTCATTCAAATTTGGTGGGAAGCATTAGGGTCATGATATTCAATGTTCTTTGATATTCGATGACACCCTTTTAACAAAAACCTTGCGAATGTAATAGATGCTATAGTTTTTAACAGATTCTTTTCAAATTTGTGGCCCTTCAACATACTGCGACTTCAAATTCCAGAGTTTTTCCCCTTTGCTGAAATATCAAATTGAGTCAATATCCAAATTTTAGGATAAGCTGCTGTCAAGACATAACTGCTGTGTTGGCGTATTCACACATGTTGTGCTTTTAGCATATAGAACTTTGACATTACAATTCGTAACATGATTAGGTCATTTAATAAAGCGACTAAAGAAAGGCCACATGGAAACACGCTTGTTTTGCATTCACAGCAGGTCGCATGTTGAACTTTAACAACAGGTTACAAAACCATTTCTACACCAATTAAGGCATGATTAAAATGACATCCCCTTTTTGCAATGATTTCCCGATCTGGCTTTGGATTATTAAGACAGGGTATATAGTATTTATTGAATTTACTGAACAGAACTGTAAAGTCTGTTATCATTTTAGCTGTGCTACACTGATGGAAGAAGCGCTGTTTACCTATTTTCTTCTCACTCTGAGCTGTTTATTTTTCAGTTGAATTACCAGAGCCCATTATTAAAATATTCTGTGGTTCTTATTATAGTGGAGCAGTTTCAGGTAACTATAACCTTTTGTATTAAGACCACTTGACACTGATCTGTATGTAACAACTCTATCGTCTTTATTAACTTTTTAGTCTCTCTATAGCCCTCCCCCCCCTCCACCCCATCTCGATCTCCTAGGCTGTAAAAATAATGTTATTTTGCTGGCATTTTAACACGGTATAAAATCCATTTGATTCAATTAATGTTATTTAAAGTTCTGATGCGCCATATTAAGCAATAGGAATCACTTGCAAACTTCAGTATTGTGAAAGATGATGAGAATCTTTAATAGGAATCAGTTAAATAATGGTTCAATCCCGTTCAGGTGGATTAAGGTGTGAAAAATTTGATACTGACACATCGTTACTTTAAATATTTTTTGGGCCCCCAATCCTTTTTGGAAATCCTGCATAGCCACTGCATGGCTCAAGGTATATAATTAATTTTATACTTGCCAAAAGCTTGAATATTTTTCTTAAGCCTTGCATTATATAAAATAAGCTTTAAGAAACATTTATAGAAAAATATTTATAAATTAAATATGAATACTGTGTGTGTGTGATATTACTATACTTTACTACAGTTAAATATGAACACTGTGTGTGTGTGTGTGTGTGATATTACTATACTTTATTACAGTTAAAGTAGCTAAGTCTCTAACTCAATATCATCCAAAATCTTCGACATTGAAAACACAAATTATTTGTCAATTTAAAACAACATTGATGCTGTGATCTTACCGGAAAAAGATGGGCTTCTGATATCCAATATTTAAGACAAAATAAATATTTTACAATGGTACATGAATCGTGTACCATAATGCGTTTCAGCCCCAGTTCTAGCAAGAGACTGGTGGAACGAGGCTAGACATATTGCACCAAACCAAACGGCGTATGTAGACTGGAATAACCAGATGCTAGGAATTTGCATTCGATTGAGACTGCTGGCTTATTTCACGGAACATAACTGATTTGAAATTAGAGAAAAAAGGAAACGATTGAATGTAAATCTTTTTATATACATTCATATTACAGTATTATATGAGTTGCGACCCACTTGTGTTAATTTCTAGGTCCCAAATGTTAACGATTTAGCTCCTTTAAATATGAACACTGTGTGTGTGTGATATTACTATACTTTATTACAGTTAAATATGAACACTGTTTATAATACTTCAATTAAATATGAACACTGTGTATAATATAATACTTCAATTAAATATGAACGCTGTTTATAATATAATACTTCAATTAAATATGAACACTGCATGTTATATTACTATACTACAGTTAAATATGAACACTGTGTGTAATATAATACTTCAATTAAATATGAACACTGTGTATAATATTACTATACTCTACTACTGTTAAATATAAACATTGTGTGTAATATTACTATACTTCAGAACAAGGTAATCTGTATTTATGGGGATGTAATAAATATGGTCAACTTGCACATGATGTGACAATTCTAACCTCATCCAGTTTACCAATTCAAATATCAAGCCATATATTCAAGACAGGAATAAAACAAATCACCAGTGGTTGGACCCATATTTTAGTATTAACAGGTATTGAAATACAGAATGATGTCACCCTTTGATGTTGGGTACCATTATTTTGAATTATGTAGGGTCTACATTCCAATCTTCCATTATTTTATACTAGATGATATATTGGACTGGAGTGACGATTTCATTGAAATGCACATGTCTATGTTTTAAGTTGTTTAATGGTCTCAAGCAAAACATTGCGATATATATTGAAATTACACTCAGGCCCTCGTGCAGTATCAATATATTACCTAATGTCTCGCTCTTGACCATTAAACCACACCTGTTTCGTGTCAGTTTTTGTACACCTATATGGTTGTATATTGCCATCACGCTGTCCATTCATATTATAATAGAAGCTACAATATAGACAATATTAACAGGTATTATATACAAAGTTTTGTTACAATAATATGATAATATTATTTTAGATGATGGTAATGTTTATAGCTGGGGTAGAGGAGATTATGGTCAGTTGGGTAGAAAGATCAGTAGAATATGTGACTTTACGCCATCCAGAATAGACAACATGCAACCAATACAATATATAACTTGTGGTTCCGAACATAATCTAGCTATAGACAGTAAGTATATTCATGTATTCCTATATAAATAAATATCTCCCAATATCTCGACAATTATACCACAATAATTATATAAGTAACAAGTTTTAAAGGACAATATTGGTGTCAGTCTTTATCACATATGTGATAGAACTTGTTAAACACGTTCCAAATATAATTTTGAGATCATTGCTACGATAGATGTGATAGATGCGTAATCAAGGTTTCTATAACCAGTTCTATCACATATGTTATAATGACTGACATCAATATTGTCCTTTAACTTACCATCTCACATTTATAGTCCCCTAAATAAACTGTCGAAGAAATAAGACTGTTTTATATCACGATATTGATGTGGATCAAAAAAAGGACCAAAACAATTTAAAAGTATTTGTGTAGTAATGGATAATATGTGACGTGGATAATTACTTACTGATGAAGCGACAAAAATTAAGATACATTAATTCTGCGTGTCGCAATTCAGTATGCAAATCGTGAGAAATGAATCGTGATACATCGATTCAATGATATCACGCCAGCACTAGTGCAAGAAAAGTTGATTATAACAATAAACCAAATAATTTATGAATCATTTTAGGTTCAGGAAATCTACTGAGTTGGGGATGGAATGAACATGGTATTTGTGGAACTGGTGACGAAATTAATATTTATAAACCTTCCGTCCCAAATAAATTAATTGGCATTAATGTCAGACATATTGGCTGTGGTGCTGGTCATTCATTTGCAGTAGTAGAAGAGACTTGAAAGCCTACTGGAATATATAATGACCTTGTGTTTCCATGTTCGATTTAGAGTTGGCTGTAAAAGTTCTTCAGGATTTTCCGGAGTGCCTTCCCCTTGTCAGAGATAGAGAGAGAGAGAGAGAGAGAGAGAGAGAGAGAGATTAACATCCACTCGTCCACTCGACACAAACTAGGTCATTTCGGGACTAACATATGGTTCAATAATTCCCTTGCACGTAGGGGTGTTTAGCATTCAGAGGAAACTAGAGGACAGGCGGCCCTACTCCTTGTCACGTATAACGTGCTAACCATTCGGCCATCCAAACCCCATAATTTCGATGGATGTAAAGAACCATTGACAGTTGCCTATTTTCTTTAACCTGGTAAGTGCAGATCAGTAGGACGTTAATCCCCATTTCATTCATTCCATCTAAACATTCATCAGTATGTGAGAGAGTGTAGAGGTCAAATGAGCCTATAAGATCGGGCACATAGAACTTCAATATAGTGTTTGCATTCATTTGACTGGAAGGTCAGTAACGACTTTACATCTGTAAGCTTGAACAGGGTTAAGTTGAACAGTATCTATAATACGGGTAAAAATTATAGAGCTATTAATAAAGAATATAAATAAATTGTGTTGATTTCCTAATTACCTAATGTGTTAAATTATAAGCCTAATATACTATTCAAAAAAAGTAGGGGATATTTGATTTTGGGGGCATAATACTAAAATATGCAAATGCCTACGAAAAAAGTCACTATAGAACCTAACAGAAGAAACATTTCCAGTTACATGTGATGCCCAAACGCACCAATAGCTACCGCATGGAATGCAGGTGATGCTTGGGATCATCATGGGGGTCCAACCCAAGATTTGCACGACTCTGACTTTGAATGTTACAGTCATTGTGGCATTGAATTCCAGGGTGGAAACATCAGTTTAATTGTTTTAGTGACCAGAAAACAAATTTTGATATGCGTCGGCTTACCCAAAATGAAAGGTTACGTGCCCTTGGCATGCTACAGATCGGCACAACACAGGCGGTTGTGGCGCGGACGATGAATGTTTCTCAGTCTGTCATAAGCAGGCTATGGTCCAGATACCGTGATACACAATCTGTACAGGACAGACCACGCTCAGGTCGACCAAGGGCGACAACTCAAGCCCAGGATCGATTTATCCGTACCTTGGCCTTGAGAAATCGTGTCATCACAGCAAATCAGATCAGCGCTCGTCTTCAAACAGACACTGGTGTGAAGTGAGTGGCCAGACGATTCGGAATCGACTGCATAAGGGGTCACCTTCGCGCCCGACGTCCTCGCGTGATCCCTTGTTTGAGAGATCATCACATTCAGGCAAGACGTCGTTGGTGTAGGGATCGTCAACACTGGGATAATCGACGCTGGAGCAATGTGATGTTTTCAGATGAGTCAAGGTTCACTGTTGATTTTTTGGACAGACGTAGGAGGGTGTGGCGTCGTCGAAACGAGCGCTTCCAAGACGTTAACGTCATCAGACATGATCGATTTGGGGGTGGTTCTGTTATGGTGTGGGGAGGCATCACTGTTGCTGGAAGAACGGCTTTACATGTTGTTGCAGGGCGTGTTACAGGCCAGTACTACCGGGACAACATCTTGGCAGTCCATGTTGTGCCGTTCGCACGACGTCATGGCCGCCGTTTCATCTTCCAGGATGACAACGCAAGATGTCACAGGGCCAGGATCGTTACAGGTTACCTCCAACAACAGAACATCACCACATTACCTTGGCCAGCACTGAGTCCCGACCTCTCCCCCATCTAGCATGTCTGGGACATGCTTGGACAGAGGTTACGTCAACGTCAACAACGTCCTGCCAATGTCCAAGAACTTGCTGCTGCGTTGCAACAGGAATGGGACAATCTGGACCAAAATGACCTTAGACGTCTCATTAGGAGTATGCCACGTCGGATCAATGCTTGTTTGGCAAACAGAGGAGGATTTACCCGTTACTGACTTGGTTGTGATGCTGTGGTAACTTTGCTGTTTGACCCCGGGTATCATTTTACCCTTATAATGGTCAGTCTGTGCCTTACTTAGTCTAACGATCATTTGGAATAAATCGATGAATGTGAACTTCATTTCATTTTGTCATTTGTTTCTTCGTCAGTTTCATTAGGTGACTTTAATAACACTTAAAAATCAAATATCCCCTACTTTTTTTGAATAGTATATATATCTGATTATAAGACAAAATGGTTGACCAATGCAGCAAAGCATTAGCTCATGTCTAATGTATCTGGTCATACTGGGTTTTACTCATCTTCAATAGAAGGCTTGATCTCGCTATAACTCTGTACATCTGATCAAGCACTGTACGTAATACCCTGCATATCCCGGCTCTAATTTCGATTGGCTACTGACCCTGCTGGGGAGCCTATCAGATTCCTCGATCATCGCAAATACCAAGTCTCGCACTTTCCAGCTAAGTGATAATTAAGTTGCCAAGTTCAATGTACGTTGAATGTGGAGGTCGCCATGTTTGACTTGAGCGTGTGTCACAACCTATGATTGGACGCTATCTTTCATGTATTTGCGTTAAAGGGAGACTACGTAGCTATAAGTTCGGGAATTGCAGACTAGTCTAGCAACGTCAATATGTTGCAAAACTCGTGGTCGTTGTTTCGGGAACAAGGGTTTTACTAGAACATGGTTTCAACATTGTAGGTTTGTCCCACATGGAAATATTATATATTGTACACATTTTACACATCAATGGTATATTGCTGGCTGTGCAGTTTTTGTAAAGATATTGAGAAACCACAATTGCACGGCAGTAAGCACATCCATGAACAAATCAAATAAAAGATTCGTACTAGAAATTCTATCAAGAAAATGTACTATACCACCCTTTCTTTAGAGTATTTAAGAGGGATCACATTGAAATTTTTATACACCCACATTTTCATGTGGACCTATATTGTCGTAACTTCCTGAATTATGGCGTTTTTAGTTTGTGGTCCCTGTAGAGGTAACAATTTTTATCCGATTTAAAAAAAACGTTTGAATATATGTCCCAATTGGTATGTTAATTTGCTATGTATAATTGTGACATGGTTTATTTCTGTGATTTAGGGTACCTAATTAATTTGGTACATGGCTAAAGGGAATATTTATTTCTTTTAAAGACATTTATTAAGGGTTGTACAGGTTTTGGTTAATAAAGTTTAATTATTTTCAATGTATATGCGTTGTTTTTACAGAACGATTGTTGGTATGTCTGAGCAAGTTAGGTATTGAGGGTGTAAAGTAATGAATGTGTCTGGATTGTGATGCATGTGCAGGTGGTGCATAGTTCTGATTGGATGTTTGAGTGACTAAAAGTTTCTTGGTGTAGGAATTAGAAAAGTTTGTCAGAGAGGTTTAAAATAAGTTACAGGATAGACATGGCTGTTTTCTCTACTTAGATCAGAGAGATTTTAAAGGACCAGACATGACTATTTTTCAGTATCTACAGTAACACCAATGACTGGCTTTAGATGCTTAGAACCTGGTAATTAAATACGATGTATTTAAATGTGATGAATCCGTTCCTTGATGAAATAACATTTAACCGGTAATGTCTAGGTGATCGATATAAATCATATTTCAACCCAGGGGTAACCTTGTGAATCATATTGTAGTTTAATCTTGGTGAACTTTGTGAATCGTACGCATGTAGTCTTGGTGAAGTACATTTCAATCTTGGTGAAGTTTTAATACAATTAGTGAGTCTAGGTGAATACGAGAAATAGATCTGTGATATGTGAAGGTTTTGTGTTTTCCGAGAATTTGTGTTCGGGTTTAAAATGTTTTAAAAAAACAACTTACGCGATTGGGATGGTGGAATTAAGACGGAGAATTAATCTGAATGCTAACCAGGAGGATTGATTGAATTAAAGCAACAGAGTATTAAATGCCGGAATGAACTGTAACTTTAAAGCATTTAATTTTGTAAAAACCTCTTAAATTGTATATGTAAATTGATTGTACAATATACATATTTAAAATAAATTAATTAGTTGTGTTGTTTGTTGGAAATTTGGAAAAGGGGGCAAGTAAGTTAAAGAACCTGAGGTCACTTTGTGACAATATATCACAGTTACATCCTAATGATGGTCGAGTTCGAATTTTGTGAAAATCGGACCAAAACTGCCGGACAAAATGACCGCCCCTCATACACAAATAGTTTAAGTATATGGTATATCAAGATTGTGGACCCTCCAGAGGCTACAATTTTGATTCGATTTTGATGAAACTTTAAATTTATGTTTATATCACAAATATCTTGGCTCCTTTTGTTAATCGCGCATATCCAAACGTAACTTCTTGGATTATTGCCCCTTGTGGAGCCTCTAGAGGTCACAAGTTTTATTCGATTTTAAAAAGCTTATAAATGTATCACTGTTCCACCGTAATGAAGGTTGAGTTCGAATTTCATGAAAATCGGAATGAAACTGCCTGTATGCAATTAGTGTAAAAGTATTAATACCAAGGTTGTGGACTCTCTAGAAGTCACAATTTTTATCCAATTTTGATGAAACTAAAAATGTATCTTTATATCCCAAGTATCTTAGACCATTTCGATATTCACGCATTTCAGGCCATAACTTCCTGGATTATTGCCCCTGCTGATTGTACGAAAAACACTTTTTTATTTTTTTTAGCTTTTCTCTATCCATCTCTTGCAAAATGTGGGCGTATATTGCCTGGCAACCACTGGTTTGTCATCTGTGAATCATTTTTAATTACTTTCACATTGTCTTCTGGCAAATGTTTCTCTTTGTTCATTACACATGAAGCTCAAAACTATTTTCTATAGAGTACACATCGTCATGTACTGATTTTAAAATGTTCATTGTTTCTTTAATATTGGATAATATTACACAATTTGCGTTCAAGGAGCTGCCATTTGACGAAATTCAAACTCAATCACTATCAGGGTGTAACAATGATATATTTAAAATCAGATAAAAATTGTGACCTCTAGAGGGCCAACAAGCTAAAGCTATAATCCAGGAAGTTACAGTTTGTTACACTTGAGTTTTTTTTTAAAGAGACAACATCCAACAACCTGTTTGACATAAATTTTTATTATGAAATAATAGGATCACATTGTGATTCAATTTCATTGATGCAGAGCATGAATTGTGATATCACATATGCATTTATCATTATCTCGTGCTTTGATTGCCTCTCCCGTCGCATCCCACCATCTGACAATAAAGGATAAAGTACATGACAGTGACACTTTTCTCATAAAAAGTGTTGTTTTATAAAAAATTTTATGTAGCTTCAGCAGAAAATGCACATTATCGAAATCGGTCAAGACATTAACATAAGAAACACCTACACCAAGTTTGAAAATTCTAACTGCAGAAAATACTCATCATTTATCTCAATATCAGGACAAACAAACCAATAGAAAGTAATACAAATTCAACAAGAACATCAGTACTGCTGCAATACACATTCACATTCCTGGGGGTCGGGGCATGCACCAAAATAAATAATGCAAAGTTCCAAAATGGTCCATTCAGAATGGCAGCCTGTAGAAGATAAACACAAAAATTGGGCATGGCTCAGCCCCAGGGCGTTGGATATGGAACGATATAAATAGGTACAACCCTATGATAGATCATGCCAAATTGGATTCAAATCTGTTAATAATTGCAACCTATAGATAATTTACCGACAAAATATTAACAAAAAGTGTGTGTAGCACCGCCCAAGTGGGGCGTCTCATGCACCAAAATCAATAGTTGCCATCCTTAGGGTATAAAGAATAAGTAAACCAAGTTCCAAGATGATCCATTCAGAATTGCGGCCTGTATATATGATAAACACAAAAATTGGGAGTGACTCTGTCCTTGGGGGTCAGGACATGCACTAAAATCAATAGTTGCCATCCTTAGGCTATAAGGAGTACATATGCCAAGCTTCAAAACGATCCATTAAGAATTGTAACCTGTAGGTGACACAGAAAGAAAAATGGGTGTGGCTCTGACATTCACCAAAAACAATAGGGATCACCCTTAGGGTATAAAGAATTGGTATGCAAAGTTTCAAAAGGATCTGTCAAGAATTGTCACCTGTAGGCAACACACATACACAAAAAATTGGCATGGTTCTGCCCCAGGGGGTCGGGCAGGCACCAAAAAATAATAGGTCATCCTTAGGGTATAAGGAATAAGAATTGTAGTCTTTAGAGGACACACAAAGAGAAAACAGGCGTTACTCTGCCCCTGGGGGGTTGGGCATGCACCACAAACAATAGCGATGATCCTAGGGTATATGGAAAAAGTATGCAAAGTTTTAAGATGATCCGTTAAAAAAATGCGGTCTGTAGACGATAAACATGGGCATGCACCAAAAACAATCTGGATCATCCTTAGGGTATTAGGAATAGGTGTGAAAAGTTTCAAGACAATCCATTCAGAATAGCAGCCTGTAGGTGACATATACATACATACACACGCAGGGACCACAGCATAATAGGTCCACATTATCAATGTGGAGGTATAAAAATGACATAACAACCTCCATTATTATGTTATTGTGGCTTTATCTATATCAATTGGGCCAGATGTCTCCAAACAAGGAAGTCAATGTGTGGATATTCAGATGTTATCTACGAAACAGCTGCTATATATTATACAAGCATTGACCACTAAATATTGTGTGAGTAACGTGAAATAATGGAAAATAATTATAAAGTTATAAACATTTTATTCATCTTGCATGGATTCATAAATGTCAATTTAAGTCAAGGAACAATATATGTAAAAGAAATGGATGGTACAGATATTAAAATGGTGGCAGAATTTCTGGTATCAGTTAATGACACTTGGGATCCAAAGTAAGAATTCAAATTAAATTGTTTGGAAATCATAAAGTTTATAATGTTATTTTGAACTAGTCCCACCAACAGTAGTAATTTCTAAGAAAATCATTGACCTTGACTTCATGATTTTATACAAGCCTGACGAAAATATTTTTTTCACAATGATGACAGTCAAATTTTTAAGTTTATTGTATGTATGCCTGTTATCTACGTTATTCTTTTTGTTTTGCAAAGATGAAATTAAATGGTAAAGTATACTGCATGAATTATTGAAATTCTCTACATTAATCGCTACAAACTTTTCTGGAAAATAATAACATCACAAGGAAATTAGTGGGATGTCTCTGATTGGTCATCTTTAATCAAGTATTGTTTATATTGTCACGTATTTTATCTCTGCTTGATAAAGCTTAGTCCTTGCTCAATAAATAAAGAGGGATTGGGAGCCGAATGGTTAGCGCATGCACGTTTGATCAGAAGGTCTGTCATTGAGTCCAGTGGTGTGGTTTCGATTTCCTGCTTGTATGTGACAAGGAGTAGGGTTGCATGTCCAACCTTGTGAGTTTTCCCCCGGGTCAACCGGTTCCCCCCCCCCCCCAACTGCTAAAGACCCCTTACATGCAAGTGAATTATTGAAATAAAACTAAACCATATGTTAGTCCTGAAATTACCTAGTTTGTGTCGAGTGGACATTAAACCCTTAAACATTAACTGTATTCCATAGAATTATAACCAGTGATTTACTAAATAGCAAATGGATTTAATCCTACATAATTACATGTTTTTCAGTGGATGTATAGCAACTGTTAAAACTCCCCCATTAACATCTGGTATTAAATACAACAATTCAGATTCTATAGCAGTTGGATCATGTGACAATGGGCCATTTAGGTTTGAAATCGAAAAGGGGGACGATTCCAATAAATATGTAAGATTCATTCATGTTTTTTTTAAGCCTATCATCTCTTAAACAATTACTTCTCTATTCATTATTAACAAGAAGGTAGTGATGACAGAAGGTAACAACATCACACTACATTGGGAAATTAAAACTACAAGGGAAATTTTGCCCATACAGCAGTGCCACAGTTTACCCTTTTTTTTTTTAATTCCAACTGTCAAGGGTTCTATACATGTGCACCATTGTGTACACAGGACCTTGTTTTCCAGTCCCTGCCGAGAGACTAGACTTGTCAGCCCCCCCCCCCCCATTTGGCACCACTGACAAAGGGAAACCGCGATGGGAAATCCAGAGGAACTATCTTGGCCAATCTCATGAAGACCTGGTTAACTAGCGAGCCAGCATCTTACTGTCTGCCTGACTAATTACATAGGAATGGAAGTTAAAGGAATTTAATTGCACAACGGGAAATTTGACCTGCCTATTATTGCCTTCAAACTAACTCGTGCTTTTCCCCATCCCATCTCCAAACCACCAAGTGGAGGGGGGGGGGGGTTGGTTGGCGGAATGGTAAAAGCATATGCACGCTGTATCATGTGGTCTGTCATAGATTCCCCGGTTGTATGTGATGAGGAGTAGAATCGCCTGTCCAGCCTCGTGGGTTTTCTCCGGTTCCTCCCACTACTAAAGACCCCTACGCGCAAGCGTATTATTGAAATAAAATTGAACCATGTGTTAGTCCCAAAATGACCTAGTTGTGTCAAGTGGACATTAAACCCTATTTCTCTCACTCTCTCCAAACCACCAAGCATATTTTCCTGATATCAGCCGAGTCAGTAACATTACACAACCAGGTTTAAGTCATGTGAGAACGCCATCTCAAAATATTATGTCAGTGCTTGGATGTTTAATTAAAGCTGCTCATCATGATTAGAGGGATTTGGAAACACAAACTACAATACTGCAAAAGATGAATCTTTAAAAGGAATATAAGTTATTTTATAGTTTTATTCCACTCAGTATTTACAGTGTCCTATGCAAGTATAATCAAGCCATTTGATTTAATCCAAGACGGAAGTTTATTGCTACTAAAATATTTGATTTTGTTTTCTTCATTTAAAGATGCATGGGAGCCACGGTGGCTAGGTGGGTAAGGCGCTGGCTCGTTAGCCTGGAGGTCGGGTGTTCGATCCCTGCATTGGCCAAGAAAGTTCATCCCGATTTTCCGACATGGTTTCCCCTTGTCAGTGATGCAGGACGGAGGACCTGACAAGGACAGCTGTCTAGTCCTTTGGATGAGACAAAAAAACAAGGTCCCGTGCAAACATTGGAATGCACGTAAAAGATCCCTTGGCAGTTGGAATTCGATATAAGAGTAGGCGATAGTGCCGCTGCCCAGGCAAAATTTCCCTCATAGCACACTGTATGGCGTATGCCCGTCCCCATTAGCCCAGCATAGGAGCAGAACAGTAGGAAGTTAAACCCCATTTCATTTCATTTAAAGATACATTATTAAGAGCCAAATCTGCCATCTGCAGGTCTATATTTTGGCTTCGACATTTATTCACATGCCAAACCTATAATCAACTCTCGAGACCATCGGATGACAGAGATTTAATCGAATTGAAATATGATGGCCAAGTACCATCGCTATGATGTCAGAACTTAAAACCGTTATAATTTCTCTCAGAAAAAAGTAATCTGAATGAAATTTTCAATATATTCATTTTGTATTATCTATTTTCTGAACTATTGTAGACAGCTCTTTATCTAATTCTTACATAATGCATGGATTAAGCCCTGAAAAATTAGATATTGTTGGAAAAATGTAAATGATAATGTGATTCTGGGATTTATTTCACTTTGGGGAAATGATGCTTCTTTTACACCCTGTTAAATGTTTGATTACAGAAAATCAATGTGATATTCTTTTCATCTGTGATAGAGGATGCCTCCAGTCCTACCTGTAGTATCATGTGGAATGGAACATATCTAACACCTACTACAGAGAATGGTCCACCATCATTACTACCAGGATGTTTTACTATGGATTCAAGAGAAGGATATCACATGACTTATTACTGGTTTTATTTATTAAAATGGCAATTTCTGGATAAATAAACAAGGTTTGATCTTTCATCAATTTGTAATTTGGTGAATATAGAATGTAATGGGATTTAATCTCTCACAGACAACTTACTTAGGTGATTTTGAGACTAACATACAATAAATAGGTTTGTATGGTTACATGTGCAATGTGATTGGGGGAATTTCGTCAAGACTGTGGCATTTCCATGCAGCACCCTTTGGAAGGTACAGGAATAATGTTTCATTCACTGATATTTAACAACCCTTAATTAGTAGTATGGGAGAATTTAGAACACTGCCACAGGACATTATGTGCACCACCAATTTCTCCAGGTTACTGTGGTTTAATAATATATGTTTTCTGAAAACATGAGCTAACTCTGGCATGAGAGGCTGTAAGCTTATTGTTAACGGACTGACATGGGTCACATAATATGGGCATATGAAACTCTGTTATGAACGGTAGCCTCTATTGCGTTAACAAGCCAATGGACAGCCACAGGTAAAGCCACACTGAAATGCTATGACCAAAAAGCAAGCAAATGCCAAATAATTGGTAAAAAATACATTTTTAGAAGAGACACTACATCCAGTGTAGTTTTTTTGGGTAGCTTCATAAATATTAGGAGTCAGTTGAACGTAAACCAAACAGTTTATAATCAACTATAAGCCAGATTAGTCTGAGAAATCACAGATGGAAGATTAGGGTTAACAATGAATTTATCTTTTAAGCAAAGCTATGTCAGAATGAATTGTTGGAAGTTTGTAGTAGTTCCTGGTAGATTCTCTATAAAAGCAACAAAAACATAATATTCTCTTATCATATTTAATATAAAAAATTGACAAATAAAATAAAAAAAAATAAAATAAAATAGCACATGATTTTAAGACTGGAATTCTCAAAGTATTTTTTGATTGAAACAGGAAAAAAATAATAAAATAGATGATACAATATGTACATCTTAGCTATAGACATTGTAGCCTACTTGATCAACTATATACACAACTATTTACAGCACTATTTATGTGAAGATTTTTGAAGATGTGGAAATTCTTCTGGAAATAAAGCTATCTGACGACAAGTAGGACAGGTTCTTTCATGTTTGTAAACCCATTCGCTAATACACTAGAAACAAAAAGAAAAGAAATATATTATACCATATATATTCATATTGCACTGTACTATGTAGTCACTTTTCTCAATAATATTTAATTTGACATTGGGTCATTTAAAGTTTGGGATCTGAGTTGCTATAGACAAAACTAACTCAACCAAAAGAGCGTTGACTACCAAAAATCCTAATCATAGTGCAATTTAGAGTGTTTTGAGTCAGTTTTGGATATAAAACCAATGGACCATTTAAACCACATTTGATTAACTCAAACCTTGTCTGGAGTTATCCTGCGAAGATATCTTTTGTTTTTAAAATAATCATATCCAAGCAACAAAGCAACAAAAATGGATAATTCTAAAAATTTATATGTTAATAATTACTTGAACACAAATCACCAGGACATAACCTTTCAAGACATAATTGTAGCAAAAAAATGTCTTGATGACCTGGATTACTAATTGATACTGTGTGGTTGGCTTAAAGATACATTCCCGGGTACAAACTGGGGGATTTGATGATATATTTGTACTAAAAACATATTCAAACTAATTAATTTATCATAATTTTGCTTCAAATCTTTCTCAAAACATTGCAATTGTCAAGGAATACCAGGCTATAAAAACTCCATCAAAAGAGGTCATGTTTGTGTCACGTGACACAACGGGTGCAATGTCAGAGAATTCACTGCATACAAAAGACGATGTTGCCTTTATCACTGACTATTTAAATTCCCCGGATTATTCACTGCCCGCATCTTTTTCCGTGATTTTTATCTCAGAAGGTGTTGTACATCTAACTCTTCATAAAGTTTATCAACATGTACATCAAGCGCTCAATCTCCGCATGCAACCTTCGATGTCACGTGTGCAGACACTCCTAATTGTTGGGCTGTCGATTAGGGAAACCCGTACATTTTTGTCCTGTATGCGTGCCATGAGTGTTTTTCAGGGAATCCAGTACTTTTCTAGTAAGATTGGATATTTCTACTTTCCATATATACCAAAATTGCCATACTTTTATTGGAAATAACCACCCGATAAATACTTTTCTGGGAATGTAGCTTTAAGCATAGCGTATCAGTGGATGCCCTAGCGAACACCCAAGTAACTTTTTTTCAAATGAAATTCTGAAGATTTGTATGTAAATGTACAGCATATACAAATTAAATACTTGAACACTGACTTGGCTCGAATCTACTCTAACTGGTTAAAATCTACTCTAACTGGTTAATACCAAGTCAAATCGACATTAAATCAAATTTTTTCAAAGCAAAACTTTATATTAACCAATAAATACTACCTTCAGTACCATTACGAAGGAAGTTGTTGTGGATTTCAGGTGCTCTATAAATGCATTATTAGGCCATACAAAAAAATATTCTGGTTCTCAGAAAATCCCCAACTAAAATATGATGCAAGAGGGTTTCATTTTTGTGTTATTTTGTAAACATTCAAAGGGTTAGTTATAATACTCACCATACTATGAAATTCATGACCACAATCTAAGATTTTTGTTTTTTCCATGATTAACTCATCACAACATATAACACAAAGTTCACCTTCTTCATTAACCGATACAACTGGTAACTAAATATATAAAACAGATGACATTAACTGATACAACTGTTAACTTATATAAATATTATAAATATATATATATATATATATTAAAGAAAATAAAGTACAAGTACTTCTTTGTTTACGGTAGATAAATGCATAAAAAAATCCGTCCAGATAAAAAATTCTCCACTTTACTTCATTCTGACATACATTAAATCATATAAGCTAGCTGTCTGCCTTCTATGGGCGTCTTCAGATATTAATAATGTATACAAAATATTACAAATACGATATATATATATATATATATATATATATATATATATATATATATATATATATATATAAAAATGGTATGGGTATATGGCTTTAACCGATACAACTGGTAACTAAAATACATATAACAAATGTCTTTAAATTAAGATACCAAACTGTTCACATTCACAGATGAAATTAGTACTTTTCTGAACTGGGGGAGTGTGTTATTTTAACAAATGCAAATTTTAAACACTTTTCATCACTTAAAATGCTAAAAGGATTGTGGTCTTTTATGATATACATACTGATATACATATAGTGTAAATGCCTGACATAACATTAAATATTTTATTTGTATTCAATTATTTTATCGTATATAAACAAATTAACACCCAGTTGAATGCTCTGTAAACATATAGTTGTAGGTGAATACACAATAAACAAGCCAACAGTAGAGCTGATGACCCCGGCTGAAATCACAAAATAAATAGATGACACATATTGATTAATTGCACATTATTTACCTTTTTCAAAAGTACTGAGCAATCAAACTGATTGTCTATACTTAGTCTAAGCATAAAATGTTCATCACTCTCACTTAATTAGAACCAATCAAATTGCATATTCTCTTCTTCGAACTCCATCAAGACATTCACCTAATGAATGCCTACACCAAGTTTGAACATTCTATCTCAATTAGATGGAGAGTTATTGTATTCCCATAGTCTCGACCAATCAAATTGCTTATCGCTCCTCTTACCCTGAGCAGAAAATGCTCATTATCGAACTTAGTGAAGGTATTGATGTAATGAAACTATACACCAAGTTTCATCACTCTCGCATAATTAGAACTAAAGTTATCGTGTCCCAAAGCATCAACCAATCAAATTGCTTATCTCTACTTACCCTAAGCAGAAAATGCTCATCTTCGAACTCCATCAAGGCATGCACCTAAAAATCACCTGCACCAAGTTTGAACATTCTTATTCAATTAGAAGCTGGGTTATTGTGTCAATAACGGACAGATCCATTTTAATAGTCCCTGTTTTCTTCGAAAGGTGGGGGACAAAAAGTTGTTGAAACAAAGAATATTGTAGCAGCTGTTTATTGTACATGATACAACTCATTTGTTTATTAATGGTAAGTACTCTCACAAATTTTAAATAAATATTAACTGTGCATGAGACATAATTTATCGTTTCTTGACCGATTGAGTAATTTTCACTCTCAAGCAGTACCATCCAACTGTTTTAAGATGATGCCCTTTCTCAAGTCTGCTTAATTAAGAGTGAAGCAGATATAGAAATTTGTTGTCGTTCTGTAACAACTCTTCTCACCAGCCATCTTTTGGATCCATTGTTTTTCTTTTGCAAATCTAGTGATGCAGTTTGTTGCTAAATCCTGTCAACACACTTAACAATTGCCACAGGAAATGGCTACCCACGCAAATCATTCTGCGCTAGTAATTACGCATGTACTAAACTCAATCGCACAAGTCAATATTTGGGCGAGTCGTAATCTACTTGTCACCAGCCTAATGGTGGCAAGCCCTGAGTAACTGACAGTTCCTTTTAAATTCCACCTGCCAAGGGTTCTTTTATGTGCACACCAGTGTGTTCCATCTGAATGACTAGACACCAGGCCCTTCGACATGCACAACTAACAAAAAGAAGCCTGCCATTTAAACTAAAGCAATGAAATGAAGAACAAAAACATTGCATTACCTCTGAAGAATTTTTTTTCAATAATCTTTTGAATCTTGGTGGTAGAGCAGATTTTTGTCCTCCATTATTATATGCATTCACCACACCACTCTAAATCCAAGATATATATGTTAGTAAATTTTGCATTATCAATTACACAGAGAAATATATATAATCTATGTGGTAAGCCTGACTTACCTTTATTTAACTCAACCTTCATTGATGTATAACGGTGATATATTTAACCCATTTTTAAAATTGAATACAAATTGTGATATCTAGTGGGTCCACAAGCTAAAAATGTGATTTTTCGAACAATCAGGGATCATAATCCAGGAAGCAACGTTTAAATATACGCGATTATCAAAAGGAACCAAGATCTTTAGATTTAAAGTTTCATCAAAATTGGATACAAATTGTGGCCTATAGAGGGTCCACAACCTTTTATACTATTTGCATACGCGGGACGGCCATTTTGGTCCGATTTTCACGAAATTCAAACTCAACCAGTGATACATTCACATGGTTTTTTGAATCGGATAAAAATTGTGACCTCTAGAAGAACCACAAGATAAAAATGCGATTTTTCATACAATTAGGGGCCATAACTCAGGAATTTACGATCCGATATGAGCAAATATCGAAAGGAACCATGTATTTCAAGTTTCATCAAAATTGAATACAAATTGTGACCTATAGAGTGTCCACAAGCTAAAAACGTGATTTTTCATACAATCAGGGGCCATAATAAATGAAGTTATGGTCCAATACGTGCCAATATCGAAAGGCACTGATATCTTTGGGAGATAGACCTATATTCAAGTTTCGTCAAAATTGGATAAAAATTGTGACCTGTAGAGTGTCCACAAACAAATTGGGCGTGGATCTGCCAGTGGGGGTTTGGAATGCACTAAAAATAATAAAGAATATCCAATCCATTAAGAATTGCGGCCTGTAAGAAACCCACAGAGACAGGGGCGACAGCAATATACGTCCATATTATAAATGAGGACGTATAAAAAATATAGTTTCTTAGTTTTATCAAAATATTTATTTACACAAACTAAAATCAAAGTCTTTACTTACAAGAGATTCTTTTTCTGTTTTTCTATCCAGAATAGATCTTCCTTCCTTGACAATATCTTGAAGTGGCATTCCTTTTAACGTGCCTCTCTTTTTACGAATTTCACTGAACACATATAAAATATCTGGCCTTCAAAAGAAAAAGAATATACCTGAAGTTACTCTTCAGTCTAACAAAAGACAATCTGTGATCACAATAAACTGCCATTAAAGACAATCTGTGGTTGCAATACACTACCTCTAAGATAACAATAGACAACCTGCAGTTGTTAAACACTACTAAGATAACAATAGACAATCTGTGGTTGCAATAACCTGTCGTCATTATACACTAATAAGATAGCAATAGACAATCTGTGGTTGCAATAAACCACCAAGATAACATTAGAAAATCTATGGTTGCAATACACTATCACCAAGATAACAATAGACAATCTGTGGTTGCAATACACTACCACTAAGATAACAATAGGCAATCTGTGGTTGCAATACACTACCACTAAGATAACATTAGACAATCTGTGGTTGCAATACACCACCACTGACTGATTAAGACAACAATAGACAATGTGTGGTCATTATACACTACTAAGATAACATTAGACAATCTGTGGTCGTTATACACTACTATGATAGTGCTTGCAATACACTACCACTAATAACATTAGACAATCTGTGGTTGCAATGCATATAATAATGTAATCTGTTCCCCAATGCAATTGGGGAATAGGGAACGAGACATTAGGCAGCGACCATGTAGCAATCCATACCACTATAGCTTGCACCGCCAACACAGAAAGCGTAAAATGTCAGGCTAGGTGGAAAATGGAAAAGGCAAACTGGGAACTATATAAAGACTTGTGCAATTGCTGGGATTTTGAGTCGTTAGGGCATGATAACATAGACACTTTTTCAAACAATCTCACTAGGGCAATAATCGGCTCAGCAGAGCAAGCCATCCCCCGAACAAAAGAAACAACCAGAAAGTCCCCCAAACCTTGGTGGTCAGACCAGATACAACGTAAAATAATGCACAAAGACGCAGACGAGACAGACCTCAATAGTCCCATTAATATAGATGAGCTAAAACAAGCATTGCGGGCTAAATCTGACAGTGCAGAAGGGCTAGATTGTGTGAAATACACAATGCTAAAAAATCTACCCGAGAAAGCATTGACGTTAGTCCTAGATATCTTTAATCTCTCATGGTCTAAAGGAAAAACACCACAAGAATGGAAGACTGCCTCAGTCATTCCCCTGTGTAAGCACAATAAAGACAAAAATGAAACAACGTCGTATCGTCCAGTCAGTCTCACATCGACTCTATGCAAAACATTAGAAACAATAATTACAAACGGACTTAAGTATCACTGTGAAAGCAATAATATCTTCACAAATCGGCAAAGTGGCTACTGCTCCGACAGGTCTACAGGTCTCCAAAGCATTCACAGCCAAACAATACCTTTGTGCAATTTTTGTCGACTTAACAAAGGCCTTTGACCTTGTATGGGTGGACGGTCTTTTACACAAACTCCACAACGCAAAAATCAAAGGCCGAATGTACAAGTGGATAGAAGCCTTTCTCAGTGATAGGCATATCCGAGTACGCGTAGGGAACTGTCTGAGCGAAAAAATCAAAATGGAAAACGGAACACCACAAGGATCCGTTATCAGTCCAATACTTTTCAACATAATGATAAATGATCTTCCTAGTTATGGGGGGAAGGACACAGAATCGGCGCTGTTCGCAGATGACAGCTCGTTCTGGAAAGCATCAAAGGATATAGGCAAAATCAAAAAATCACTGCAATACACTTTAGAACAAATTTCTAAGTGGGCTAATGAATGGGGGTTTAAAATATCAGAGGGAAAGACAGTAGCAATGCTGTTCTATCCGACCGATAGCAATAGGAAAATTGATTTAAATCTAAACGGCACGAAAATTGAATTTAAAACAGAGGCCAAATTTCTTCGCATGACATTCGACTCTAAACTATCTTGGAAGCCTCATATCGATGGCATAGTAAGTCGCACATCGAAAACACTCAACATGATGAAATATATCAGAGGGATGCAATGGGGCGCCGATAGGAGCACTCTTATGTTAATTAATATACAGAGCACTCATCCGCTCGGTAATCGACTATGGATGTCTGGCTTATGCAAATGCAAGTGATATACAACTCAATAGACTAAACACAATACAAAGTAAAGCAATACGACTAGTAACGAGAGCAGCTATAGGAACCAAAACAGTTGCCCTATTACACGAGATGGGAGAGCTTCCGCTTGATCTAAGGCGTGAGGAACTGTCACTCAAGTATTGGGGTAAACTACAAATGCTAAAAGAAAGATGTCCGACATGTAAGTGCCTCCAACAATTTCAACGAATAGGCTCCCGGAAAAACACTCGCCCTATGACATTCGGGCAAATGTCAAACGATATCTTAAACAAGCACAGTTTGAAAGGAACAATTATTGAGACAAAAACCTACCCCGTCACTCCACCTTGGCAAATAAGCGACCCTATCATTAACATGCACTTAAGTGACGTCACAAACAAACTCGCTGATCCCATAGAGGCTAGAGCACTAGCATTAGAATTAATTGACACCAAATGGACGGATCATCTCAAAATCTACACAGATGGATCAAAAAACAATACACAGGGTTCAACAGGGTACGGCTTATTCATACCCAAAGCAAAACTAAACATCAGGAAAAGGATATCAGAACACTGTTCTGTGTACACCGCAGAACTGATGGCCATCAAAACTGCAATGGAATGGCTAGACACGCAAACATACCAAAAAGCCGTAATCCTATCTGACTCCTTGAGTAGCATCAAATCCATAGAATCAAATTCCTCCAAATACCGACAGGACATAATCCATCAAGTTAGGGACCTAAATCAAAAATTCAAGAATAATGGGAGAGAGGTAGTCCTTGCATGGATCCCCTCCCACATCAATATTTTTGGCAACGAACAAGCTGACAAACTAGCCAAGGAAGGGTTGTCACTAAACGATATAGAAAATTTAGAATACAGCTGTCAGGAATTCACAAGCATAGCTAAAGATAAAATTAAAAATGCATGGAAAACCCGTCTAAAACAAGAAAATACTCATCGCTATCAAATTGATAGCAATCTTGTAGACAAGGTTTACATCAATCATCCCTCAATCAAAATATGCAAACTCATCACGAGGCTCAAAACGATAAACGTAATTAAAGACTTCACCTTTACACCAATTAAATGCCCATGTGGACAAATTGCGACCACGTCACACCTGCTAATCAACTGTAATCAATTAAACATAGAACGTCAATCCGTGATAAAGAATCTAGCATAGAGGGGAAAAACTCTCTGTCTCAAATCTCTCCTTTCTCCACAACCTGACGATAGATACTGGACATCACAGCTTGTCTGGGATTTTATTGAGAATATAGGCATCACCAAATACATAAAATAATCAATTAAACAGTAGGGCGGAACGTAAAAATGTCCTCTAGAAAGAAGCGTAAACCGCCCTTACACTACTAATAAATATAGGCATGACGAAATACATAAAATAATAAAATTAATCAATTAAACAGTAGGGCGGAACGTAAAAATGTCCTCTAGAAGGAAGCGTAAACCACCCTACACTACTAATAAAACTCCGATAAAATTAATAAATCAAATTATACAATGTAGGATGAAGCGAAAAAACGTCCCCTAGAGGGAATCGCCACCTGTTCTACACCACAAATAAAACTATCAATTAATGAATCAGGGTGTTAGCGCCAAAATGTCCCCATAAGAGGGAAACGCTACACACCCTGAAATATTTTTTACACTTTTTATTTATTTGACTAAATAAGTATTGATTGTAGATCATATTAAGCCACCATATATGTATTATTGTATTTATTAACTCCTAATAAATTTTGATTGAATGTATATCATACTAACTTGCCATAAATGCAATTTTTTTTTTTTTTTTCTCTCCAACCCCAACCCCAGCCCCCCCCCCCCCCCCGAAGCCTTACTAGACGAAATAAAAACAAACCCATCACAAGACCAGCTACTCTTTTTTCTCTAGCTTTCTCTTTTCAGGCGCTGGATTCTTCCTTCAGAGAACCATCAACAAAGGAATGAACAACAGAAATAATGACGAAATCAACCACCATACCGGACAACAAAACCAAATGGAAGGAAGAATGGTCCAGGCCTTACACTCACCAACAAGCCCCAGGGAAGAGTTGCACCGCCCTGCCATTCAACCGAAAAAATCGACCAGACCGACGAAAACGACCTAAATATATATATATATGTACATACTATGTCTAAATGTTTGTCCCTGTCCAAATGTTCGTCCACATTCATGTCTGTTTTGTTACAAATTCGTCTGTTTTGTAAACGTCCACTGGCACCTTTTTATTCTTTACACCTGTTATCTCATGTCTCTTTCTGTTATCTATTGTCTTCTGTACATATATATAAAAACCTAATTATCCTCTTTTTCACTAATCACATTGTAAATTATTGCACCTTGAATACATAACATGTTATTGTCTGCGATATCACCTCGGTGGAAGCGGACGTAAAATACAACTAACTAACAACAACAACAAGTATATAGACTGATTTACATTTAATCTTTTCCATTTTTACTCCAATTTCAAATCCGTTATGTTCGGCGAAATATGCCAAAAGTCTCAGTTGAGCGTCTGGTTATTCCATAGCGCATGCTCTCCAGATAAAATATGGCGTTACCATTTAACATGACTTGTGGAATATGTCTAGCCTTGTTCTTTCTCGTCCCTTATTACAAATGGCGCTGAAACGCGTTATTGTACATATACTCAGCCAAATTAAAAACTTGACACTCGGGATTTTTGGGACTAGATTTTTAATATTTGGTTTAAGGCAACTATTTTAGTGTTATGTTGTGCACAGACGACCTTGACATCAACAGAAAGCAAGAATACGTCTCGCCGAAAGTCCTTGACATTGATAACGTTTGTGATGTCACAGTACCCCCCAAAATGAAATTCACAGACTTGGAGAACAATCGGAATAAAGTGTTTAGAGCCTACCTATAGCACGTAGACGTTCTACATTTGAAAGGCGCTGCATTTTCTAACAAAGATGAAAATAACAATTTTAATTTGTTTTTCCAGTTCAAGTTACGTGTGCGCGTTCAGTTTAAGCAAACTTGCATCGATTGACCTCACGATTTTGTGTTTGCACATGTTTTTCATCTTTATATGCTCAAAAGTCACGTGATCCACGTGACTTTACAATTTTATGAAATTAAAGGCTTCTTACTACTTACTATCGTTAGAAACACTTTAAAATTTATTTGACTTACCAGAAAAAAAATTTTGTTGACACTCATTAGTGTCAAGTTTTTAATTTGGCTGAGTATATATCCGTGTACCAATAGTAAAATGTTTATTTGGTCTTAAATATTGATATCAGAAGCCCATCTTTTCCCGATAAGATCACAATATCAATGTTGATTAAAATTGACAAATAATTCGTGTTTTCTATGTGGAAGACTTTGGATGATATTGAGTTAGAGACTTTAAAGTAGACAATCTGTGTCACAATAGACACTACCCCCTATACGTAAGTCCAAGGTATACATTTATGTAGAATTTACCTTGTTACGTTAGGAATCCTCACAGATAGAATACGAACTAAATTTTCAAAGGTACTCTGGCCGTCGTTTTTTGAATGTAGGCCTGGTATCTTCTTACTGGTTGTTGCAGTTGGTGCCTTTGGAGAATCTTGCTTGCTTTTTTTGTTCTTTTTACTGATCTTTCAACAAGAAAAAAAATTGAAACTTAATTTCTTAGTTTGGATATGATATGGATATAGATAGGTTAACTTTTACGACCGGTGCATTTACCAGATTCTAAAAGTAAATCAAAGGCAATAAATCTGTTTCTAATTATTAGAGAAAACATGCATTTGAGTTCTTGTTTAAGGTGTTAGTTTTTCACTTCAAAAGCAATCATTTACTATCGTTGAAACAATTTATATATGTACACATACCAGGCCTTGCGTTTTGAGGAGTGCAATCACACTCCAGAGCAAACGTAAAATTATTTTTTGGAGCATTATAATCGTGCTTGCCACATTGAAAAAAAAATAGAAATAAATATTTTAATAAATGCGTGCTTCACCTTTTTTCACGCTCTCATCTTGTCAATGTTTACAATGTTTTCAAATCTTGTACCTTATCGATAGACAGCCCATCTTTGACTTGCACCTGTTTTACTCAATAGACTTGATGTGCAAGATAACGCGAGATAGAACGGGAGCCTGGGGGTTAACCTAGCTGAAAAGTGTACCAATTTTTTGCCATATGGTATCAATGCATGTATATCTGGTATCATCAGAATGTATGTCTGCCGGGTTTCTGGTGGTGGGTGTGGTATTCCACGCCCAAAATGCTATGCCCCCCAACTAGGCTAGATTAGCTCAAAAGTGTAACACATGAAAATCGTACAGCAGTGTACCGTGCATCTTCTGGTATTACAAAAACACTCTAACAGACATGTCTAGTGGTGGGTTACCCCTGACATAGCTATGTAATTGTCAGACATTTGTAGTGGTAGAGTATCCCTGACAAGAGTTATCTAATTTCCAGTCCACAGCTAGGCTAAATTAGCTGAAATCTGTACCACCTAAACCAGCTTTGGAGTTGTTCAGTACCACCACAGGAATCATGAATGACCACTGCCAGACAGTTTGTGCAGTGGGTTACCCCTAAGAGACACGCCCAAAATGCCCCTCCCCCACCCCCACTACGATAGATTAACCGGCACTGTTCTTGTGGTCCAAAAAATTAGAAATTGTGCCAGGATGCGTAAAATACTAATACCGGGTCTAAGAAGGAAATATTGCGCAGACTCGACTGATGAACGAGTAATATTTATATTCGTTATGAAGCAATTTGTTTATTTCATTATTGATGACCTAAATAAATTTATTGGCTTATGATGCTGGAATAACTATTGATAAGCAAGACTGACGAGATATAATAAGAAGGAAATACAGCATGTGCTTGGTTGATGTACGAGTAATATTTATATACTGAGCGCCATGGAAAATGTATCACTTAGTTTTTCGTATAACAAAATGATCCTGTAAACATATCTTATTCATTTTGCTTCTTATTGTGAACAATATTCAAATGGGAACACATCAATAACAACACATTTGTACACTTATGGATGTTTAATCTGTAATCAACGGTACAAAGTCAGAGGGGTCAAAACCAAAAGTATGACACAGATGTCAGTAGCGCGTGTGTCCTCCACGGGGTCTTACGCACGCTCTGCAGCGACGTCGCTTGGAATTTACCAATGTTTGAAAGAAGGCCTGGGGCAAATTGTTCCATTCTTGGACAAGAGCAGCTTCTAAAGCAGCAATGGTGTGCGTCTGTGGTCTCCGATACAGACGGCGTCCAATCTCATCCCAGACATGTTCTATCGGTGCCATGTTCGGAGACATGGCTGGCCAGTCCAAGACATTGATGTTGTTAGCAGCCAGGTAGTCCATACTAAAACGGGGGGTATGCGGACATGCATTATCCTGTTGGAAGAGCTGAAGTTGTGGGTGCGCTAGAAACATTGGAACAACAATTGGTTGCAAGACATCATCACCGTAGGCTACAGGGCGGTCCGGTGATGAAATGTGAAGCCTCCCCACACCATTACACTTCCCCCACACCATCGATTCGTTTCGAAGACGCAGCAGTCTGCAAGACGTTCCCCAAGACGTCTCCACACACGTTGACGGCCATCAGCGTGATACAGATGAAAGCGACTCTCATCACTGAAGAGCACACTTTGCCAGTCTACTCTTCTCCATGTCTGGTGTCCTTGAGCCCATATCAAACGCCGCTGACGGTGATGAGCCCTGAGGATAGCTCCAACATAAGTTCGTCGTGCACAGAGTCCTACTTCTCTTAGACGACGTCTTACGGTGTTGGCACTTACTGGTCCTTGTCTTCCGACGACTGCTGCACCTGTTCGAGTCGCTGGGCGGATCTGTCAAGCAGATGAGTGACCCGGATGTAGCGGTCTTGAGTCTGGGTTGTAACACGTTGTGGACCAGGACGTTGACGGTCACGTGTTGATCCAGTAACTCGAACACGTTCCACCAACCTTACAATAGTGGACTGATGACAAATGAAGTGTCTGGCAATAGCACGTGTAGACATGCCAGCCCTGGACATTCCAATGGCTTCATTCCGTTGATTTTCAGTAAGTCTCGGCATCTCTAGCTAAGTCTCGGCATCTCTAGCTTTACGACAGATTGACGTTTCACAGTTCATGTACTGCACATTAAGTTGAAAACATGCTTTTAAAGGGCTCACACACAATGCTGCACGTGAATATTATACATACAAAACCACCTAGTAATAAAATATTTGGGAAAAAAAAGTGATGCGCTTTCCATGGCGCTCAGTATATTATTCGTTATGAATCAAATTGTTTATTTCATATTATTTTCTCAGTGAAACTATCGATGACCTAAATAAATTTCTTGGCTTTTGATGTTGGAATAATTATTAAAGTTTTGGAAAAGAAAACATTTCACTCTTCCGTTGACGTGAAGAGTCAAACTTTGTAATTTTACAAGTGTTACCTTTTTAATATTTTATTATATATCTTGTCAGTAATTGCTGTTGCTAAAGTTTATTTAAGTTGATAAATTATAATAGTTTTAATTTTATTACTAGATAAAGAAATACAAATGAAAAAACATCTCAGATTTTTGAATGTTTATTCATTTAAATAAGCAAAACATACCTAGACAATATAATAGCTAAAGAATATTTTTAAGATTTAATTTATCTTAAAGTGAGGAGTGCAAATCACTCTCCTGAACTTTATCAGGAGTGTATTTATGCTCTTCTGAGATTTTCAAACGATGAGACCCGACATACCAAGTTTCAAATTTACAATTATTTTTGACCATGTCAAGGGCAATTATGTGAAAGAGCACACACAAAAAATATATCTAGTAGTTAAATTGTTTAAGCGGCATTAGTAACTGGATGAGAATAGCACATGACACAATTTATGATCTACTGTCCATTAACCAACAATCACTTACCGGTACTGTTTGCCACTCATCAACAGGCTCTTCTTCGTATTTCAATTCTTGTTTCGTTTCAGACCTTCCTGTAAGTAAATAAAACTTTTAATACAAATCATAAAGTTCTTTTTTTTTGTGTTAATTAGTTTACTATCTGTACCTAAAGATATAAATTTAATTTAAAATCATGACCACTTTCTCTGAAAAAATTATTTTTCTTCTAGAATAGGTTTGAAAATTCAGTTATTATAATTTCAAGTAGCAATTATCATGTTACAACTTCAGAGAAATCTTAAAGTAACCATAAGTTGACATTATACCAAAAGTTGACATTTTATACCTCCATGTATATCCCTATTACTTTTATCTTTACGTTTATTACTCGATTCAGCATGTCTTAGTAACCGACCTAAAAATTCTGTATTTAACTTGCTTTGTTCTGGTCTCTGATTTTTTTCTTCGGACATCTTTTTCTCTGAGGGAACTCTTTTTGTGGGTTGTTTTACTTTGTTGGACAGTAATTGGCTAGCCTGTGTATCTCTAGTAACATCTGATAATCCTGATGAATTTTCACCGAAGTTGAGCGGTCTTTTTAAATCAACATTAAATTTAAATGTTTCCGGATATGGGTCGACTTCCTGATCCCAAGCATCTAGGGTTTGACTTACTCCAGGGAATAATTTATTTTCATTATCAGAAAGTAATGTTTTATTACATTTTCTTCGTTTTGATCGAGTTGCAGGATTACCTTTATTTCCACTATTATATCCATTATCTAGAGATGCAACAGAACTCGGACTACCAAACACTGAACTCGTGTTCGAAAATTCTATATTACTTGGATGTTCCAATAATACAGAATCACAATGCAATGACATCAATGGTTTGGGTTTATTTGCCTTTTCTGTGGTGCCATCAGATGTTTTCCGAGATATTTCATGGTTGCCAACAGTTTCTGAATCAACATTTATTGAATCCATCTTTGACATCAGTACAGAAGGACTGGTCTTAGTTGGAGATTCTCCAGTCTGCTGGGGAGCTTGTAGTCTTATCGATCGTACAGCCTTCATTGGATACTGAAGATGTAAACTTGTACCAATATTGGTATCTGATGAAGACAATGGTGCTCTAACAGGGAATCTGATGCCAGTATTGGATGTAACCTGTCTTGGTGATGGACATTGATAGGAAGCATCAGGTAGAGTGGTCATCTGAGGTTGTCTCAGACCAGCTGAAATCATGGATGGGTTATTCAACCTTGGAGAATAAAAGGCATTTTGTAAAACATTTGGACTTATATATCCGGGTTGCTGAGGTGTTGGTAGCAGACAGGTAGGTGATAGGAGGTAAGGTTTTTCTGGTGTTGGTAGCCCAGAAAAATGATTAGGGCATGGAAGAAAAAATGCTGGTTTTGGAGGTGTTATAGACTGCTGAGGACTGGATTGCAGCGAGCTAGCTTTCTGATGTGTTGGCAGCATAGAATTAGAAAGCTGAGTGTTAGTTGTTGGAGAAGTCGTTTTCTGGATACTTGATTGATGAGATGTAGAATAATGCGGAGTTTGAAGCACAGATGAATACTGCTGAGCAGGTGGCTGATTAGGATCTTGTAACAGGTTCACAGGTGGCTTGGATGTAGGCCCTAAAATTTCTGATTTAGGTTCAGGCACAGTGTTAACATTCTGATCTGAATTACAAAGCGGATGTGATGCTTTTATATGTACATCGGGCTGAGTTACAAGATCCTGAGCAAAAGGTGGTCGAGTTTCTCCAGCCTTTCTTGAATCAGGTTTTGATTGTGGCAGTGCCTGCATATTTGGGTTTTGTTCCTCATTAGTGTGAAGCGGTTGCTGATCTTGATTTCTTGTTGAACGTTTAGCTGGAACTGGTCGAGTTTCTCTGGCCTTTCTTGAATCCGGTTTTGATTGTGGCAGTACCTGCATATTTGGGTTTTGTTCCTCATTAGTGTAAAGCGGTTGCTGATCTTGATTTCTTGTTGAACGTTTAGCTGGAACTGGTTGCTGATCTTGATTTCTTGTTGAATGATTAGCTGCAATTGGTTGCTGACTAGGAATTGTTGTTGGCTGATCAGCTGGAACTGGTTGCTGACTAGGATATAATGTTGGCTGATTAGTTTTAACTGGTGGCTGAACTTGTTGAACCAGTTGCTGACCTTGGTTTATTGTGGACTGATTAGCTTGAACCGGTTGCTGACCTTGTTGAACCAGTTGCTGACTTTGGTTTATTGTGGGCTGATTAACTGGTTGCTGACTTTTTGGCTGATTAATGTGAAGCGGTTGCTGACTAGGGTTTGTTGACTGACCTTGGTTTATTGTTGCCTGATTAGCTGGTTGCTGTTTAGGGTTTATTGTTTGTTGATCTTGGTTTATTGTTGACTGATTAGCTGTAACTGGCTGCTGACTAGGGTTTATTGTTGGCTGATCAGTTTGAGGTGGTTTCTGACCTGGGTAGATAGTGTTTACTGGCTGACTACTAGTATCTTCATTGCCACTGTTAATAAATGACTGCAATAATAATGTTTGATTGACAGCCAAGGCCTGTAGATACGTTAAATTAGATACTAGATCAGGATAATCTTGAATGAGTTGTGTTGTAACAGCTTTAAGTAGACCTTCATTAACTGAGGCATTATCAGGTATATCACTTTCCCCAATAACCTTGGCCGAACTTGCCAATTCTTCTGAGGAAGGTTTCTTCATAACATCTTGTCCATCCTCTATATCTTCAGTGTTTATTTGTGATGAGGTCACTCCCACTTGCTCTTGGGAATCATTAATTTTGGTTTCAAAATGTTCTGCGGTTTGGATTGGAATTGAATTCAAATTTCTTTCTGTATCTCTATCACTTGGAAGATTTTCCTGCACAACATCTTCAGTGGAAGAGATATTAAACTCTGTTTTAGTGGATACTATTTTGGTTTCACCCTGACTTTTCTCCATTTCGTGTACTTTGTTTTCAAAACCAGGTGGTACATTCCTGGCAGGATTCTGATTTTCATTACTTTCACCTAGATCTAGTTTATCATCTAATAAATCAATTCTTATACTGCAGATTGTCTCCTGGGATCTAATATCATCTGAAAAATTATTCTGATTTGTATTCAGATGTGTGACCATATTTTCTTGTAGACCTGTCTCTGGCATTGTATCAATACCTTCACTGTCCTCAACAGTATGTTCAATCAAACCATCTGAAATGTTTGAAACATGTTGAAAACTCTCTTCATTAACAATTTCTGGAGTTTCATCAATAGTGACTAACTGAGGACTACTGACACGGTCAGATTTATTAACAAGTTTTCTTTTCACTTTAGAATATCTGTCTTGGTCTTTTAGTGAGTTTTCTGTAGGACGGTGTCTCTTTATGCCAATAGGTTTCAAACCATTGGTGTCCTTTTTGACAGATTCAGCTGGAGATGAATCTTCTGTCCTTTCTGATGTCTCTTTAGCATCATCCAACAAAATTGTGTTCTTCTCCGATGATTTTTGAGAACTATTTGAAAATGTTGATGAATGCATATCTGTGATAGAGATATCAATGTCTGTCTGTGTGTTATTGTCACATTTCTCATCCAGACAGATTTCTGTTTGTGAATAATTATCTACAGATTCAACTTTTTGTATTCCATCCACATCTTTTGTTGATACACTTATTTCAACCTCTGATCCTGTATACTTGTTCTCAACTATACTGCTAGGGTACAGTAGATCTGAATAGTTCATTACCTAGAGAATAGCAAAATATATCAATCACAAAAATATTCATTTATAGTTACAGTAACAATGGATCAACGGTTTGATCCTGGTACAGGACAACGTACCTAGCAAGGAACAGTGTCTAGTCGTTTAGATGGGACAAATAACCAAGGTACACAGGACAGAAGCCTTGGCAGTTATAATTTGCAGGCAGAAACACTGCTGTCCAAGCAAAATTTTGGTTCTGTTTCTAGTTTGGATCACTAGTCGTAAGAAATTTATAACTGAAGGTCGCCCTACATGCGTATACCCATCTATATTGTCCTGTACAGGGTGTTTACCATCTTAATGAATTCCAATTAAGGAATTAACAATTCTCTCGATTTTTACTTTCATTAATAGTGATAGAGAAACAAAATAAGTGATGGCCATGCAATATATGACTCACATTTTACAAGAGATGGATAGAGAACAAGCTAAAAAAAAAAAAAACCCACGATTTTTCAAACAATCAGTGGCCATTGAAAGGAACCGAGATCTTTGGGTTATAAACTTACATTTCAAGTTTCATCAAAATTAGATTCAAATTGTGACCTCCAGGGGGTCCACAACCTTGACATACCATAATTTTACACTATTTGCGTGTAAGGGGCGGCCATTTTGCCCGTCAGTTTTGGTCCAATTTTCAAGAAATTAGTACTCAACCGACATTACGGTGTAATGGTGAAATATTTGAAAGTTTTTTTAAACAGGATAATAATTGTGACCTCTCGACGTACCGCAAGCTAAAAGGGCGTTTTTACGTAAAATTAGGGGTCGTAATTCGGGAAGTTACAATCCAATATGCGCGAATATCAAAAGGAACAAGATCTTTGGGTTATAAATATGCATTTCAAGTTTCATCAAAATCAGATGAAAATTGTAACCTCTAGGGTGTCCACAACCTTCGTATTACATACTTTTACACTATTTGCGTACAGGAAGCGGCCATTTTATCGGGCAGTTTCATTTTTTCCAAAATTCGAACTCAACCATCATCAGAGTGTAACGATGATATATTTAAACGATTTTTAAAATCGGATAAACATTGCGACTTGTTAATCCAGGATGTTACAGTCAGATATGCACAAATATCGAAAGGAACCAAGATCTTTGGGATATAAACACACGTTTTAAGTTTCATCAAAATTGGATCAAAATTAATATTACATACAACCTTAATATTACATACTTTAAAATTTACGTACAGGGAGCGGTCATTTGTCTATCAGTTTTGGTCCCATTTTGATCAGTTCTGGTCAGGATTTCACAAAATTTGAATTGAACCATTATTATGGTGTAACGGTGATATATTCGAGGGACCACATGCTAAAACTAAAAACATAATTCTTCATACAATCAGGGCCATAATCCATGAAGTTATGGTCTGATACTTGCCAATATCGAAAGAAATCAAGATCTTTTTGAGATAATCCTATATTTCAAGTTTCGGCAAAATTGGATAAAGATTGTGACCTGTAGAGTGTCCACAAACAAATTGTGGACGGGCAGGAGCGATGACAATATACCACGGTTTAATATATGGCATACATTGTTTTTTTTAAAGAATTGTAATGCACACAGTTGTCTTTAGCAGTGGGAGGAAATCAGAAAACCCACATTAGACAGGGAACCCTTGTCAAATTTATGGGGATCTAACTCATAAATAGCAGACATACTTTATGATCTAAAGCGCATGCATTGGTATATTCGGCAAACCATATTCTCTTTGTTTATGTTTCCTACTCTTATGGAATTATTACATACAGTATTTCAAGCAAACAATATTCAATGTTGATGTAATACTTTGTCAATTTCTTTTTACTTGATAATCACAACTGAGCGAAAAATAAACCATTAATTTCAATTCATACTTACTGACTTCGGCAAATAACTAGCATTTCCACTGGAGGTTGGGATATAAATACTCAATACTGGAAGATCTTTCAAATTTCCTCCTTTATCTAGTCTTATTAAACCTTCCTCTAACTGGCACTGAACATATCAATAAAAATATACAGGGACTTATAGTAACTTTTAAAAATCGTTCATAAACAATCTAGTGAAATTTAAAAGTTTAGGTGAAATGTGAATAGAATAATTTAGCAATGTCTTAAACACTTCCAACGAGAACTTTGTCCTGTATCATGTTCAAATAACTCAAAAGTACAAATGTGAACGTTTTTTTTAAAAAATCCACTGAAATCTTTTCTCTATATCAAATACACAATTAATAGTCAATGTAAATTCTGCTTAAAATACAGACGTCATCCTTTGATGTTGGTGTACCATTATTTCCAATAATGTATGGGCAACTTGCCAATCGTACATTATCTATACTACATGAAATATTGGACTCGCGTGACGTATTTCATTGAAAAGCATGTGCGGGATAGTGTCTGTATTTTAAGATGTTTAATGGTTTCAGAGCTAAAGACATTGCGTAACATATTGAAACAACACTCGACTAACGCCTCGTGCAGTATCAATATATTACCTAATGTCTCGCTCTCGACCATTAAACCATACATAATGCATCCTTTCTTATGCCACTGATTTAGAAAATAATTATGTTGATATGTTCACAAGATTTCATGAATTTGAAAATAGAGAGAAAGAAATGGGGTTTAACGTCCACTCGACACAAACTAGGTCATTGTGGGACTAAACAATTCCACCAATTTTTAAAACTTTCAGTACCTGTCCTGTATTGCTTTCACAAGCTTTCAAAAGTTTGAGAGTAATTGGAAGATATGAGTCAAATGAACAAACCTTGCTAATTTGAAAACAAGCGGTTGCACTTATATTGAAAGGAAACAAGATCATTGGGATATCAACATATATGTTAACTTTCATCAAAATCAGATAAAAATTGTGACCTCTAAAGGGGCTACAGCCTTGGTATTACATACTTTTACACTATTTGTGTACAGGGAGCAGCAATTCTGTCAACATTCAAACTCAACCATCATTATGGTGTAACAACGATATATTTGAACGGTTTTTAAAATCAAATAAAAATTGTGACCTCTAGAGGGTCCACAAGCTCAAAATGTGATTTTTCATATATTAATCAGGGGCAATAATCCCTGAAGTTACTCTCCGATACGTGCCAATATCAAAAGGAAACAAGACCTTTGGGATATAAACCTATATTTCAAGTTTCGTCAAAATCAGATAAAAATTGTGACTTGTAGTGGATCCACAAATAAATGTGAATGGATGGACGGGCACACAGACGGACAAGTCACATCTAAACCAACAGAAGCTGGTGATGATAACAAAATACATCCCAATTAAATGTGGGCATATAAAATCAATGTTAGCAGGTTTTACCAGGAATACCACTAAAGCAGGGGAAGGAGGAAAACGGGGTAATGAAATGAAAAAATATGTAAATCAAACCTGTAAATTGGCTATACATTGTTGTAACCATTTCATTCTGGCTTCAAATAAATCTTCTAAACCAGTCTTCTCTTTACTTCTACAAAATCAAATATAAATTTATCTCTATACTATATGTGACCCCCCCCCCCCCCCCCCCCCATGGCATACTGAGTCGCAATGAGGAAATTTTGAAAATTGAGTTATTGTTATTTTCACATTCTCCAACTCATTACCTTCAATTTGATGTATAGTTTGTTTGAATTGGGCAAAAATTGACTGAGCTGTGTCCATTAGAAGCTACCCAACTCACAAAAGTAAGTTTTGAGAAAAAGCAAGTCAAAGAGTTGGTACGTTCCAAAACAAAATCCCATAGCAACCAGGCCATTTATTTGCTGTTTTGTCCTTGAATATATCTTTCCATTGGTTTTCAGGGGTGCTGAAGACGAAAATCGTAAAAATTTGATCCAACGATTTCCGCCATTTATTTGCTATTTTGTCGTTTAATATTTTTTTTATTTAGAATTTCAAGGGTGCTGACGACGAAAATTGTACTATATGCACTCCTTTCGTAACGAAACATCCACAACACATGCGGCATATTCACATGATAGTGTTATACTGAAGAACAACCTATACATTAGTAGTCTGTTTTGTATATTATAACTTTGGTGAGATTATCAAATGACGTTATCAAATTATGAGTCCCTATAGGAAAGTCAATTTCATAGTCAAGAAATGCTTTAGTTCACTTTCGTGCATTTTGGCTTTGATGTAGTAATTAAACAATGGCAGACTCAAGAATCGTCGCATTTCGGCTCGTTGGTCATTCCATTTTTTGACCCATGGTGATAAGAGAATTTTAAACAATAATATCCAAGACACATTCCTTACTTTGCATGCCGTATAAAGAAGCGACAGTATCCGGAATTCAGCTATCAATAAAATTCTCTTCGAAAAGAAAATTATTGGCCATTTTGTTTATTTCCATTTAAGGCCTATAAATTATTTTTTTAAAGATGATATGAGATATCAAATAATTACTGCTTGGATTAATTATTTATCATTGACCCGTAACAGTTGATTAGTATTACTCAATGACACACCCACTTGTTGATTAATTTACATAATCAGCCACATGGTTTTGATTAACACTCAACGGCAATCTATATACGATCAGAATTAATTTTTTTTTCTGCCACTTATCAGAGTGAATCGCATGTAGGTACCCAAAAACATTATCGCCAAAACCAAATATTTATCGCCCGCTCAAGCCAGCCACGTAACCATAGTGCTTGGCATGCAGTGTCTGGGTCAATCAGCAAACCAGTTGTGTAGACAGCATGGCAACAGGTGGAGTTTGTTTATATTTTTTAGGGGTTTTAAAACTCGATTGTATCCATTCAAAATCAATTCATCGAAAATATTTTGATCATATTTGTAAATTAGAGATTCTCTGCTTTACAACGATGCCAATTATTATGCAAGAGGAATGATCGGTCGTCCCGCTGCGAGCGAAGAAAAATAACTAATTTTGCCGAGAATTTTAAGAAATAGGACAGATTTAAGAATACGGTACTCTTACAAAACGTTCAAATACAGGTTTCAAATCTTTTATTGCTATTTTGATCTTTTGTGTCGATAGATATTATATTTATCGACTCATTTTTGTGAAAATCTCAATTTCGATCAAAATCAATATTTTCACTTGTTTTGTCTCTAGTCCAAAATTAGATTTTACCATTTCTCCAATACTTGAAAATCTTACATTTTTCTCCAATTAGAGTTGAGTAGTGATGATACAAGGCAGTGATACAAATTATCGTCATAAATTTAGTGTTGCAATACACTTGTTGAAAGAATTATTATTTTACTTATATGTCTAGTTTTCTTTGTAAAGGGGCATTATATTGAGTTCGACAAGTGAAAGAAGCATTTGGCCGCTGCAGAAAAAATATAGGATCGGGCATCTATGGGATTTCAAATATTTGTCAACACGATACTTTGGTCATTTTGAGACTAACATACATTTTTTTTCTATGGTCGTATGTGCAATGCTAGCAAGAAGAATTTTGTCTGGTTTTTCATCCCATCCAAACAACTAGGCAAAACTTTGTTTGTCAGTCCTGCAGTGGGGATAAGGTTTGGATAATCCCATGTTTTTTCTCAGGACATTTTAGTTGAAAGTCCAGTTCCCTTTTCACTCGACTATTGCCATTGGTGCTCCCCAGAAACTAATTGTTGACCGTCATCAACTGTCACTACTACTTGTGAGTTATCTCAACGCTTGTTGAAGTGTGTGCTTCTTGAATCATATATAAGACAGTTTGCCAGGCAAACAATATGAGCATACATCTCTTCCAAGAAGAATATATAGTTTTATGGTATCATTAATCATTCTGGTATTAATTCAAAAATTAATATCCAAATTGCATGATTTTCATTTTCAGTATGCTAGAGAATGTTTTAGGAGATTATGTACATGTAGGATGCTGCCTAACAACTTCAAAATACATGGTTAAATCAAATGTTTTGCTTTTAAATGTTTACTGAAAATATTTTCCAAACGAAGATAAAAATATTAAAGTATGTACGATTACTTACTGAGGATTAAAAAAATTTGACCAGTGTGTTTTTGAATAGTGTAATTCGTGTAACTCTCTCTGCAGTTCACTTGAACACATCTGACTTCTTAGACTATAAACTTCTTTCTAAAATAATACAAAAATATTTACTATCTATGATCTAAAAATCAATGCCAGTCTGTTAAAGGTAGCAAAAAAAACATGGTATATACCGTGCTCAATAAAGAAAACAATATGGCAATTTTTATGAGGATCAGCCTGCAATGATACAGCGTCGCAGTAAATACTCGAACACTAACCTGTGTACTTGCACTAAGTTAGCAGTACCGGTAATCAGTACACAGATATTTTGTAGACTGGGTAAACGACATGCAGCATTTACTGCAATACAGCAAAATCAAGTGTCAACCTATCATGTGACCTTTCCAGGAATAGTCTCAACGAAAAACTTTGGACTTAATATCATTTCTATAGCTATCAACACAGAACAGGGAAATAGAACCTTTAACTACCAACCTCTAACACTTTCATGTATCTGTAACTTGAATCTGAAACAATTTCCTTATTATAACAAAATGATAGCTCAGGACTTGTTTGTAACTTTCGATTTTTGGTTTTACACTTAAAATTTTCAGTCTGGATGGCACAGGTTTTTGATTCATAATTTATGGTATTGACACCCACTTCGAATGAACACTTCTCGGCCGTCTGAGTTTCACAATCAACTAACTCATCAGTATATGGACGAACTTCAATCATATCCGCATTTCTACAGACATAATCTGCACAATCCATGGAAGCGTAGAAATTATTGTCGTTATAATCCTCATCTTCATGATACTCTGGACTGATCGGAATAGTCTGAAATGGGAGGTAAGAAGATGCAAAACAGTCGCCAGGATCTGCTATTTCAACACTAATTGGTTTAAATTCTGGTGTATCAGGATTCAAAAGTGATGTTTGACTACTGGTCAGTGAAGATGCTAATTTTTCATTACTATCCTCTCTGTCATCGTCTTCAATTTTTGTTGACTGTTCAATAATTTGAACTTCATTTTCAACATCAAAGCCAAGATCACCAATAGAAATTGTGATTCCATAATCTAAATTTATTTCAATGATTGCTGAACACAGCACATCTTTAGTAAGTTGCTTAGCTACTTGTCTCAAGATGGAGTCGATGTCAGATTCAGAATCCAAAACATTTTGTTCTTTCACATTGACATTAGGATCATTATTCAAATGCTCTTCTGAAGTATTGTTCGGTTCACGGTTTGAGTATTTGCCAGCTGTTTCCAAAGCTTTTGGTCCTTCAGTAGACAGACTTTTTGGATTTGAACATTCAATTCCAAGTTTCCATGCCCGTTCAAAAAACAAATCTGTTTTGCTAGGCTTTGCAACAACTGGGTTCTTATTTACAACCGTGCTACTGGTAGATTTATATAATGTGCTTGTGACATTTTTGTTAATTATAGCGTCATTGGGTTTGTTGTTATCTCCAGTCCATTTTTGTGAATAACAATATCCATCTGATGCCACAAGTTTATCAATCTTTTTAATTATATTTTCATCCTTTTTATCATTAGATTCAAGAGTTTTGGTAACAAAAGCATTAGGTTTAGTTGACTGTGGTGAAGGAGTTGATTGTTTCGATGATGGAGTTTGCTGTGGAGTTATTGAAATACCATGGCCAGTTGCCTTCATTAGAAACATGTCTGTAGCTGTTACAACCATGCCTAATTAAAATAAAACAATCTGAAAATCTCAACAACCTCATACATTTATTATTTACAGCTAGTTAAACAAACCTTGCCGTGAGAAGTTACTAGGAGTGCTTGCCACAAAATATAACATTATGTGAGTAAACAAACAACAGTGATTCATAATGTGCTGAGACATTGTCACCTTCACTTCTAAGTAACTTTTGAAAAGTTACATGTACTCGCCACATTTTCCATTCCAGATGAGTTTAGGGGTACATGTGTCATTGCTCAAATTTCATGGAAAGACTCTCAGACTCAAGCTAAGAATTTACTCAACTTTCAATCACTGTTTATGAGAAATATCTTTTATCCAGAAACACAAAACTTTGCACATAGTTTCTTATTGATGTATTTGATACACTAAAACAACAAAACTTTTATAAAGGGCTATATTTTAGTTTAAATAAGGCGAACAATTTTGAAATATTCTTAACTTAAACATGCATTATGCAAGAGCAAAATCTGCTTATTACAAGTCTTTCTTTAGGCCTGAAATGTTATCTAAATTATCAATTAGACATTAATTAACTTATCCAGACCATAATAAACTCTCGATGTCAAGGCTAGCCTTCGATGTAGGCTGGATTAGATTCCTATATGCCGCTAACGGCCGTTGATAATTAAATCAGAAAAAGTGGATAATCGAGACTATGCTGTTTATATTAATGATTTTAGTAATGATGACCGAGACTATGCAAAAATTTCACACGCTTCTTTCTCGGCTCCTAGAGGATCAATTTGACTGAAATTTTCAGCAAATTACCTTTACACTATCTAGTTTTTAACTATTATAGCGAGAACTGCCATCTCTTTATCTTACCTTCCATAATGTATCTTTAAGTCTGAGAATGTTTTGTGAACTCAGGGCCTGAATACTGAGTATGATATTTCTTATGACTTTGGAAAATCAAATTATAGACTTGAACTGATTAGTAAGCACACAATGACAGTTACAAATCCATCAACTAAAATTTATCTGATCTTTAAACACTTACCCGACTCATGTTTCTGGACAATCATTGGCCAGTTATTATCTGAAGAGCTTTGTTGAGTACCTGTACACTTAATTTCACTGCAAAGAAATTCAGAAGTAGAAATAAATATCAGTAGGCTACAATCTGATAGAAACACATATCCTATTTCGTTCCGTTTTTTATATTTCACAATTTTGTTTTATTTGTCTGTACTACACTAGGATCTGGAAGAGTTGTTATATAACCTGTGTTCTGGATGGCGTGAGGGATAAGCCAATGAAACCATCTGTTACGTTGACTTCTTGGTGTCAATGTGATGCACGGAACTGTGGGTAAACCTCTAGAAACGTCAACGCTGATTGATTAATCAATGTCTGACGTCATAGGGTCAAAAACCGTTCGTACAACCTCTGACACGACCTTTTACTACAACCGGTGAGATCTTCGTGTAGTGTAGGCCATCGAAAGTATAAAAAAAAACATAACGAAACATAGATCTGTATTTTAATCAGATTGGGTAGGCTATAGGTCACATGTTTATGAAATCATCACTAAAGAACTTATTGGTAGATTTGTTGTTACTGAAATATTGATAGTTACACAAAAACTACATTTTGTATTCAAATACCTAAAATGACTGGATCTCTGTGGCAAAGAGAAAACACATGCTTTGTTTCAAAAGCAATTCAAAGAACAATTTGCAGATATAACCGGTTCAAATACCTTTTGATCTCACAGGACATGCGAGTAGAAATGTTACCATACAAATAATTTGGCTTTTCACAACTGATCCCGACTGTGACATAAATGATATGTCACACACTGGATAATATCTGAATCAATTTAAACCGTTTTAATGGATTCACATTTAAAAGCTTTCGCAATGGATGGCTATACAATAAGATTTAGTCCCGATCGAAGGGTCTCCGCCTTCAACTAGCAGGATACCCGGCTTCGCTCGGGGGTCATAACTCCGAAACTGGAAGTGGTAGACTAACGCCACCTGGCCTATGTTACTCCCCGGTCGGAGCTACCCCTATACCCCAAATTTCAGACTCGGGGCAGACCTAGTGTAGCCGCTAACCCCGCTTTGCTCGGGGGTCATAACTCCGAAACCGGAAGTGGTAGAGTAACGCCACCTGGCCTATGTTACTCCCCGGTCCGAGCTACCCCGCCAACCCCGAACAGGCAGACAAACAGACAAACGACAGTCACAAATATTAGTAAAGATTCAAAGAGGTTTAACTCCTTCAAGTCAATAGGAAAATGTGGTTATAATAAATAGTTGTTTTAAATCCTCTCACCTGTGATGAATATAATTATTATGGACGGGAGGTGATGGTATAATATTTGGAGGTGAAGCCACATCTGTATGTCTTCTTGTCCAGTATTGATAAGGTATGGGTGTTGGTGGATGACTATAATCAACAGGATAGGAAGTTAGCCTGTTATGATAAGGGGAGGCGGGTAGTGTAGGATGTATTATGGGTTGTGCCTGTGTATGATGATAATTCACTGCACCAGGTAGAGGTCCTTGTGCTGCATACTGATACTGCAATGATGGTACTGATGGGTTGTTGAAATATGACATCTTTACTGCATTAGCAGCTGAAGTTTAATATGTTATTTAAAAACAAATAAATAAATAACATCTGAAACAGAATAAATTTATCATATTTAAATCAAATTCTTATCAATAACAACTTGATTTCAAAAAGTTTCTACCGATTTTTTATAACTAACATAACAGTTACCGTGGCAAATGCGATGAGAGAGAGAGAGAAATGGGGTTTCACGTCCACTCGACACAAACTAGGTCATTTTGGGACTAACATACGCCCAATTTTATTTACATAATTCGCTTGCGCGTAGGGGTCTTTAGCAGTGGGAGGAAACCGGAGGACCTGGAGAAAACCCACGAGGTTGGACAGGCGACCCTACTCCTTGTCACGTACAACCGGGGATTCGAAACCACGCCAGTCGACTCAATGACAAATGCGATGAGATTTAACGTTCTACTTGACTGGGCTAATGAAGAAGGGCTTATGCCATACAGTGTACTATGACGGAAATTATGCCTAGACAGAGACGCTGTGGCCCATTCCAACTGCCAAGGGATCTTTAACGTGCAGACCAATGTGTACTATAGGACTTTGGTTTTTTGTTCCATCCAAACAACTATACATTGTCCCTTGTCAGACCCTCCATCCTGCACCACTGACAAGGAGGAACCACACCTGAAAATCCCAATGAACTTTCTTGGTTAACACAGGGATCAAACATGGGATCTCCAGGTTGACGAGCCAACATCTTCCTCACTGAGCCACCACCATGACTATCTTGTGGCACATGCAATAAAGGTATCGTGAGCTTGGGTGGAGACTGGAGAGTATAAGCTGAAGAGTTTCGGTCAGTGCTGTCAAGATATCAGATTGTATGTATGTTGTAAAACGCTCACTCATTCTGGGACCAACAACACTGGACCAGGCCATGAAAATAGCTATTTTAGATGAAGGCCTACCAAAGAAAATTTCAGGCACTATTGAACTAGTACCAACATTTTTATCTTTTTTCTGGATGTGTATTACCGTAATTTAAAATGATCAATTGGAATTGTGACCTCATACCAAGGAACAAACATGTCAAGGTTCATGTCGAATGATCATACTTGAATTGGTGGAGCCTTAAGATTTTTTTTTTCGAAGAAGAAAGAACAACAAGATGATTAGCACTTGGGCTGTAGAAAAATTCCTTGTCCAGAAGCACCAATATATAAGACAAAAATCAGCCGGATGTAACGACAGGCAGTTTGCAATTTGTGGCGTGGTGGCCGAATGGTGGACATTGTTTGTGACGGGTGCCTTATTATTTCGAGGCTTGAGTTGAAGACGAGGTCTTGAAGTTACAGCTAGATATGACTAAGTTCGTACTTCAAGGGGAAGAGACACGAGGTAGCTGTGGAATAGGCCAACAATATATCCAAGGCGGAACTAAATAGAGAGTTGGCCTTCTCTAGTTTTCTCAGTTCTGGTACTCTACCGTCCTTTTCGATATCATCATGCAATCATCAATTAAAGCAAATTTAAGTCCGTGACCAAATTATGTCAACTTTTTAGACCTATACATACAAATTAATAATGCACATTTTTCGTCCAGACTATATAAACTGGTGACATTTAGAATATCTTTACTTTTCATGATCATAAAAAACCTATCACCTTTACACTCGTGTGACCGGTTCCAAAATGTCGCCAATAAATGCGCAGCTGCGTGAACAGGCGCTATATAGAAGATAGTTTCTTACTTTGGTCTACAATTAAACAAAATCTATGAAATTTACTTCAAAAACAAAATTTAAATTGTACAACATAATGACTTATTTATGCTACAAATCAGAATTCAATGAAGTGCACTTTTTACTGTGTTATTGTTTTGCTTTTGGAAAACAAGCGCGGATGATTATTTCCAGGCCTAAATTGAAAAAGAAAGTATGAGGAAAGTTCCAAATTCGGAATCGCACAGAGCAATGCACGCAAAGTCCAGACCAGTCTTCCCTTTGAAACCGAGATTTAAATTTTCTTTTTTCGAATACAAAATGGTAATACTTTTGTACTTCACATTATAAATATTTAAAAAGTTTAAATATCGATGCCGATCTAGCAGAGTGCAGACCCAAATCTGGCGCAAAGATACCCATTTTCTTGAAAATAGGCCTGTATTTTTTCTTTTTTAAAAAAAAGCCCCCCCCCCCCCGCCCCCCCAGGGCGAGGGCCGAGAAAATAAAAGACTAAATTTCCAGTTAAATGCACTGACACTGGTATTATTACATCGGTATCATAGGCCTACCACTTGCTGGGTAAAGAAATAACTTGTGGTTGTATTCAGAAAAGACAGGAATCCAATCAATTTTCAACAAAGACAGAATAGTAAATAATAAATTAGATTTAATAGTAGGCCTAATACTATAGTAATACAATGAATAGAATGTTTTAGTTTTCCAAAACTTACAAAAGTGTATGCCTGCGTCAGTCAGCACGATTTACCCAAATCCACCATTATTTCAACTCATATTTATATCTATAAGCTTATTTGATGTTAAACTGACATTCTATTTCTATTTAAAATTATAATTTTAAAAATTTACGTTTTTATTTCACAAAATCATAAATGTCCTTCAAAATGCAATTTCCAAGCAAGTATTGATAAAAGGAGTTCGCTCCCTTTAACTGTAACTACACCACAACACACCACCTTTCCCAAATCGTGGTTTAATGTCCGCTTATAATATATACTACGATTTCTTTATTTTTATATGAAATTATCAGACCTCATTATAAGCTACGGTAATAAAGAATTTACTAAATTTGCATTATTTCTAAATGTCAGAAAATTTATCGTTTTCACACTTATTTTAATTAAGGCTAGGTTAATATTTCAACTTGATTGGAGATGAACACGTACGATTGCATACTGCATAGTCAATGTGATAAGAATTTTGAAAATTCATAATTAGGCCTAATAATAAATAAAAATGAATTTAAGCACTCTAAATAATTGTCATGTTTCCCATTAAACAAAACTGTAAACCCCTAAAATTTATGTTTTCGCTCAATTTATGAATGACGACGCTTTCACAATTAGTTAGGCTACATCCTTTTAACCACTGGTGTCCTTGATGTTTAAATAATCTTTCCAATCTTTTCATAATCAATACCAAGTTACCATAGTAAAATATGCTTCCAATCACGTCCGCTTTATAGTCTTTTTGGACAATCGTCATGACGTCATTAATCTGTTTATTTTTCATTTTGAGTGGAAAAGAACAGTGAAGGTAAGATTCATATTTATTGTTGAGATAATATTTCAATGGAAATTAGTTTTTGTCATATTTAAAATTACACAAATTTTACAATTTTTGGGGCTTATTATACCCCAACATTGTAAAATATGTGTTATTATTGTTTAAACGATGATGGTTTCTCATTGATTTTTATTTTTAATTTTAATTTTAATGTTGTTGGGCTTTGTTTTGTTATTTTGATTCTCGGTTGTTTGTTGGTTTTATTCTACTGACGGAATATCGGCAATGTAATTTAATTTATCCAGATACTTGTCCACTTGGTCGGGTCTGCCAGTCGCGTGTATTTAACGTCCTACCTTTTAGCATTCTGCACGCAGAGAACTACTTACTTTGAGAATAGATCTCTGTCCCGAATGACCGCCATGTTCAAAAATTAATATACTGTATTATAATGTGGTTTTCATACATGGGAGCTTAAAATTCTAGAATTATACTTAGTGTTTTCGACTAAAATCGTCGATTTAGAAATAAAATGTCGGTCAGTTAGCTTCGTGCCTGTGGGCTACTCAAGCGGGGCTAATAGACAGCGTAACTTTCGTATGAAGTTTTAGCCTGAACCGCGTTAATAAATTATATTCATTGAAATAACAAAATAAACAGTAACTTTTCAAAATCAACTGTACTGATTTCTATATATTGTGATGTTTTGTATTTATTTAAATAATTTTGGTAATGTTGATATAATATAAAAGTTACACTCATCAAAAGGCTAATTTTATCAGACAAACGATGGGCACGTTCCAGATGCTGTTGAGTGGTCCGCCAAGAAACTGTAACAGAATGGACAGGTGTCGATGAAAACAGATGGCGCGTGCCCAAAAATTAATAATTATTTAGATACCTTTACACAGTTTGTTGAAAATACATTGAAACTGGCGAATAACAATGGCGACTCTGTTGTTGAACGATAAATAAATCAGACTCTTTTAAGCCTAAGCGTGCAATGTGGCGTCAGTAAATGGTCGTCTGTTCAAAACGTTTAAATCCCGGATCCAACACCATAAATTCAAAGTAAAACACAGACTCAAGGGTCGTTTTTACTTAAACGGAATTCGTTGATTTTGTTTTCAAACCTTAACACCATCTTTGATTTATATCAAAATAAAGCATTGTATTGGGCTATTACCGAAGGGGCATGTTCTATGTGAAGGCATTTGTGCTAATGTTAGTTTTAATTTGTGGCTGTGTCGACAGTGGAACAATATATATCAACGCTGGCTCTATGTACGAACGTGAAATTTTTCAACGAACACATAGATTGTCACCCCGCCAAACAAATCGACAAATAAAATCCAATGAAATCGGCATATTTAATTTTGACGCAAACAGAGAGGTCTACTAGCTATGTTAAGATATTTTCTGTCTGTATGTGCCTGTCATTATAAGACATTCATCACATAATTTTATCAATTTATTTCCGGAAATTCGTAAAATATCACAAATTGCATGGTCTGGTGCTAAATTTTGACGCTGAATATTTAAAACTTTGACCACCCAATTTATTTCCGGAAATTGGTAAAATATCGCAAATTGCATGGTCTGATGATAAAAATTGATGTTGAATATATAAAACTTTGACCCCACAATTTATTTCCGGAAATTGTAAAATATCACAAATTGCATAGTCTGGATGATTTGAAAGCTTCATCTGTGTGATATTTTATTACATTAATTTATAGTCTGACTTCAAGTAAAACTGTCAGGTGCGCTGGCTTAACTCAACTAATCATTGGTTTGGTCGACTGATATTTACATGTGCTCATCAACTGATAGAAAAATTCAAGTGATTCTCAAGTAGTGATAAGAACACACAAGTGTCTAGCTAATGTATATCTGTGTACTCGTATTGCCATGATCCAACACGTGTAAAAATATTTACTGATGGAGGAACCCGATTACCTCACTTGTACAAGTCCCGCAGCAACAATATCCAGTTACCCCCACCTCATCTCACCCGATAGCCGGATCATCATGATCATTTCATCTTTATGCCCGATTATCATGTCGTAACTCCCTAGACACTTTCATTGAATTTCGCCTGGGTAATATTTCTAATCGTCCTGTGAGAAATTTTTGTGGAAGTTTCTTTTTTTTTTCGATGTGTTTACATCTGTGAAGTTAAATGTCTGTCCAAATGTTTTATTTTTATCAGTTTGTCAGTGTTTTGATCATCAGTGTCTGCCAGTTTAATACTGTTTATCGTGGTACTAAATTTTACTGCCAGATAAATGTTTGGATAAAAACTTTTGACTTTTTGTTAAAGCCTTTTAGTTGGAACGTGACGATATAGATGTTACATGATTCCAGTGATATGATCTCAAAAATATATACCGCCAAAGAAAGGAAAGGCGATTTTTTTATATTTTACATTGCGTACAAGAGTGAAGGACCACAAGTCGCATAACACTATAGCAGATAAAAGAACTGTGTCACCGTAAGATAAAATTAAGCAATTCAGAAACCACATGAAATCAACTGAATCCACTGTGCAGACGAAACAAAAGGTTTCGGTTTTAAGTTTTCTGTTCATCATGTCATTTCCAGATACAGGCAGCAACATATGAAACGAAAGGTTTCAGTTTTAAAGGTTAAGAACACATACATGTCATACAGCAAACCAGACGAAGGTTTCTTGTAGCCATGCCATTCCAAAGAAAGGAAAAAGCAAACACATGATGCGCAGTGACGACTTCAATTCGTTATCTTTCAGTTTAGGCACTTATAAACGTATGTAATAGGAGACAGTTGAATAAACACAAAATATGTTGAAATAACGGTACCACAGCTGTAAGTTACTGACCCTGGACAGTGACACGATCTAATAAGAACTGTGGGCGGCCATGTCATTGTTTCTGGCATTTTGTATCCTTAGAGATAAGGCGCCTGTCCAAATGGACACAATTAAGCAAATCTATGGTTGTTGACATATAACGATTCAACATCTGTGATACTGACCCCACCCCATCATACCCTGGAGATCCTCGACGATGCAGGAGGTTGGAGATGGAATACCAAGATAAATTGGACACGATAATTCGTACATGAAATTTGTTTTAATAATGACATTTCTGTCAATAGAACGATGCCACAAAACGGTAAATGAATATTATCAGACGGGTCATGAAGTGTGACAGGGACCATCAAGAACGTATGTTTGGCCATTTTATTCGATTACACGTCTGTTAATCTGCATAAATGGTTGCCCCATGTATCTAATCTTGCTCGCCATACACAGGATATTGTCATTTGTGTTACTTAAAGGATAACAGCAGCAAATCAACAAAACACAAGCCCCCCCCCCCCCCACCTTCGCAATTCCAGAGAATCATAATATGTACTGTTTTATATAGTATGTAAAGATTAACATAAGATCGGCTCACATCCGCTTCATGGAGTTATTTGATCTCATTTCTTGCGTTAAAAACTTTCATCAGATAACTGAAATTTTGGTTAACCCTAAGGTCATTTTTAAAATTGAGTTCTGCACTGATACGTAGGACTCCATTTTGTATCTTTTTTTTCTTAGATTGGACACGTGTGTTAGTATGCCATATTAACAGTGACACTTTATTTTATTAAGAGATCTAAGACACCACGTGGGGTGATGACATCACTTAAATTCGACAAAAATCAACAACAATATAAAGCAGATGGTAGAATTGGCTAACTTTCCCTTTCACCACAGCCAGTAGATGTTAAATGATGTGTTGATATGACTGATGTAAGAATAAACTTTAGAAGATGATAAAACTTTCTGACATCTCCAACAGGATAAATAAACATATAAGTGTCTGTAGGAATATTTGATATATAGATATGCGTTCATTTCAAATGAAGGTAAACAGGCGACAGCTGGCGGTGATCTGGCTAAATGTCGTGAAATAATAAACACTTAAGGGGCCAAGTATCTGCCTAATTAGTTTCTAGCGAATTGAGTGTAAATCTTTGTATTCCTTTACATCGTCACTTATATCACAAATATATTTATGTCGCTTTCTTTATCTTTTATCATTGTAAAGTATACGAATTATTAAGTAGGTTTTTTATTTTCCTTTTAACAGTTTCTTGAGTCTTGTGGAGTGTTTACATGAATATAAAAGTAAATGGACTACAAAAAAGGTTCTGAGGATTGGTTCTCTGTACAACCTGTAAAATTATTCATCATTTAAGATCAAACCCAAATTAGATCCTGTTAAAATAAACGCCCCTGGGGTCTCTTATCTTAACAAACATAATTATTTTGAGGGACTTCATTCAGATTCTGAATGAAATACACAAAAGTTGTGATATAAGGAAATTGCTTGCTGAGTCTTAATTAAAGGAGATAACCCTCTACTTGGATATTATCCTTACTATTCGAAATTAGGATTCATAGCTAGGATACCTTTTGTATACAAATTTAAATTCGATTAATAAACCATTGTTATGGAGAGTTAGATTTGTGTGTAGTATAATAAATTTCAATATATACTTTGTCATTGTTGTATTTGCTACATGATTAGAGGAGTCACGGTGGCTATGTGGGTAAGACGCTGGAGGTCGCGGATTCGCTCCCGGTGTTGGCCCCTTGTGGTTTCCCCTTGTCAGTGGTGGGGGGAGAGCCTGACAAGGACAACTGTCTAGTTGTTCGGGTGGAACGAAAAATCGAGGTCCCGTGTACACATTGGCGTGCACGTAAAAGATTCCTTGGCAGTCTGGAATTCGATTTAAGAGTAGGCCGTAGCGTCGCTGTCCGGGCCACATTTATACCCCATAACACACTGCATGGTGTATGCCCGTCTTCGTGAGTCCAGTGCCCCAGTCGGAGCAGAACAGTAGGACGTTAAACCCCATTTCATTTCATTTTTGTTTTCTTTTCCCTACACTATTAATGTTTTTACATAGATAATTATTTTATATGAGTCAATGAAAAAGAACAATGTAAAGAAAAGAAATGAATTTGAGGAAAATAATAAATTTGACATCTTACTGCTGTTTTGTCATCGAAATATTTTTATGAAATGGACCATGAAGATTTAAAACCAAGAGATGTATATTATAAACGAATTACAGATGGGAAGACGAATAGACGAAATTACAACAAAATTAATATTCAAGCTGATAAATTTCACATGTATAGACACAAAAACCAGAAACAAATACATACACGGAACCATATTAATCATACATAAAAATTCTAGATTATACAAATTTGGTAAAGTGTCTTGCTACATTACGCAACTTTTTTAAATCAAGCATTGAAACCGTTAATCATCTATTTATTTTGTTCTCTTGGAAACACTTCACAGTATCCTGGTTATAAATAACATTTATAGCAAACTTTGTCGCTCTGTTGTAATACACCTTGTCTTCTATGATTCGCATGATCACCTGAATAAAATTCACGGTCTCAGTCAAGTACTAATCTTGAATCATGCAATCATAGTAATAATTAACTGAATACTATATTACCGATCACAGTAAATTACATATTCCTGAAGCAATGACCCGAGAAATGCTTTGAATGGGATTAGGTCTAATCAAACGGAACACTGTGAGAAATATGAGCAAACTATAAATAGACTGATATTGGTAACTAAGTGATTTTAATTATATTGTTATGTGTATGGGGGGGGGGGGCTATGCGTGAAATCACAAGGTCTGTCAATGGGACCTCTATGTGCACGCGAATTATTGTAATATAATTTGTCCCGAAATAACCTAGTAAAGTTTGTGTCGAGTTGACGTTTACCCCCCCCCCTCTCTCTCTCTCTCTCTCTCCCTCTCTCTCTCGCTCTCTCTCTCACTCGCTCTCGCTCTTAGGAGCAATTACACGGGCGCGGTCATGACCAATTCTTCTTGTTTTTGTATTTATTTATTTTTTTCTAAAAGTGTTTTTTGTTTTTTTTTTTTTTATTATTGTAGAAAGAAGGCACGATTTCGATCATCGGTGGTTGGAAGAGTAGCCTTGAAGTATAATGGCCAATAAACGCCACGTTTATAGTCAAGGACGTAATGTGATTACAGCCAGTCCACTAAACATACGGAACACAAACTGATTAATATCTTATAAAAATAATATTGCTTTATATATTGTCTGCGATATCATCCTCGGTGGTAGCAGATGTTAAACACCATGAACAACAACACAACATCTATATAGCAACATGACAGCAAGTTTATCATAAAATGTATTAATTAGTATTTAATCTTATAATAGTTAATTAGGCAGTCAACAGTTAGCCTATTGAGTTGATGTTGACTTGATCGTCTTAGGGGTTTATCAAGATACGCACCATAGAAACAAGCCAGCGTAATATAAGCTGATTAGTGTGAAACACTTTAACTGTTGGCCTACTGTAATAGGGCCAGCGTGCGTGTCATTGTCGGGGACAACGAACATAAACATACATAAACAAAACAGTGTGTGGAGTGAAAGAAAGGACAGTTACTGTAAGGCTACGTTATAAAGAGTACTATAGGGATATTTATTATATATCTAGGCGCAAAATGCCGACCAATCCGTCTGGTGTAGGTACTAAGACCAGTAAGAAAATACGACCCAGTTCCGCTGCAGCAAATTTACAGTCTCATCCCAACTACAACACAGGATTATTTGACAATATTGGACGCCCGTCTACCACAACAGGACGAGGTGTCGACCTTTCTTTGTTGTCTCAGAGACCGGCCACTCAAGCCAGTGGTCCAAGAAAAGCATGGATACCGCGGGCAACCAACAATGATGCCTTCAATCCAGCAGAAGAAAATATTCGGCATCCTAGAAGACTCACGCTGGGTGCTGTTGATGGAATTGGCGAAAAGGATTCCATCGTTCGTCCAGGACTTCATCAAGGAACTGTAGAAGGCAAATTAAAATCGAAGATAGAAGAAAAGATTAATATTGACACATTAGAAGAACTAAAGAAAGCGTTTCTTACTGCTGATGTTAATCAAACGGGTTGTTTAGAATTAGATGAATTTAAACAATTATTAAAATGCCAACTTCATTTATCTCAGACCAAGTTGCAACAGATAGATGCGCTATTTATGAAGATAGATTGGTCATCAGAAGGTGCTATAACGTGGGATGAATTTTGTACGTACATGCAGTTAGAATATGCAGAGAAAGAAGATTCTTATCTACGTGCCAAAGAGGTGGCCTTTCTGTTACCAGCAAAAATTGAAAACCTGCCTCACAGAGATCCAATATTACGCATCACTGACACGCCCGATGGTACATTTATAGCATGTAGTCAGGATGGTATGGTATCATTTTGGTCAGCTAATTGCGAATTGAAAAGAACAAGAAGTGTAGTGAATAATGAACAAAATAATCGTCAGAAACCAAAATGGATTACATATTTTTGCATTATGCCACATTTTAATAAGCTTATTGTTGGAACTGGAGATAGAGAGATTCAATTCTTTGAATTGTCATCCTTTGAGCCATATTGTCAAATCAGCGGTTTAGAAACAGTACCTTTAAATTTAGACTACAGTTCAACAGGTCATGATGAGTGTTTAATATTATATGGTGACAGTCAGGGGTGTGTCAATATACTAGTTATCAAATCAACTGGCGAATGTCTCAGGACTTGGAAGAAAATGCCGAAACACGATGGTTTTATAGCCAGTATAAGCCTGGATAATGTTGCTAGCAGTCCTAATGTACAGTTTATTCGATGGCAGGTACATGGTGACTGGGTACAGCAGTTGAAATATTACCATGATATAGGTCAAGTGATTTCGTGTTCCAATAATGCTAACACGGCTTTAGTTATAGGATGCACTAGCGGCAGTACCCATGTTGAACAACAGCTTAAAGAACTGAAGGATGTTAATTCCCAGGAAAAAAATAAACAAAGGTGTTTTTATGCCTATAATAATACCAAGAATCGACTAGAGGCCGATCAATCAGTATTCAAGGTGTATAAAGGTGTTAAATGTTTTGACTTCTCCAAAAGCAAGAACATCATAGTGACTGGAGGAATGGATAGAATTATTAGAATGTGGAATCCCTATGTGTTTGGTAAACCAACTGGCATGCTAAGAGGACACAATGCTCCTATATTTTATTTATTTATAGGTGAAGAAGATAACCGCGTGTATAGTATATCCACCGATAAATGTATTAAAGTGTGGGATATACAAGATCAGAATTGTTTAGTGACAATACGACCTAAAAGTCATAAGATTCGAGGAGATATTCAAGCTATTCATTATTCACATGTATCAAAATCGTTGTCTGTAGCAACTGATCAAATGGCAATGTTACCTTTGCGTATCAAACCTGTGTTACACGCTGATATTGTTATTACACATAAAGAACCAATACCATGTTGTAAATATAATAGCAGTTTTAAGCAAGTTGTGACATGTTCAGAAGGATCAGTTATAAAACTATGGGATTTAGAGACCGGAACGGCAATATTTGAATATGGCGAGGCACATGGCGATGATGCTATAACATGTATGACATTTGATTGTACAGGGAGGCGATTAATAACAGGGGGACGAGATGGAAGATTGAAAGTCTGGAACTATAATAATGGCCATTGTCTTAAGGTGTTTCAGAAGGATAAAGGTAATGAAGAGATCTGTGATGTAACCCATATAGAGATTAATAGAAATCGTTACGTGATATCTGTTGGTTGGGATAAAAGAGTTAACATTTATTGTGATAGTCAATCGGATAGTAATATACATCATGTACAACATCCTTTACCATACTGGGCTGATGATGTGAAAAATGGACACAAAGAAGATATACTGTCGGTTGCACAGTGCAAACCTAATTTATTAGCTACAGCTGGTTATGATGGTGAAGTTATTGTATGGAATATGGTATCTGGTCATATATTCTGTCATTTAATACCACCACCACCTAAACATTATACAGACCAATCCTTGGACGGGGATCTAAATATAAATACAATAGTATTCTTACCAACGAGGGCATATAAAAAAGAATCTGCCACTTTAGTTGCAAGTGGTCCTCGAGCAAACATCCATTTCTGGAACGTGTTCCAAGGTGGAAAATTAATGGCCCAATTCTCAGGGTCTAAATTAGGCGGTGCAATGGTGAGTACTATGTTAGTCAACCAAAGTAACAGTAAGTTGTATAGTGGAGATAGTCTAGGTTTTGTCAATGTTTGGAATATCGAGAATTACTGTTTAACTGGCATAGAATCACAACCACCAGAATTGTTATATTCGTGGAGAGGTCATGTACAGGGAGTAAATGGTATGGATTTAGTAGAAGAACAGAATGTATTATTAACAGCATCAGATGATTGCACAGTTAGATTGTGGACACTTGAAGGGCATTATATAGGCACATTAGGTCAACCTGATAGCTGGGATTTGTATAATCCCAGTACATTCCAGCATCCTATGGTACCATATGATGTTCTTATAGATCCTATTAGTTTACCAGCTCATCCTATATTAGCAGAGAAAGAAACAACACATCAAATTATACACCAAGACTCCGTGACAGATGTACAGGAAGAAGGGAAAGAAACAGCACCCATCATATACGGTCGTCAACAATTCTTTGTTTCCGATGAAACAATAGCAAAACAACTGGGAGATAAAAAGGGAACCGGGAAAAGATTACGACATGAAAAAATGAAACCTGTAAAAATAGATAGAGGGGGACCAAGTGAATACCGAATGTTAAAATGTTATGATTTAAAAGATACTCCACCAATTAACCCACCATCTTTAAAGGTGAATAAAGACGATCCTTTTGATTTTTACATAGACTGAGATAATATGAATAATCCGGTGGATAAGTAATAAGCCTGTGATTGTTATACCGTGTTCTTTGTTAACCTATATATATATATATATTTCGTGTATTCTGTGTCTTCTTGCGCCATTTGTAATGAACAAAGATATCCCAACAGACAATGTAATAGTAATCAAAAATATCTGATTCACAAACGATAAAATAATTTTAAAAAAACATTCAGAATGATTTAGCAGGCGCAAATGACTTCCGTTTAATTTGGCCTGTTCAAGTATTTTACCGAAATAAAATAAAACCAAGTACGAACAATCCAAACCATAAGACAGAATTCGAAGTCCTAAAAAACGTTATAGGCAAAATAGTGTATTCAAGATATTTGACTAGAAATTACAATATTTTGTTTCTACAAACTGAATTTAGATCACTTTATATACACTCATATTACACGAATAAATGCTTTTATACCAATTTTCGTATACTTTAAGGTTCAGAGAAAAGAAAAGAAAAGAAATGAAATGAAATGGTGTATACCACCCTACTGTAGTACATTGACTGGACTAATGAAGACGGACATACGCCATAGTGTGCTGAGAGAAAGTTTGCCCTGTCAGCGGCACTACGGTCTACACTTCTATCGAATTCCAATGGTCAAGGGTTCTTTTACGTGCAAGCCAGTGTTTATACGGGACGTCGGTTTTTCGTACCATCCGAACGATTATACGTTGCCCATTGTCAGGTCAGCCGTCCCGTACTACTGACAAGTGGGAACCACGCCAGAAAATCCCGATAAACTTTCTCATTCTAACCATGCCTTCAAGTGAGTGAGTCCAAGATCTTACTCACTGGACCACCGTGGCTCCCTTCAAAGAATAGAGCTGTACGTCACTTAAAGATACATTATGTAAGATTTAGATAAAGAACTAGCCATTCTTGCTATAATAGTCCGAAGGTAGATGATGTAAAATGAATAATTTGAAAATTTCATTCAAATTACTCTATTGCAAGCGAAGCTATTAGCCTTTGAAGGTTTGACAGACGTGTGCAATAATTTCAACCACCGTACTGGTTGATCGAAGCTAAGTCTCGGTCCTCCATATTTGATTAAATCAAAGTATCGCTGAACCATTCTAATCTATTTAATACCGGAGAAATCTGATGCCATCGAGAGTTGATTAAGGCCTGAATCAGTTAATTAATACTTTAGAAAACATTTCAGGCCTAAAGAAAGACCTGCAATAGGCAGATTTAGCTCTTGCATAATGCATGTTTAACCGACAGGCTTGTGGTGGCCTGGTGATTTGGGGTTGAGTACGGCCTGGACATTTTGACGCTAAAATCACCCTTACCTTGGACTTGCAGTTGACATGTACGTAACTTTCAAGTCGAATTGAAAATAAAAGATATGGAAAATGACAATTATTGTTCCATTAAAAAATTAATCTATTAGAAAATAGAATGGTATATACGAAAAGAAAGGTTGCCAGGCAACGAAACATACGCCCACATCAGCCAAATCGTGCGTGCAGTCGACAAGGGTTGTGAAGTAATGGGGGAATTTACAAGACACTGATATCAATTTCATACCGATCGAATGATAACTTTACTAATCTAAATAATGCATATAAATTTCACACAGATCGGATGACAACTCTTGTCGTTAGAAATTCAATTAAATAGGCTATTTTTGTTTTAATGATCTAAATGATGCATATGAATTTCATACAATTTGGGTGATAACTTTAGTCGTTCAAGCGTTCACAATGTTCAACAAAGTGAAACACGGGCCATAACTCTAAAACTAATTAACGGAAATTGCTGAAATTCAATGGGCTATTTTTGTTAATGATCTAAATGATGCATATGGATTTCATACAGTCGGATGATAACTTTAGTCGTTCAAGTGTTCACAATTTTCAACAAAGTGAAACAATGGCCATAACCATAACTCTAGAAGTAATTAACGGAAATTGCTGCAATTCAATAGACTTATTCGTGTTAGGCCTACTAATCTAAATAATGCATATAAATTTCTTACAGATCGGATGAAAATTCTACTCGTAAGAGTGTTCACAAGGTTCAACAAAGTGAAACAAGGAGCATAACTCTCGGGTTAACTAAGAGAATTTGTTAAAATTAAATAGACTATTTTGTTTTAATGATCTAAATGATGCATATACATTTCATACAGATCGAATGATAACTCTTGCCGATAGAGCGGCCACAAGATTCAACAAAGTGAAACGGGCCATAATTCTAGAAGTAGAAGTTAGTAACGGAAATTACTGAAATGTAATAGGATTCTTCGTTTTACTAATTTAAATAATGCATGTAAATTTAATACAGATCGGATGATAACTATAGTCGTTAGAGCTTTCATAAGATTCTACAAAGTGAAACAAGGAGCATAACTCTAGAAGTAATTAACGGAAATTGTTGAAATTAAATAGGACCCTTCCTCTCACTAATATCTGTCTTCATTACCCAGTCGGAGCAGAACAGTAGGACGTTAAACCCCAGTTCATTTCATTTCGTTTCCTCTCACTAACATAAATTTCAAAATGATCAGATAATAAATGTAGTCACAAGCTTATTCACAAGAACACGGGCGGGCGGAATAAGTCGAAGGCGACAAGTCGACAAGTCGACAAAATCAACCCGCCGACACGACAAAATAACCCGACGATCGTCGCCTTCATTTCGTCGACTTGTCGGGTCAATTCTGTCGACTTGTCGCCTTCTTCACAAGGCGACGATTTAGATTCATTTGAATGGCCACTAACTATGGAAGCGTATAGGGGTCAATAGCGCGATGGATACCTCAATATTAAGTGGGTAATATGTCCACATATTGTGATTGTTCTGATGACTTTATCTCTGAAAAGACAATTTTTACCGAGTTAATTGAGTCAACGCGCCATGTTAGATGTCCCCATTTCGTTTTAAATATGCAAGTTTGCGTTAAGATATTGCTATTCTGAAGCTTTGTCGACATATTTAATTTCGCTGTAGTATACGTCGACATGTTCGCGAAATATCGCCATGCGCTATGTCGACGTGTGCATTTAAAATGAAATGACGACATACAACATAGTGAGTTATACAATTAACTCGCCAAAAATTGTCTTTTAATAGATGAAATCATCAGAACAATCACAATATGTTGACATATTACCAATATTGCGGTATCTATCGCGCTATTGACCCCTATACGCTTCCATAGCTAACAGCCACCATACATTTCCATTTGAGCGTATGAAAACAATACCATTCTGATATGCCGATTATGACGTCATGCTACTCGTACTGAATAACATAATTCCGCATACTTTGACTGAACAAAACCAACAGCTGGGATATTCGGTCAAAATAAGGTCCATGTTATCACCATGGCCCTTCTTACTTGTAAATGTTAGCTGGATTCCTCAGGTATTCAAGCAGAAATTTCGCAAGTTTTTTCCCCCCGATTGTCTAAATTTGTATGCTGAATGGCTAACAGACTCCATAATTACTGAAATGACGTAAGTGAGACCAATAGACTACATACCTACCATTTAACTTGATAAGTGACCACGTGTCACGTTAATGATGAGTTGACACAATGTCAAATAAAGCCCAATAAATACTTATTCTAGATAACTACTCTTCAATTTGTATACGTGTGAAATGACAAGTGCTTTACTTATTCAATACATAACGAACTACCTCTCTTTTCATTGATATAATTGATGCAAAAATACACTCAATCTCTGGCATTTATCTATTCATAAAATGTTCCTTGAATAAAATTATCCGCTTTCTACTAGCGGTCAAGAGTTTATGATAACAAGGTGTAAGTACTTGAACTGTAAGTAAAATCTATTTACAGACATGAAAGTAATAATTACTCCATTAAAATTCAGCAAACTTCTTATTTAGTTATTATCATTATATTGACAAAGTAAAAAAAACACAATTTCTTTATTATTCAAAATATTCGTTTATTTGGGTGTTTTTTGCTAATGTTTGCGTGTCAAAGACATTAATCAAATCATAGACATACTTCAGATTTATGTTGAATCTGAAGAATTTGTCATTTAAAGTAGCTAAGTCTCTAACTCAATATCATTCAAAGTCTTTGACATTGAAAACACGAATTATTTGTCAATTTAAATCAACATTGATATTGTGATCTTACCGGGAAAAGATGGGCTTCTGATATCCGATATTTAAGACAAAATAAACATTTTACCATTGGTACACGAATCGTGTACAATAATGCGTTTTAGAACGAGGCTAGACATATTCCACATATAATGTCAATTGGTGAAATGACGCAATATTCTTATCTGGAGAGCATGCGCAATAAATACTATCGGTGTAGACTGGAATAACCAGACGCTAGAGATTACCATTTGATTGAGACTGCTGGCGTATTTCGCCAAACATAACTGACTAGAAATTATTGATTGTAAATCAGTTTACATACATTCATATTACATTATCATATGCGTTGCGACCCATTTGTGTCCATTTCTAGGTCCCAAATATTAGCGATTTAGCTCCTTTAAGCTAGGCCTATAATCGCTAAACAAATTGTATGTAATTATACTATTTTTTGTATCGTATTTTCTGACATTTAAGAGTATCGTGTAGATTTCGAGTCACTGTAATAGCTTTCTAATTAATTAGGCAATGCGAACCCTGCCGAGGGTTATTTTAAGTACACGTGTCACAGGTCACAATTCTATGGAATACAATTACTGCTTATTACTGAATGATAAAGTCTAGAGAAGCCTATATTTCAAGTCGTAACATCGCTCAGTAATAAACAGTGATTTTATACCATAGAATTGTTACTAGAAATGGGCTTTAACATCCCACTGTTCTGCTCCGACTGGGCTCGTGACGATGTGCATACGCCATACAGTGTGCTATGAGTGAATTTTTTTTCCCTGGCAGCCGCGCTACCTCGTACTCTAAATATCAAATTCAAACAGTAAATGGATCTTTTACGTACATGGCAATGTGTACATGGGACCTATACTTTGTCTCTTGTCAGGCCCGCTGTCCTGCACCATTGACAAGGGGGAACCACGCCGGAAAATCCCGATAATCTTTCTCGGCCAACACCGGGATCGAACACGGGATCTCCAGGTTAACGAGCCAATGTCTTACTCGCGGAGCCACTGCGGCTACATGACCAATCCTGTGTATTAATACTGTGTTTTGATGTGGCAAAATTTATAACAGTCTAAAACCTTTTGATTTAATTCCAAAGCTATCTCTCTTAATATTGTTATATCCCCAAATTCGTTTTGAATCAAATTTGAATATGTGTTCAACTTTTAAATTTCAACGATATAAAATAATAATTTGTTTATAATTTTTGTAACACGTTTGGCCAGGACATCAAGGCTGCTCGTAGTTGCATGATTCATTGCTTCGATATCTATACTTTACAAAACTGATGAAAGTTATTTCAA